GGTATGTAATAAATATTATTACACAAAATATATCAGGAAATGTTAAGATAAAATCGCATTCACGTCTATGACGTAATTGTTTATAACCTTCGACTGAGCCGACTTGATACCGCGTAATCTTATAAAAACGTTTCCGATAAATTTAAGTCTATGACAATGGGAATGCAACCAAACGTAAACGAACTTGTTCGTTATGCATGGCACATAGATAACACATATATAAATGCGAATGGCCATAGTAGGACCACAGACAATGAAGCTTTGTGGACTAAAAAGTGCACAAATTACCACAACAATGGTAATCTGCAAGACGTAAGAAGACACGATCAAACTCATATATGGACCAGAGGCTAAGCGTGCTCTTGAAACATGTAATATCTCTGGCGCATATATGATATGAACATATCATACCCACCACGGATAAGAGATTCAATAGGAAAATGAAATGAAAGTAGAGAAAAATTACAATTTTACGTTGGATTTGGTAAACTACTTTGCAAATTTGACTTCAAGTGAACTTGTAGTCTGAGTGAAATCGTTGTTGTTAGTTTAAAATCGGATGACGTACAGTAGGTTCTTTTACATTTAAGAAGCTTATACATGACACAAATTGGTGCAGACTGCTAAGTGAGTAGCCGAGATTTGTTTGTATATGTGTTGCTTTGGCAACAAAGTACGGAAATCAAACTTTAAGATCTTCGCTTAAAAAAATGAGGTAATCTTTTTCAGTGCAGATCTCAGTAGTAGATAGTCAGAAACTTGTTTGAGGAGTTAGCGTATATGTGTGTGGGCCATTGATTATATGGCGATTTATCTTTGGCTTATATTCTAGTATTTATTGAAATACACAATTTCACCTTGCACATTAATTATGCCTGACCTTACCCCTTTTCCTGCCTCACCAAACAATTTTTTGATTTCGTAAATTAGTATTGGTAAAAACTGTTTGCGAGAGCGCACTTATTGATAGGTTCATATTGTAAAATATGCCAGGCTACAAGGCTGCGATTAGGTCAGATTAGAAAGAGTGAACTGGCAAAATTAGTAGCAAGTTGTAACGTGTAGAAATATGTATTAATTTGTGATAAATTCCATCTAGTCAATTGGTGAACCTCAGCCTGAGGAGTTGGTTGTATCACTGACTCACTGTACGGCAGGGGTATCAGCCTAGATCAGTGACAGGTGAAGTTGCAACGCCGGGCCGCGACTTCACTGAATTATAGTAACAAAACAGCTGTTTTGACGATCATATTTTTCACGTTACACAATTCATTGTTAGACGCGTGCAGACTAAATTATATTATAATCTAACAAGTATAATTTTCACAATTACTCGTTTAATGAGCCTATAATTTAAATATAATTAGACAAATGGCAATAAAACGCAGAAAAGTTGATGCTAGTGCAAAGGGTTCAATGGCGCCGAAAATGCATTGCAACGAGGAAATGAATATATATTCTATTCGAGAGATGTACCACTGCTTCATTTGTGCTATAAAAATTATCATCCGTTCGGTTTTCAACTTTCTAAAAATATGTGCGGCCCGCCAATGACTTGCAACCCTATTTTGGCCAGCGAGCGACAAACGGTTGCCGACCCCTGCGCGTTAGGGTATAAAAAACAATAAAAGAGTTTGTTTTTCAAAGATATTTTTATTGTATTTTCACGTTATCGGGCCTACCCTTGTTTTTGTCTCATTACTTGGGCAAATTTACGATAATAGTTGTGCTAGATAGTATCTATCCTACTGGGATTTATTATTTCCAGAGCTCGCGTCCAGACAAAGAGTCTTCTTCAAAAAGCATGAAATTGTGATAAGATAATATTGGCGGCACTTGTCAAGTTCTCCAGACACAAAACTACATCGTGGGACTAACTTAGTAAGGTGTTTAACGTTGCGCGCAAAGTATCGGCCGTAGATAGGATTCCACCCAGCAGATAAAGGTAAGAAATTGATGAGAGACACCTTTTTTATGTGCCTTACACCGTTGGTCCAATTTCGAGGTATTCTTGACCGTATATAAGTGGAAAATGAGTTATCAGGTTGAGGTACGAGGTACTAATAATTACCCACCTTTTTTTAATAATAGGCGACAATATAAGAACTGACAGCATTTGATATTCAGAACATTGCTTATTGAAATCCGAATTGACTGAGGTAATGATCTCATATAGCAATTACTCCGCCTTGCAGATTTTGTTGTAGCATATCAGTACTTTCTCATTGTTCATTAGATTTTATCTGGATTCTTGGAAAGCAAATCTTTAGGTGAACTAATTTGGCTTTCTATCAACTGCGATACAATTTGAAATACTGCGAAAGAATTTCCATTTAATAAGGTGAGACGAGGCCAATTACTTAATTTCCCATAAGACAGATGCAATGTCGTCGGAATTGAGCTTATGTGGTAGATGAGGAATTGCCTGTCATTTAACCTAGGAAGGCAATTGGTCCCACGAGAACCGAATATACGAAAATAGAAAGCATAAACAATGATGTGATGTATTAAGTAGAGACATGTTAGCAATTTAGAAAGCATTTTACTTTCCGGATTAAGTTAAGAAGTAGGCATGAAATAAGATTAGGTAGAAATAAAGAAGATTATTTCGTCGCCAAATGCTAGTTGAAACTCCACGAAATGTCACAACAGCAAAGTAATTCGAAGAACTTGCACCAAACTTCAGATCAACAAACAACACAATCCCCTTTTCACAGAAAACGCGACACATTATCTTAGGTGGCAGATGCGCTTCTGGAGACAAAGTATAATTCAAGTCCCTTGAACATCATCTAGGAAGTTTTTCGGTGGCACTTTGAAATCAGTTGTCAAGACGAGGGCTTTAACCCAAAATAATTCATTAGGAAAAAATATATTTTTGACTTTAAAACACTTCTCACTTTTTATCGAGAAACACTTTGGTGAATATAGCTTCGAACTTCGACTAGGAAAACAGCTCGAAAGGCAAATTATATTCAAAATTTCAACAGTCTGGGAGAATGATGCCCAACCATGGACTGCTCACTTCCATACGAAAATCTGGGTAGTATGTATTTGCTGCAGAAGGGCTGTATTTTCTCCATACATGCTATATCTCTAATACTGTGTATCTATCTATATACGTCGTTAAACGTCATTTACAGCTGACATTAAATAACTTCGCCGCCTGATTTTAAATTATCTTGTGTGAAAATGAAAACTTATGTGGTGGATATGTGTATTCAAGAATCAAAATACAACTTCCCGTTGTAAACATGCCAATTATAATCTTTTGGGTCTACCAAGTATAAGACTGTCATCTGCTGAGTAAATAATTGTAATTCATGTCTGATGGAATGCAGTTTCCATTATAAAAATTTTCATTTAACTGCAGTGAAAGGTTAAATATTTGTATTGTGTCTAGTGTAATATGATCCTTAAATTAAACCATGGTGGCTCACCTTGAAATAACAATTTCATTGTCAGCTGGAAGCAACCGAGAAATCCGCCATGCGTGAGAATAAAAAAAGAGACTTGTTGGCAGATAAAACAGTGAACGACGATTTTGTTCGGGTCTTTTGAAACTACCGTACTTGAGGAAAATATTTAAAAAGGTGGTTTCGAGGATTATGTTCAGAAAGCAATTGTTTCAATAAGATATATTTACCTTAGTGACAGTATGAGAAAGTAGGGCAGGAACGAATAGTGAATTGATTTTAAACATAACATTTTCTCTCGAGGCGACGTATAGATTTCCATTAAATAACCCTCTCTCGACACAGGGAGTTGCTAGAACAGGGATGTAAGAAATCTCTGAGTTTAGAATGGCCGCCATCTCAGATCTCTGACATGCGATGTTAAAATCGGTAATTGAACGCGCTATTAACTAGGCCAATGCACTCTACAAGTCAATTAGCAAATTGGCAATACACCACAGACCACATGATTTCGAACTTTAAAAGGCAGAGCATTGAAATTGAAGCTTGTAAAATCAGCTTGCCTTAGTAAGGTATTTAAAAAAAAGAACCCTTCTTGCATTCCTTCGGTATATCTACAATATCAATTTTCATTTCAGCTAATATATCGAAGAACGAATCGTAGATCATATCTAAGGTATCGGAGAAACTCCGTCTCCATTAGACCTATTTTGTTATGTAATTGCTGTGATGCGGAAAAGGAGCGATAAATCCGACTTAAACGGATAAACACAGCTTTATAGAATGATAAAGTTTTTACCCAAAGTGATAGTTTATCAAATTATAGATTCGTCATATCACTGGTATATATTTATGATATTCATAAGTTCACCAAAATTATTAAGTATGAGTGAATATTATTACGTTCTCGTTGGTTAAACAATCGGTACAGACCCAATACCTGTCAAACGTATAAGCTAAAAATGGGTTGCGATAAAAAGATAATCCGCTCAGACTGCTATTACGTGAAACATTGATAGCAGTTTAGTTCATTCACATTTTTTGGTTACAAGTCGAGAAATTTGGCCCCACTAAAATGATGCAAATTTCCGACATTTCTTTTCGACATTTAAAAAAAGTTTTTTAAGAAGACATTGCGCTTCTGATTAGTTTAGTTGAGAGCCACTCGACATAAAAGCCCAACACTATTTTCTCATGAAATCCACATACGGTGGGTACAGTTGGGTGGGTGAATTCTGTAAACAGCTAAATGTTGTCGTATTCTGTCAGGCATATATTTGCCTATCTAGATTCGGCTGTTCCAGGCGGTGGCCACGTTTTTTCATATATACAAAGTATACTCTGAAAGCGCATTTCTCCGAGTGACTGACCAAGAGACACACCCTCATAAAGTGGCCTCTATCAGAATGCGATATGGACTTTAAAAATCGTGTCTAGTTTTAGTGTTTGTACAGACGCTATCATTCTAAACATAGGTGGATACCTACTTGTCGGCTTACCTAAGTTACGAACTTTTTGATACAAAGATTGAAGTTATCTACAATAATCGTATAGGCATTCATGATAAATTCTTTTTACAGTGTTTGGCTAAATCTTAATAATGCATAGGTTGTTCGCAGTATAGATTGAAATAACGATATTTCATTGATAACGTGGACGAATCGATGTCAGAAAGGAATAATTTGGGATTGTACATTACATGACCTACTGTATCAAATGACAAGAAACATGACTTCAACTGTATACTGCAACAGTAGATGTCAAGGTAGAACAAAAGACAATGGGTATTCTATTTCAAACGGATGGTTTTCGATGAAAAACTCAAGTTTATCTATTGTTCTTTGGACTGTAGTTTTACTAACAATTATACTCTTTGTTAACGTGTCATTATGCGCTGATGGGAGTACATATACTAAGAAAACAACAAAGACAGTATTGACTAGACCAGCCATGAGAGTGTCTCGTCCCGCCGGACGACGAAGGATTTATATACGTCCTCCTATCAGAGTGCCTGTAAACCCAGGATATCGACGAGTGATTTCAAGAAAACAACAAATCAGACAGCGGAGACCAGAGATAACGTCAACCGCCGAAAGTACAACCAGAAGCTCCTTTGTGTCAAATTCAACAACATCACCCACCACAGTTACAACGATAGAACCAATTTCTGTAGACGCTACTGAAACGACGCGGGCAACAACACGGGCAACAACATCCACATCTGCCCCCGAAACAAGTACTGTTCGACGTTATACTGCCCAGCCGATATTAAGGCCAACCAACTTGAATATGAATCAAATGAGAAAATCAACACGTCTGAGAAATATGTCAATAATGCATGCATTGAGGCGGTAAGTATCCAGTCAGAAATAGTTTGTATTTACGCAACAAATAGCGACGATTTTAATTTTTGTGGCGTATTTTATTACCGCCGAGAAGTGTTTCTTGGTTGACCCTGGCTACAAAAGTTCATAAGAAATTGCACACTGGAATTATTATACCAATTACCCCCAACGTGAGGAATTTAGTTTTTATGACACACATAAAAAGCAGGTGGATAACCACCGTTTTATGTGGATAAAACCTAACTCCCTATTTCACTTTCAATTAGTTCAATTTTAAATGCGTCATTAGTGCTTTAATACCCGCCAGTCGCATTGGGTTGTACTTTAGTAAGCGTCCATTTGGCGTCAATTTGCAGCTGACGACATCATAGTAGCATACCAAACTAAATATTCGCAATTATTGTAATAGTAAAATCACAACTCGCGATAGAGATATGCGATTAAAAACGACAAAACAACAACAATAAGAATAAGAAGAACATGTGTACAACAACAATCATAGGTCCAATAACTAACTCTACACCGGCTAATTCAACAACGAATTCCTACCCCGATAATAAGTTATCAGTGCCCATTCGTTTAAGCGATTATAGACTATGAACTGCCTCGGTGTGTGGTAGATATGTCTGGGATATTGCAAGTTGAACCACAAATGTGCTCATGAATCACTGTCAATTAAAACGAATTTAAGAAGGCTATCGGTTCGCTACGGTGGCCTTTTTAACAAAAATACTACTTAAAATGTGTCTATTTTCATAATTAAATCAATGGAGATTTAAAATAGACCAGGAGTATATTTGATCTACGTAGTATATATATTAGTTCAATTTGATTAATACCTTTTTAAACTTCCCACAAAGCGTTTCACACGGCTACAAGATACGTTAAGTGCTTTACCTACTTCAACATGAGACGATTTACATTTACTGGTGATAAATTATGGATAGGGTCTTGTCGTTGATGTGGGGATTTCTAGAAAACCTAGCAAAAATCAAACGCTTCTTCATTCAGTTAACAAATATGTATTTGATGCAAACACAATGACACAGAAAAGTTCTACTGGTACTTTTAGGGACATTTTTTTGTAACAAAAATTTTTTCAAGCTGTTGTATGACCTTAGCCATTCACAAGAGGGCAACGCAAAATGTAGCGCACAATATGCCAATAAATAATTATAAAACAATATCAGACAATATGTTGACTTCGTTTAAATTTTCAAACCTGAAAAATGCAAAAAAAAAGAAATGCTGCAGGAATCCATGTATCTCGTTCTTAGTGAGGCCGAAATCGGCAAACCCTGGTTTAGTTCGATACATGTTTTATGTACGTTTTCGAGTTTTAAGGTGTTGTTTTCAATGTTTGTGGTAAATAAAACAGGACCAATGTTTACTCACTGTGCGAATACTACAGTACAAACTAAAATTGTCAACATCGAAGCGTAACAGTTTCATGGCCCACTGGAAGCGCAAAAAAAAATTAAAAAAGTTACCTCAAACGAGAAAACATCGTAGATGTGGTATTACTTGTACCGCCGACCACCAAAAAAATTGCTCTAAGATTTATTTGAGCTAACCTCGTCCGGGTTGAGCTAACCTCGTCCGGGTCCCCTGCCTTCTATTAACAGAACACATTCTTAAAACATGGTAATGAATTCAATTCAAATACATTTGTCTTTTACAATTTCATAGCCGAATTCGGGCTGATTAAAAGATATTAGAATGGTGTTATAATTATCACAAGAAGGACAAGTCATATTCGACATCACTATATTCAATGTAAGCAAAATGTGATAAACTAGTTTCTTTCTGGCTGCAGACTAAGTTACACAGCGGCACGTACCAAAGCACCATCTATCTTATTATTATTGCCACAGCTACATGCAGTTATTTTCAAAACCGCGCGATATTTGCCAGTAGTAGTTTCGTGGTATGAATAATGTGACGCACGCAAAGTATCGATGAATTTATTTAACGGATTACCGAAATGTCGAAACTTCGTCAACCGGCTGCAATAAAAAATGACATACGGTATTTCAGACGACACTGTGGTGTAAACCAGCCTACAATTTGGTGTTTGTTCATAACCACATTTCACGTGCCATACCTCGAAGTTTTGCTCTCTCGCTATTCACTAAAATAGGCCCACGACCGCAAATTTTAATACAAACACTTTTCCATTTCCAAAAATATTCAATTGACAGATATATCGTTGTGTGTCAGCGAAATTAAATTCGATGACGTAATTTGAGGGCTTAATTCCAAAAGGTTACTCCAAAAAAAAAAATTTTTTTTTCGATAAAATGAGGAAAGCTCATATTTTTGGCTTTCTACTCAATTACTTTGATCAGAAAAGCAGCTTACAAAGCATTTTTTTGTGATTTTTTCTATTACAATGTTTTCAAACTTTCGACATTCACCAAACATTCAATCCTAGAATTATTATTAAAGCACCCCATATACATGAAAGTTTTGTGACTGAAACAAATACAAAAACTAGTATAAATCTTATATGGAAAAATTTCGAAATTATGCGATACTTCAAATGACGATCAATGACAAGCAAGCGGGCATAAATCATCTTCATGCAAGAAAAGTATGAAATGGCGAACATTGAATACCATTAAATAATAGGACGAAGTAGCGTGCGCAAGACTCGTACTTAAAATATTTTCGGAGTTAATCTATTTCATCTAAGTGAGAAAAGTGGATTAGGGTAAAAGTTGAAACCCCAAACATGCAACCCGGTAATCTAACAACAAGAGAATATGTATAAGCTGGAAGTGAGTTGAATTGGGCTAAATGATAATTCAGAGAAATGAAACAACAAGCCTCGCATTCACTTTCTACATTATTACTGATTATTGTTCGAAATGGCGAAATTGCCTGATTTCCAATCGCTCTTTCGCAAGTGCCCAACCATTAATGCAATTTCCCGCATCAAATACGACTATTATACACCTCACAATTGAAAAGCTATATCATGATAACAAATGAACGTTATTATACATTCCGCATAAACATCTTAAACTTTTTTATTTATTAATTTAGAATGAATAAAGACTTGGACTACAATGATCTAATGAAGAAATTGGATTATTTTATGTCATATTATCCGACTGTACGGGAAGCGGCATCAAGACTCAGTAATCTGTTAACGAAGCATGAACAGACCAGGTAATCTTAATGCCAAGAGAAAAACCATTAAAATGAAAACTTAAGACCGGGATCAACGTAACCTATTTTTGAATAAAAACATGAGGTAAATTTAGATATGAATTTACGATAATCCAAAATGAAGTGTCTGCGTGTTTTCAAAAGCTGTGATTAATTTGCTCAATCGAATATAAAAATTGTCGAAATATGAGAAAATTTCAAGAACACGTTGGAATTAACGAAAGTTTGCTTTGAATGTTTGGAGGTTCACGAAACAGGTTACATAAGCTACCTACATTACACTACGAATAGAAAACTACTGCAGATCATACACATTTCTTTGGTACTGGTGTATGATGTACTGTAGAGCTGAGTGATATTTAAAAAAAGTCTTTGCTGAGCAGAAAATCGATGGCCACATAAAGGCTGTACTACTTGAAACTGCATAAAAGGGGTTAATCGGAAAATTACCATTTTTCACGTAAAATAATTTGGCTTTCTTTCAGTCAAAACTGAATGAAACAGAATAGTTTCCCACCAATATATTTGAAGTCCAACTGAAATTTGATTATTTTCATCTAACACCGACAAATAAAACCTACTTTCCAGTCGAGAGGAACGTAGACGAATTTGGAAAGGTGTTTTCCGGGTCAAGTCCGATCTTAGAACTGTGAATACAAAGTGTGATGCGATGCACAGGAATGTAACCGAAGTCATGGCAAGAGTTAGAAGACGAGCCCATGAAATTGAAAGGTTGGTTTGAACTGTTTTTCAAGTTTAAAAGTAGGCTTAGGTAAAGAACGCGGGAAAGTGGTAGTCAAAAAAACATATTAGTAAAGGATTATGGAAGTGTCTCCGAACTTGAAGAAATCCCTGCCCATGGGGCCATAGAAATTTTTAAAGAATTTGGTGTCGCTTTACCAATATTGTATATTTATTTAGTCACAATCATAATTTATATTTAAATTATGAACATAATAAACTTTTTAAATAGTAAAAAGTCCAGGGTGCAAGTTGCATGTAATACTTGCCATAAGGATCCTTCAAAAACAAAATAACTAAAACCGTCTTTATGCACAGTGAAGGAGAAATAAAAAGATTCTAAATAAGCAAAGGGAGTGTATTAAAAAAGGTTGGGAATCATTGGGACGTGAGTGATTGCATATTAGCCGAATATCATATCTCAAGAACCCAATAAATGTAATCTGCCAATATTAAAATGATAAAGACAATAAAGGATATATAGGAAACAAATTCTCTGTACTATAAAATGATATCATCAAATTGTTTTGGCCCTTCACAATGTTATATCAATCTGTGGTCAAATTGTAGTAAATAGTTGACGCATTCAATTTGGAAACAAAAGGTATACCGGTACCATATTAAATGAAGCGATACCGAATTGAGTCATGGAAAATTGGGAATACGAAATTGTGATCGAGTATGTAAAGTTACCGGAAATATTAGGTCTGGCAATTTATGACCGCTGAACTCTCTTTTTGTTGAATTTGTGCTTGCTTTATGCACGGGCCCTGCACTAGTACTAGATATGGCCAAGCAATTTATTTGTATTGGTTTGAAAAAAAAATTCAATAATTGGAGATGAGGCCAAATGGAATGATATGATATTTCGATAGCATGAATTTTGGATCGTAAACCATACTTCCAGTAAGGTTTCAAATTGCCTTAATAAATTCGAAATACGCAATTACAAATAAGGCATCGATGTTATCTGTATATTAATAATGTGAAAGAGAACCGCATCCACAACACAAGCCAGAGAGCTTTCCGCAATACGTCACATGCGATGTGGTCAAGGTCTGATTTCATTTTGATTATACAGTATTCTTGGCCAGCATTCAAGAAGCAATAACCATTTGAATGCCCATTTTTTGCCTTTACACACTTTTATACAAGTGATAATTCAGAAGTATATGCCAGATTTTAGCTGAGAATATTCTACCAATGCACTGATGAAGTTGTTCCCACGAGTTCACATGAAAACTAAAATAACATTACAGAATATTACACTAGCCAACTCTCCTTGTTATGTTATAATTTCACTTCAGTTACAAGAAAACTGCCAAAAAGAAGATAGATCAAATAGAAACTCACCAAGGAAGTCAGGACAAGCAATACTTTGAAGTATACGAGAAATGCACAAATAATACCAAACAACTAGAACGAGTAGCGGTATGTCTATTGATTTTTGACTATTGTTATGGGTTGTAAAAAATGTTAGTAGAACACCCCACGGAAGTGGGAAATATATTTTAAAGGTATTTATACGCCATCGCGCCGAACAGCCACTGCTAGACGATGAGCTACAATAGTTTGGAAATGCAGGGATCGTTCCAGTTTGGCATAGTTATGTATAACGTTTTAATAAATCTTAAACACTTATCCACCGTGCCCACACACACTTTTAGATCCTAAACTACTGATGAGCTCATGGCGAATTCACGATGAGCGAATGAAATTATTTTCATAGCAATGCGTGTGGGCTATATAAACTTGATGCGATGAGAGAAACTTATATATTGAAGATGCAATTGTATATCTATTTTCCCCGTCTAAACTCTTTACCGAAGTAGTAAAATGCCGTTCAATCTCAAACAATGTTAATTGGAAACTAATGAGTACAAAACTGGGCGTTATTGGACATTCAGTCGGTCAGATAACCGTTCAAATTCTCTTCAAGAACGCATTACGCCAGGGTGTATCGTTTTGGTGTTCGCAATGATTGATCGTAAAAAGAAATAAATATGTAAATCTAACAAAGTAGCTTAAATGACCCGTGCATTGATAACTGAACAACTACGATAAGCCACAGAAAATGCGTCAAAATAGGAAAGAATCACTTTGTTTTCTAACTGACCCCAAACGAAATCTTGTCTTTGCACGCTGTCCAGGTCACGATAAAGCTACAAGATGGTCATTACTTTTTAAAGTAGGGGATTCAATGCGTGGCACTTTTAGCTTGGCATATTTCATTTTCAATAGAAATTCCGCATGGCATACCTCATTTTGAGGAGAAATTTCACTTGACTTTCTTGAGGAGATGCGGACGTTATAATAAGTTTGCGGAGTGTTAACTGCGATCTGTGTTTGATATCCGTCAATCACATTTAGAGCGAAATTCTGTTTGCCGGTTATAGGCTCCTGTCGTGTTTACAATGTAATCAGAACACTAATATATTTCTCTCAAAACTATATTTCTACAGGCGGATATGGCAGTATTGCTACCTCTTGTAGGCGGTATGTTCGAGAATATAGAAAGAACCAATTTACAAGAAAAACGTGCACTTGAAATGCTGGACACCCACGCAAGAGGAAACATAGCTGACATGACAAACCAGATACTCGTACAACAAAACACATTGGCAAATTTGGGTGTAAGTATTGCTTTAATGACAAAAACGGAATATTTAACAAGAACATTATTAAGAACACAATAAGCAGTTGTTTGAGAACATGTCCATTTTAGGTAGTAGACAAAAATGCATAGCCGCATCACAAATCTACCATCGCTTTTCTGACATATAGAAACACGGTGATTATTTTAAGGATATAAACGGATGTCAAAATTTATATTGCCGTATTTTAGTCTTTATCACTATTACAATATAAAAGTGAATGATGAGCGCAAGTGCAAAATAATATTTATTCGTGTTGTGATAAATATAAAAGCAGTCAATCCATATATATGAGGCGTTTGCATAGAAGTGAACTTAATTGGAAAATATATATCACGTTGCGATGAAAAACTGGCCGGCGTCCTAAATGTGCACATTTGCAGCTGGGCATGATATAGACATTCCGCGAATGATATTATGCGATACACCGATATTAAAATATATATTGTTTGTACACACAGAACCAAGTTCGATCGGAAATGGACTCGTTGCATAAAGAAAAACAATCGATGGCTAAACGCTTGGAACAACATCAGAGGCGTCTTACAGAAACCGTGAACACTCACCTAACTGAACATGTCAGACAATTGAATAAGATAGAGGGTTCACTCAGCAGGTAAAATGCTCAGCTTATCGAGATGGATAGGATCTTTATCAAACGCGTGACGCTCGCATACAAACTCTAAAATGGGTAACGCCATTTACCGACCACACCAAACGTTTTTTGGCCTCAGATCTTTAAGCAAATTGAGTACCCATCGGTTAAAGTAATCCCGTGTGTACTCCAATAGATAAGATATACCAAATGTGCTCAAGTATGCCGAAAAGTGTGATAACTTACAGACTTGCCAATTCACAATTATGATTTTCCAGTCTAAAATGGCCCACGGAAGTCAAGTACATGCAATTCTTGGTTTGCAAAATTCCACTTGTAATGCTTACGTTTAACGTACCGTAGGTGGTAGGATGATTGAAAGATAATTACTCAGATAACCTAGCTTATCTTAAAATAGCTTTTCAGTTCAATTGTGCAAAGGTAGAATTTGGCAAAAGCTACCATGTAATACAAGACAAAACGGCTGTAGCCAATATCTGAGTAACACCCCAAATACTTCCTATATTGCAAGCAATTGAAACGGCAGATAACTGTACGAGTTCAGATAATATTGCAAGGTATGCAAAAGTCGACAAGACTCAATCACCCACAGCCTGCCAATTTCTATATTTTACTACAGACAGGCAGAGAATATCAAGTACATAACCTCCCTAGTCACCAAGCATGAAGACAAATTGGAATCGACTGAATCTAAAGGAAAGGTTTTTGAAGATCAGGTTACCAACGTGACTCAAGGACTGGAGAAGATGGAGGCAAACATATCGCGATTCATGCAAGACTATCACAACACAAAAACAGGGGTAAGGTGTTGATGTGGGACGAAATCTGATATCCGTTATCTAAGAAATACTTCAACTATAAAACTTGCAGGAGAACTGTGATACACAAAAATCGTCAAGACTAGCATAGTATAAATACATATACCGGTACAGGTATATATAGAGTAACTGAAAAAGAAACGAATATAACATTTGAAACATATTCTACAGAGAACATAACTTTTGTGCAAAGTCACGTCCTAGATTACTTTAACTTTCTGTACATTTAAGAAAAAAATAGTAAATAAATTGTACATAAACAAATAATTATTTTCACTTTTGAGCACTAACGCAAGTAATTAAGAAATTTATGGGTTCCGTTTTAAGGAGATCACGCTGTGGCCTGTACATATGGGTAAACAAATTAACTATGAATAAAAATAAATAAAGACAAATCTAGCAAATTTAACATGGAACATTGTTGATATTATATAGTTAAACGAGACCAAACAAGATATCGGCAGATTAGAAGAAAATACAAAACAGCTTCTGTCGTCACTTAATGGTCAGCATATAGTTCTCGGAGAAACAGTGGAACGAATGAACTTTACCGAAGAGGTAGGTAAACGAGTAATAGTTAATTCACTAAACGAAAGATTCCCAATGTTACTACTATTGGGATCAGATATAAGTCGCGGGTTTTTGTTATACGACGTATTCATACGGCGCCCGAACTAGCCTCCGCACACAAGCAGCTATCAGAGTTTGGAAAAACCGGAATCTTTTTGATTCGGGATTGCCTATCCAATTTATTACACCCTGGGCGAGATGGTTGCCATAGAATTTCAATCCGAAATTTCAACCTGTAATGCCATCTTATTTACCGTAATTCCAATCCTTAGCTTCTAGGCCATCACGCCCAAAGAGAAAGTGTTATCGCTGGGAATTATACAGCTTAGTCTGTATTGTATATACATACAACATCTTATTCTCATTTTTACAATGATTGCTAACTTATAAAGTCAACATAATAGAAACACAGTATCGGGTTAACGAAACAAATAAGACCGGTCGCTAATTCAATATCCATGAAAATTCATTGACCGCAAAATAGAATGCTAGTTTTATCCTATAAAAATGTATCGTGAACCGTGCGGAACGAGTAAAACTGTCGTGATACATGCATTTCGCGGTTTGTGGACAGGACAAAGACTCTTTTGTGTGGCACATAAATTAGCATTCACACCGTATCACCTCCATAACGAGATTCAATACTATTCGGTAGAAGACAAAAGCGAAAGACGAACTTTCCATGAAGATATTTCGTTTGTTTGCAAACCAAATAACTTTCTCCACAAATGTATTCAGTCAAAATATAAAACAATTCAAAAAAGTGTTACATATCAAATTTCCAGGCAATACGATCTGTGTCACATGAACTTGACGCTTATAAAGTGAAGACAGATACTGAAACAGAACAAATACGAGATGACCTAGATGAGGTTTTGGATGTACAAAGAATACACCGCCACAACCTGACTAAGCTTCTGAAAAATCCAGGACAACAAAGGGTTAGATTTATTTGTTTCAAATGTGGAAAATAACCACAAATTTTACTCCCAATTATGGCCTTTTTAAGTTAAAATCATCTTAATATCCATGATATATGGATGTATATGACGTGGGTTACAAATACTTGAACGTTACAAGAATCTGAACTTGTCAGAATCACCATATATAGGGTCTTGAACAATTAAAAATTTCATCATTCGACTTCATAACAATTGTGTAAAAAGACAATTCCAAAGTTCAATTTGTTGTTTGTTCATACAAGAACTTATGTTAAGCAAAAAATATTTTACAGAGCAGTGGACTAATTTCCCAATATCCATCCGACGAACCAGCGCCTGAATCCACATCTGTGACACCAAATGAACTACGGGTAAATATAGCCGTAACTTGCACAGTATTAGTTCTCCTCAAAACTCTTTTGATTCGGGGTTTTAACCCAAAAGCGCAAAATTTGAAGAAGCTGTTTGAAGAAAATAAGACGTTCATTTTTGATTTTTAAATTCCTGCAAATTTTATTGAAATACGTTCGTTCGTGAATGTTGATTCACACTTAGATTAGATTACAGCTTAAAGATCACCTATTTCTTTGTAACAATTTTAAAAGAAACATTGATTTTTTGTTTTAAAACCATCGAATATGTTTTTGTCTCATTGCGCTATGAAAAGTAAAAATAAAAAAATGTTTGTTACAAAAGACATCTTGTAATTACAGACACTTCTAACAGAGATCGGAGTTGAAGACAGGATGAGTCGACTGACACGGGTTCTACGTCATCAACAGCAAAGAATGTCAAACGTCACAAGGGCAGTCTTGAAAATAGCAGAAGACAACGAAGCTATAACTACGACGACGAGTCATTACTTCACGTTAATTAATTCGCAGGCCAAAGTTATCAATGACCAGAACGAGACAATCACGAAACTGGCTATGATTGTGAGTGTATTTTTGTAATAAAAGTCGAGAATAATCGGGTATTATTCGGTTAAAATACAACTTTCTACGATCTGTACATAAAAAAATCCACGAAAACATCAACAATTCACAATCCACTTAATAAAAGGAATGTTTCACTTATAAATGGAAGATGATAAAATGAGAAGAAACGTATTGAGGTTTACCCGCCATCCAGCAGGTTACACAATCAACATTGGCTCTTTCTGCAATGCGAGATGCTAAATACTAATGGTCGTCAGTTTGGCATGTTTTCACTTTAGACACTCCCCGAAATCAGAATTTCAGGCTTTTCATCGTGCTAATCGGAAGTCGAAATGTTCTACAGAAACTTAAAATAAATTGAGTGGAGTTAAAAATTTTATAGTCGGCGTCGCAGTGAATTGTAAATTCCGCGGCCCCGACATGCCTGGGGGTTATAAATTGTTACAAGAGCGATGTCATAATACAAGAATCCGACATTAAAAACACAAAATGTGACGCCATATTAGTATTACTACTACATAAGCTCGCTGGGTAGGCGTGAATTGATGCGTCCAATTCTACTATATTTGCTTGCGTTTACGTTCCAACGCATGTCATTCAATCACCCACTATTATTGTTAAAAATTGTGAAAGGTAAAATCAGTATCAATAGAAACAAACTTTATTACATCTACAGGCGGCGAATCAAGGAGATACAATAAAAAGTCTTGGGACCGAGCTGGCACATGGGCAAGAGACAGTCATGAAACTAACAAATATATTAGCAAATATAGCGACCCAGTTCAAAAGCCCTATGGGATCACAAAGAGGTAAAAAAACTATTGAAATGGAAATTATATGCGAATTACAAATAAAATACCATGATATGGAAGCAGTTTATGATAACTAATGCAAAAATAGTTTTCGAAATATAGCTCCAGGGTGTGATCAAGACGGTGATAATACACAGTTAAGTATGTTCAACAACAAATGAAGTCATATGCCCTGAAAAAACCATGTTTGTATAAGAGTTATCACAAACAAGATCATTCTGGAACGCTCTATAGACGTCGCAACCAAATGATTATCATATTTAGACCATCTTTCCAGTGATTACCATCACTTTTCCGGATATGTAAGAAAATCTGCTGGACGTCTAGTTACATGAGAAACGATATAAAAAAGGGTATTTAGTTATCAAATAAGATTGGTGGGGTAGGTAACAACATAATAAATTTCAAACAACAGGTAACTGGTTTAAAATCAGTAAATTTCTATTATTTTATATAAATTTTTCTACAATCAAAAATGATATTCACATAACATGGTTCTTTCTTAGATTGTCATGATGTGTGGTTGAATGGAAATAGAAAAAGTGGAGTGTATAATGTTATAGAAGACTTGAGTTTGCGACCAATGTATTGCAATTTGACAGAATATGGAGGGTGGACTGTTATTCAAAAAAGGAAAGACGGATCTCAAGATTTTGACAAAAGTATGTCTGACAGTTCAATAATTTGGTAATATCAAATATGGCTGTGAGTGACCCAAATCAACTATTTATACCAGTGGTTTTTAAACTCTCATGATCCGTTTGAGCGTCTTGTTTAATTAACCTAAAAAAGCCAACAAACGAAAGCAGAAGAACGAATGCACTACTGAAGTCAAAAAATTAAGCAAATGTCAATTTACTTTAATTTATTCCAGTTAGTAAAATTCTTTGCTCCCAGTGATTTGCTCTGTGGCCCCAAAGGGATTGTTTAATAGGGGACAAGTTTAGACAGATTTATTTTTTTCCAATCATTAAAAAATCAATGTCAATGGCAAATAAACCTAACTAAACTTTCAATTTCATATAACATAAGAGATTAATGGGTTCAATCATTCTACGCAAATTTTATTACAATATAAACCCTATATCAAAAAACCTCATCTAATCAAAATTGTATATTACAGCGATGGAAGAATACAAGCGAGGATTCGGAGATGTATATGGAGAGTATTGGCTGGGTTTAGATACAATCAAAAGTCTAACAAACAAGGTGCGAATGAGCGTTGGTATTCAAATCATTCTGGAAGACTGGGAAGGCAATTTTAGAACTGCTACATATTCACAATTTTATGTGTATGGAAAATATTACAGTTTGGTGGTAAGTTAAAGAATAGTACCAATAATTTAATTCATGGTAAAAAATATGAAAATTCATATTTCGTTTATGATTTCAGGCAAGTGAACATTCAGGAGATATTGGTGACTCACTGCTCCAATCTAACGGAATGCCATTCATGGTAAAGGAAGAAAATGGTCATGTTGGACCTTGCCCGATAAGAAGAAAAGCAGGTAAGAATCTTAAATTCATATACATAGTTTAATAGGTTCGCTTAGGCTAATTTAGCAAACTAAAGAAGGTAGTAAAAGGATTAAAACTAATCCCGCCTTAAAAATATCTGCTTTATGAAACCCTTTGCTCTCAACCTAGCAAAAGTGGAACTAGAAACTGGCAACAACCATTATTTGAAAATTTTACAGGTTGGTGGTTTGCCACCCCTCAAGCAGATTGTGGTGAAGCAAATCTCAATGGAGTATATCGAAAAGGGCCAGCGCAAGATGCTCGAATATCATCAACCATATTTTGGAAAGACTGGTTGGGTGTCGGTTACCCGTTGAAAAGTGCTACAATGCAGATAATACCATCAGAAGTGTTGAACAACCATTTAAAATCAAAACTAGAAGAATTAAGTCCCATAACCCCAGAACTTACTGAAGTTCAAAACGGTGATTCAAGAGATGGGATAAATCAAAACAATTTATTACAAAATAACCCACATGAAAGGGACAAATTTGGTGAATCGCATTTGAATCATGAAAGAAATTTAGAGCACCCACCAACCTATGAAGATGACCTTAAACGCTCTGGAATATTTGGACCTCAAGACTATGAAAATTTGGACTATAACATAAACATACTCCTTAATGATGGCTGAGTAGATAGTAGCAAAAAATCAAAAATTGTTCAGGTCATTTCTGTGACTGAGATGATCTGAATATTATCCACTATTGGGAAAGATGGATGGACGCTGACCATAGAAAATCAAACAGAAAGGCCATATGTCCAATGATAATGAAATCTCATAAGCCACCACACCTCAAAATAAGTGAATTTACTACACAAAATTTTAGCCCAGAAGTCGAAATGAATGATCTTGATATTAAATAAAAATCACAATATCTGAATGTGGACGGTCAATTTACAGGTTACAATTTGCGCTGAAGAATCATTTCAGGTATAATGCCTATAGTATAAGATTTGACAAGCCTGAATTGGGAAACAAGTAGACAAAAAACATTGAAACTGAAAATTGATAGAGTTACAATATTTCATTTAAAAGTGAACTGATATTTAAGAGTTGGATTTTGGTAGCCAAGTTTATCTTAGTACAATATTGGTAAGTGATGATTTATGAATTACTGCGCAGGTCGCAGAGCATCTAACACCATTTGCAATAACATCAATATTTTTCAATTTATCTTTTCATAGTTTGTTCAAGTATTGATAAAATTCATTGTTTTTACTATCGGGTTACTGTATAGCAGAAATTGTCATACGAAATAAACTATCACTAACACATTTTCTATGATTTTGTACTTTTGTAGTTAGTACCACTTACCAGAAACATTGTTTATGGCAGTCAATATTGGCAGATTGCCCAACAAAAGTGAATATTTGACGTTGAGCAATTGACACATTTAGAACAGATGTGTACAGAAACTTAACTTCAGTGATGTTAGAGGCAATTTCTATCCAACATAGTTCTTACTGTCATGCCTCTACTTAGGTGTGCTCTTATAATTTCTTAGCGATAGTAGATACAGTACATAGTACGGTATATGGTGCCCAATGAGGTACTATTCGGAATATACAAATGGACTTTGTATTGTAAGGAGAACAGACAGATAAAAAACGAAAACATTCATAGAGTGAGTTTCGTTTCAATCAAATTTTTTACCAGTTTATTTATTATTCTCCATGATCTTGAAACCCATCAATATTTTACTTTGATAGTCCGACCATCTATGATTCTATAATTAGCAACCGAGTGTAATGCAAAAGAATACTGATATCAGTATTTAGCAGTCGTTAAGCAGTTGGTAAAAATTACTAACAATGTCATCTTCTATCGGGTATAACAATTCGTTGACTGATTGCACAATAGTCAACCTTATACTTATAGGAAACAAAACCATAAAAGTTGTGATATAATCACGAACTGGGGCATAATGAATGTAGCGTAGAAGACAAAAGTATAAATGCATATTAAACTTATCAGTAAAACATAACAAACCTGATATCTAATATGCAGCAAGCTGGACAAGTTGGTGATGAGGCCAAGATTAGGCCATTTGTTATTCAGCATATTTCATTTTAAAAATGACTAAATATTTTATCAAAACTAAGAAACAAATTCAATGTACTCACTTCAGATACAAATCGTAGCTCTGTGCGAAGTTTGCTCATGATGTTGCACAAATTCTAAAAAGACAAAAAATAGTCAAGCCTAGTGATCAAAGCGTTGGACTTGACTATATTTGTACTGCAAGCTAAAAATCCTGAGTTCAAATGCCATGCACAGCGCCTCACATAAGTCACTACGTATAATAAATAGAGCAGGCAATGCTGAGCGGCAAAGATTCCAGTCATTTCAAACATTTCTGTTCCTTGCATATCAGTGGATATTAGTATGAAGACATGTAGACATTAAGACAAGACAGGTAAATATCTAAAAACGTTGTAAAATGATAGTTCATAATCAAATTGAATCTAGTTACGCAAATTCAGGCAACTTGCAAAACAATATGAAATATCTTTCATAAAACATCTACCCCAAGATACTTTTAATATACCGTACTCATTTTCTTCAAAGTTTAGATTATATCAGAATCATCAATATAATTGTTTGTTCATAGAAAAACTGACACAGAGCATGCTAATATGGCAAACTGTGAGGAAAAACTCACTGCTTTATCTTCATTTCTCTGCTGAAAAGTTCTCCTCAATGTTTGAAACAGAAGAGTTGTAAAATCTGAATATCTTCGATGCATTAGGGAACATATATAAACAGCGCATGGAACATCAGACATTTTCAACTTGGCATCCACAATTGTAGAAACCTATAAAAAATATACCAATAAGAACACAAACAATTTCAAGATTTTTTTAGTTCTTCCCAACAGGGCTGCATTCTGCACACTAATACCACAACCTCAAAATATTGACTTGATAAAAAAAGGAGTCAAAAGACAACTTTGCTGTGTGTCTCAAAAATGACATGACCCACAATTGTCCTATTTTGTCTATACCAACCAAGAACATAGCATTAATTCCATCTCATATGCTCACTTTAACAATTTACCACACAATTTTTATCTAACACAACACAGAACAGTGGGACATGAGATTCAGGGGACTACAATCTTCATTCACCAACCATGCTACTGACATCAAAGAACCTGGGACTGGAAGACATGGGGAAAGTTCCGTAGCACAGACCAAATTACAACTAAAAGATTTCGACTCAACATCGCCCACATGTGGTTGAGATAATATTTCTGTTTAACTTCAAATATCTTTCGGTGTTGACATGGTGGGTCCAAAATGTTGCACTTTGCATATATTGCAGCATTGCAAATTTCCCATAACTCCATTTTCTAAGCAACATACACAATAACATTCCATTTGACCAATAAAGCAATGACCAATAAACCAATGGCTTTTTGGTGCAAAGGCACTATTACTGAAAGGAATGTTACTGATAGCGAGCGAAATGGGTTCATAAAACTACAGTTACACAATGATAAACCAACATTATCCAAGTATATATGTATAATACTCACCACTTCTTGAATATATCTGGTCAAGTTGAGAGAATTGAATTCCTTTTCTAATGAACTTCTCTGTTGCTCTGTAAGTTTTCCCTGCAACAATAATGGCCTTGGATAAGTTTTTGAGTATAATTGTACACAGGACTTCAAAGTTGAGACTCGGAGGCGGGAGTTTCAAAATTTCAACATGTTTTGCTAGAGTAAGAGGCTAAGAGCTACATTTTTAAACTCCCCTGAGTCGAGAGTCACGGTCAAAATTGTGAATTCTTCAAAGTCGATGTTGGAATTTCAGACTGACAGACTTTCAGCAGTGATATAGAAAAGTTGAATATCTTTACAGAAACTCAAACAGCATTAATTTTTGATAGTCTGTTGAAGGATACTTGCATACACCAAATTGTTTGTTTGTTTGTTATTGAAAGTTGATTTCCTCCAATTTGGAGCTAGAAGCGTGTCAAAATTTCTTAAACCTAGTCAGAAATCGAAGTCAATATTTCCTCGACCCAGAGTCAGGAAGGAGTTGGGTACACCCATAGGGTGTGTACCAGGTTAGGGTTAGGCCATTATTTTATTCAGATTTTCCCTATTTTGGTTATATTACGAGTTCTGGGACTGTCTGTGTTAGCCGAGTGAATATACCCCCTGCCCCCTTTATAAAACTTGATGTAAAACAGGTGAACAAAATTAGTTACCTCCACATTGGTACACACACATCTGGAACACCCAGGAGTTGATTATGAATTTTCCCCCAACTCAACAGCTCTGCCTGTACTACATTTTCTTTGAAAATGACACAAAGTTTCACCGAATGGGCAGTAACATAAAAATCTGTCTATATAACTACTTACCAATTTTTTAACAAAAGCAGTGTTTTTCTTCAAACTTGAATCAAGTTTGTGAAAATAATCTTCATCAGGTCGATGATCAGCAGCATTCTGATTTTGAGTTCTGAACTTTGATTTGGCGGCATTCCTTTCATTTGTCTCTTTCAATAAGTTGGAGGCTTGTTCCTGAAATTTATAGTTTGATTGAACATGGATTAGAGCAGTAGAAAAAATTTCCAAACAATAAAACAGATTATTAAGGATAATACAGATAAGGAGATATTGGAACAAGCAAACCCTCTCATATTGTAGGCTGTTGGGTTTTTGAATTTTCGATATGGCTTCTAAACAGTGTGAAATTTCTATATATCTATGCATTCTTTCTTTGCTTAACAAACATCAATATATAAATCCAATACTGCAATATGTCATTTATAAATTAATATATACAGCCTTGTAATACTATGTTTTAAAAACTGAATAGTATCATCCAAAGCTTCCCATTATAGTTTTACCATATTCAAACCAAAAATGATTTCAGGCATTTTGATTATTTAATAAGTAAGACCAAGGAAAAGTCCTCAAACTGCTCTATTCTAAGATTGATGCTATGATAGTAGCCTTGGCCGATGGTATTTAACAAACTATAAGTTTTCGCTTGAAGTGCAGTACATAGAAATAGTTAGAAAAAACTAACATATGTCGAAAGATTGATTCCACGATATAGGATGGGATAGCATTCACATATGTATCCAAGGAAAGATGACGGTGCAGCACCAAGCCTATTCCTAACACTTAGCATGATGGATATGGATTCAGAATGATGACAGTCGGGACAATGTTTAAATCAGGGGTCTCAAACTCGCGGCCCGCGGGCCAATTGTGGCCCGCAGGACGATAGTTTGTGGCCCCCGCCTTGGTATGAAAGTTTAATAATGTTAGTGCGTCCCGTAAGTCACTCAGCTCAGTTAGAATGATTGATGCATTTAATATATGATCAGGACAAGTAGAGCAAATTAAATATTTTATAATCTATCCCCCGAAATGTCATATGCGGCACGGTAACCTACTAGTACCATACCTGTAGGCATGATATTCGATGGACCTTTGACCCCAAAGAAAATTTTCTTTTACCTCACCATTGCAAATTCTTGGTGCTTACTTTAGAGGTGGCTTCGCAAGTTAAGGCCTATAAACTGGGGTATATGTTTCACGTCAATGTCATCATTTTGATTCAAAACATTTAACAACCTGTTTTTCAACAGTACCAGTAGAGAAGTTTGGCCTAGTCTATCACAGCTATTTCTAGATCACTTTTTGATTACTGCAATTAGGCTACGACGCCCAAGCAATCAGAATCATTATTGAGTTCTTTGATTCATACTCAAATTTCTGAAAAACAACCCAAAACTAACAAATAGCATGCAAAAACGAGGAATTGTTTACAAACATGCCTGAAAATCTTTCTGAGTGACAAGTGTCTGAGCGTTTGCGAAAAAGTCTATTGTTACGTCACTTTTTGGGCCTTGCTGATTAGCCAATGTTACGGAATAAACAAGGAAGTAGATGCTCGGGGAAAGGTCCATCGCGGAATTACTTACATTTATGTTTTTGACATGTTTTGTGTATAGAAATATAGTGGAAAAGATTTAACTTTTTAAGTTTAATGCTTTTATTGTGTAAAACCTGATGCGGCCCAGACTCACTAGGGCTCTGTCTCGGCGTCCCCCAGGTAAATTGAGTTTGAGACCCCTGGTCTAAATGATTCATCAACGCTTCAAATATTACTGAAAATAAATTTTTTCATCAACTCAAACCTTCTCCTCTTGAAGCTTTTTCTCATCATCTTCTGTGGTACCTCCAAGTTCAGTTTTATCATCTACACAAAGATAATAAAAAGTTAGAAATTTGACAATAAGAAGAAACCTGCTCATTGCTCATAGTCTATCGGCCAAACTAATAAAAATTTAAACTATCACATAACTGCATGATCTATTCAAGGAACATAGAATTCGCCATATTGCAGTTATTTTGACATGTTTAGATGTTATTCTACGAGTAGTAATGTCTCTTGCCCAATATATGACCAAAAGTCGCAGTTTTTAAAATGACTGTCAACAGTTCTCAAATAGAAAAGTCGAGTTTGAGCATTGCTTAATTTAATGCTAACTTAAAATAGTTGATGTCAATGTTATCGGTTTAATGATTTACCAGTTTAATGATAACAAATTCCACAGAGCAATGCTCTTAAAAAAGGTGAAAGATTAAGTCACATCAAATTGATTCAACATTCCCGACTAGATCATAACAAAAAAGAATTTACCTAGTTCATCAATGATTCTAATCTGTTTAAACATATAAAAATAAACCTCCATTAAAATATGTGTATTTTATACAAAATCCATAACCGTACCTTTCTCATCTTTATTGTCCATGACGAACAGTAATTGCTGTCTCTATGCTGACTTGTTATATATATCACTCAGCATTTAGACATTGAAATTTATTCCTAATTTTCCACTTTACAATACCAAACTGAAAAATTTTATTATAATTCATAAAAAAACAAAATAAAAAAAATATCATTGAGAGCTGCATATAAATAACCTAATTTTTCAGCCTCTGCTATATTTAATAGATGTACCTCTTTTGATCAAGATAAAAACATCGAGCCAAAATATTATTAAACAATGTTATTTATGCTGCGTATGGCCACCATTGCAATCCCCATTTATCAGTAGGGCACAGGAACAACAGCATATGCATCAGACTCAGATCGTGCCATGCTTGTCTCAATAAGTTTGATCAATCGCGGCATGCAGTAGTCGTTCATTTTAGTTTATTTCTCAGTGCGGGATTGCCTATTTGTGCCGATATAGAGGGCCAGACTGTCTGGTAAGTGGTAACGGAGGGGTATGTATTCACTGTTATATTTGATGTATTTTGATGTGGGGGCTATTCCTGGATTTGTTGAATCAGAAAAATCTAATACTCATGCAAAAATACAGATACCGTGTTTGTCATTTTTTTGTTTCTTAGGATAGTTTTGAGGTTAAATAATTTACTATTCCAACAAACAAAAACAATATTTTTGTTGAATATCTATGTTCAACTTGGAAATTTGCACAATTTATTGTAAATTGATAGAAATAGAATTTGGTAATGAAAATATAGAACAGTCGGAGAGTTGGATAAATATTATTTATCAGTTTCCAAATTCCGAAAATATCCCGTCATTTGGTTAAAAAAAACATTCCATATGTCTCACAAACAAGGGGCCTCCTGCCTTCGGACGGCAAATGCCTCATATCACGCCATGCTTGTCTCGATAATAATCTAAATTAATCGCAGTCGTCATGTGACCAAAATTGCTGTTTTTTGAATGCCACGATAAATAAATTATTTTTTCTCCAGAAATTCAATGATGGTGTTTTTAGATTGAGCTTTTTTTTAGTTTATTGCACTATATTTTTACCGATATTGAAAGACAACAATGTCCAGACGTTTCCAAAAATAGGGGTGTCTGTTCATCGGCAAAATGGGATTCTCCGAAACAAGACAATGTGATGTGCCATACTGACAGTGTAGTAGTAGTGTTTCTTTCATCACCATGGGAAAACAAACAGATGGCAAATGCTGAAATGTAAACATTTTAAAAAAAAGGTGAAATTCAGAACTATTTTGGTCTGGTCGTCATCAGACAGTCCAGTAATCAGATGTCAATAATAATTTTTTAAATGCAGGTGTTGTAACTTATTTCTAATCTAATGACATACGGTACTGACATAGCCCAACCCCAGCCTACCTACAGACCTATACCGGTATTCAGACATTTATAAATCAATCAATCAATCATTTATTTCGGTACTCTGACATAAAAACAAAAACAACACAAAAACTGGACAAACAAACAAAATGCAGAGATACCTGGAAGGCGAGCATAACTTAAAATAAAGTTAAAAAACGTAAAGTACGCGCCCGCCCACCGAAAAAAATATTAATACAAGAATACAAAAAACACGATTCAGAATCGGGCAATGCTTTTTAAGGGATCTGTGGACAACTTACACAAAATATAACAAAATTTATGTAGATAAATTAAATGTAATAGACTTCTGACGACCTCTTCCGTCCAATTATGGTAACCTCTTCCGTCCAATTATGGTAAATGAATGAATTATGGCAAACGAATATAACCATTTTAAATCTGTAAATTCATTAAAATACAGGAATACTGAAATAGGCATTTCTTTTAAATTTCAGAATTCAGAAATTGGGCATCTCAGGCTGAGTTCAAACCGACTTGATTCTAATATTCATTGTTTATGTTTTGTGTACGATTTTTTATCCAGTTATTGGAGAAAATCAGAACATACCGTACCGTACTGCCGTACTTATACTCAACTTTGGATTTTGGTTAACGCAATCCATCGTCGCCGGTCTTCACTTAAAACCGCAAGCTTTGGTAAAATGCGTACCGGTACCGGCACTCTATGTTCTGAAATTACTTTAAATGTGCTAAATACTGAATTCCAACCATGCATGGACTAGTCAGAATAACCTCATTCGTACAACCATATGGCATCTTACTGCTGTACTGAAAGGTACCGGTACCGGTAAATATTGAATAAGTTAACCAACTCGCTCTCATTAATAGTTATTACCGTACCGTATACGTCAGACACAGTACCGTACCGGTACCGTACGGTATGTTACGCTACCTGCTCAGTCAGTCAGTTTTCTGTGAGAGTTGCTACCTGTGTTAACTCCATCCATCACTCCATCGCCCAAGTTCTATGGTTAAAGTCCTTCAGTATCAGCGTATAATATGTTGACTCCCAAACAACCCCCCTTCCCAAATTTACGGACCCGTAACGGTTACTCAGCTCCAAGAGTCCAAGCAGCGGCATCTCTGTACCACCATTTTCCGGATTTTGAGTTGGTGCGCTCCACTGAGGTGTATACACCTCAATGGTGCGCTCTCGTCCTCTTACGCACTCAAAGAGTTGTATAAAATAAACAAATATTTTGTTGCAATTATATTCCATATTTATACCGACTGTGAGGCAGTAAGCGCGTTTTCACAAAACCGTTTCTTTTATAGGCCTAGTGTGCAAATATTAACTGCTTGTCCGGTTAACAGTAGAGTCGTCGATTGGTCAAGATTCGACAAATCAGCTGCGTGATGGCAATGTGATGGTTACTAACGCTTACCGCCTTACGACAACCCTTCACCATGTAAGGTTGAAATTCGATATATTCATTAATATTAACCAGATAAACGTTACAGATAAAAGATGGTGGAGAAATGCTATGAACAAGTTCATGCATCTGAAACAAATCTGGCTCGGTGGCGGGACGCATCGTGCTGATCGTTGAAAATACGCTTTCCATGCGCCCCTGATTATCCTTCATGGGTTACCGTGAGGGTAATCATGTGCAAGAGGGTTGCTGGACTACTTTCCGCCGTAGGGTGGTTCACGTAACCGGTGGTCGGCTACGGCTTCCTACATCACCAACTACATACATGTATCTGAAACAAATAACTGACCCCTTACCCGACATGAACTGGTAAACGTGGTATGACAGGGGTTGCGTACCATTTTTTAGAATGGGTATAATATATATTTACGGTATAATATATATATATATATCATATTTTTATTGTGGAAAAGAACATAGACATTTAATCAATGTATGTATTAACGAAAAACTTGCTTTTGCATCTTTCTCGCGAGTCTTATACTCCTGTGTTGGTATTGTGTAGTTTTGAGTTCGAATGCATTTGAAAACGTTTTTCAGGGTGTTGAAAGTGAAAGTTTCTTGGTGCCCTAAGCACGTGCGTATTTTGATTTATGGTCAATTCGACCCTGACTACGGCATCCTTGCATTATTATACGCCTACAAATCCGTCAGCATAACATAGCTAGACAAAATAGAGTTAGTCTCGCGTTGTAAACCTTCAGTGAAATCGAATATTACCAGTAGGCTATTGAAGTTGAATGCTATTGAAACATTTACCGACTGACGCATTTGAACAATATTGAAGTTACGGTGAAATGCTGGTTAAACCTTCAACGGCTGACGCTTTTTAACAGTACTTCATTCCTGCCTTTAAATTGTCTCTTTCCTGGAAAAAATATAAAAGCCCTATAGTATCCTAACCAATGTACAGTAGCGTAAACCGGTTTACAGAGCCTAGAATTTCAGCAGTTGTTTTCGCATAATCATTCCCCGTGGATTGATTTGAAAAAAGCACTTTGAATATAAAAAAACGGATGAAAATGTTCAGAGATAAGGAATCAGACTGAGTCAGCACCTTTTGCAACAGCATTGTTGTTTGACTTTACCGTTAATCGCTAATCATTATTAACGTTTTATTATTGAAAATTATTAGATTTTTGCTATTAGATTAGCTATGTTTATAGCTGATATTTTTAGTTAATTAAGTAGGTCCTAGTTTCACCCTTTCCGAAGACTTTACAGCGTTGTCTTTGACGCGGTAATAGGCAAATAGATAGATTGTTGGGGAAGAGATGACAGGTTAGCACGAGAATTTGAAAGATAATTCGAATCAAAACTCAATTAAAACAAAAACTGCTGAGAAACAGCTAGAAAGAATAACATGGAAATTTCCTTGAATGGCGGAGAGCTATATTCTAACAGTGGGTGACAACTAAATAGATATTATGCCTATAAAGTCAAAAACATCGAAAATAAATTATTTTAATACACCCAGTGCATAATACATTCGAAACGAAAACGCTAGTTTTAGTTACCTGAGCTTTATAAGTTTTTTAACTCATCGAAAACAACTATATTTTACTCCCCCTCCTTACTGAAATATGTGTTAAATTTTCGCGCAATTATCCAGTTCAGGTTTACAATGAAAGTGATTAATCGTTTTCTCGCCTATCACAGCGCAATTTTGAAACGAAAAGGCGAGTTTCAATTAACAGAGCGTATAAGCTTTTCTAATTTATTCAAAACAACCCGTTATACGGAATGAAATATGTCTTTAATTGTCGTGCAACTACACAGTTCGGTTTTACATTGGAAGTGATCCATTGTTTTCTCACCTATCGCAACACTTAAAATGGGTTTAGCTTGTACCATCAAAAGTACGTCCGCTGTAGGAATTCGAAATATCATAGATATATTGTACATGAATTAGATAACTCTAGATGCGAGCTTTCTGCTTAATTTAAAAAAAATCACCATGATAATATTTAAGCATATTTCAGGTAGTTTCATTATTCACAGTGATTTGGCAACTCTTAGTTGATTGATTTGACAATTAAACAGAAATACATTACTGATAAAACGTCATTATCCAGAATAACAACTTGACTAAAATGGCTCTATCATCTAGTTTGCCAAACAGTCATCATTCTGAATTTACTAGTTAGCTATTCTAATGAGTAATAAATTGGTTAGGGCATTTACTAGAAAGGCGCTCTGGTAAACTGATACTCAACTTTCAGTTCTCATGACGATGCACATCTTCAAAGATTGGTTGCGACGCCTAAATCACGTCGCTAAGCTCCCCCTGTTGAAGTCCCATTTGTTCAAAGTTATGAATACATTTTGATGCGAACTAACAATGCTTGGGGCATTGGCTTCATTTATTTGCGATAGGACAGAGAAAGAAAGAGACTACGGTAATGTATCACGCAATGAAATTGTGTCTTAGCTTTGTTAAATTTTAGAAATATTTTTGTCAAATAATTGCCAGCAAATACCCTTATTAAATCAATTCAAATGAATACTACAAAAATTCAGTTATTGTTGAAAATATTTACGTCAAATTACTCTATTATTCAGTTCAAAATCGGTAAATGTGGGTCATAAATGGATCGTAATTGGTGTATGAAATTTCCAAATTACGCTCCAGTATATTAAATTTTGACCGAGTATACGGCTTCTCTTCAAAAACCTCAATCTATAATAACAGCGGCACAATCGCTTTCCAATTTCAGTCAAAATTGCAATCGCCACATTCATAATTTCAATGCTGGAATGTGGTTGGAAGCTTGTGAACAAAGCGCATCAACCACATTCAAGCTATTTAATTTTGAACTGTAATAGTTATGTTACATTTGTACTACCAAAGAAGAAAGAACGAGAAAGGATAGAACAGTTCTAGTCATAACATATCATCAAATAGAAATAATCGAATGAGACACCTGATTTGTAAAAAAAAGGAGATTTATGTCACTTCAAGTTTTACTGTAGAATAACGAAGAAACCGAACAGGGAAATTTAATTAACCACTCTTTATGAAAACAAATTTTATGAAAATTTCTTATTGGGATTTCAGATAACATCGACTAAAGTGAGGATGAGTGTAGACTAGAACTATTGTTAGCAAACTACAAGCGTAAAAATAAAAATAAATCGTTGTCGTTTCCGTTTCCAAATAGTTTTACGCCAGCATGTCATCGAGGGTTCTTTCTTTATAGCTGTAACAGAAAAAATGGTTGATTGTACATGCAAATTGAATAACAAGTGTGAATGAAGAATTTTCAAAAAGTGCAGAACGCAACAGTCAATATATAACGATATTTAATTTCTTGGTAATTGACAACAACAGCGAGAATTTGCGAGAGGTCTAAACGGCAAGTTTCTTTTGAGTACGGCAAATATGACGATAAGCAAATTATTGGAAAATTAAGTTTTCAATAAAGTAAATTACTTGTAATCAGTGTTAATTAGGAGTCTCTGAACCAGGAGAACGCAGTCCAGTAGAGTCACCAGTCATTCGAGTCTGGAGTCGGATCAATCACTGAGCTAAGTCTCACTGGTAGTTAGTTGGGCACGAGCCCTGATCATTTTCATTTAGATGACTCTGATAATTCCGAGAATTTTATAAATGTCCAACACTGCGTTTAATCGATTGCATATGAATGGGAAAACATATTTGCAAAAAGACATTCAGTGAAGTAGACTTAGCTTGATTACAACGTGCAAAAAAGGGCAAATTACAAGACAAGGGCCATCATTCAGCGCAATTACGCACCGGAAAGATCCATTCGTTGAGCCTTCATCAACCTCGTCGTACCTTTTCCTCGAATCGTCGTTCCCACTGAGCCTCTGTTTCCCCTGGCGTTTTTTCTTCAAGTATAGGACCAGCACCACTATGATGGCTATAACACCGCCCAGAACTCCTTGGACAACACCTGCGACGGCACCGCCATCTAAAAATGTAATTGTGTTGAGACAAATGAAAAATTGAAGATTTATACATTATCCGATCAAATTGTTGGTAGAAAAGCAGTGAAAATCTTACTTGAATTTTACAGTAGATTGTTCCTACTATAAAAGCGAGATTCATTTCCATATGTGAAAGAGTTTATGTGATGTGTGATGTTTTTTCGATACTACCCTTTCAATAATATATATATAAGAATTCTATCTGAGTATCACAGAAAAATGGGAGAGATAATGATAATTCCAAAATAGGTGATTTTTACAGTAGTTCGTTTACTCGAGGGCGCAGGGACAAAGTAAGATTGATTTTAACAGCAAAACTACTTTACGCCCTTCTGTCACGTTGTGCTTTAAAAGCTTACAATAGAACCTTGTTTAACCCATTGTTTTTTGTTCTTTTAATGACCTATATAAAATGACAAAAGTGCAATAATGAAACAAATCTGGATTCCAAATTTGTTGACTATATGTGCCAATAACTAAGAATGATTTCCGCCGGGAAAGCGAAGTTCCAACAGTAAATACTAATAATAAATGATGAACTAGATTGAGAAAATATGACGCCATCCATCCTAAACTTTGAAGGTAGTGGGCGAACAAATACCACCAAGTTAAATAAGATTTTTAGACATTCGATGAATAGCTGATTTGTCAACGACTTTAAATACCCAAAGTTCCAAATAAGGCAAGAGGCTCAAATTAAAACGAAAAATTTGTTAAACTGTAGTTGATGAAGCTGTAAAATTTAGATTGAAGAAATGCTGATATTTTTTCCGTCGCGATTATTTATTCTCCGACCTTTGTTTTAATAGTTTTTAAACCACGCTTGATGATTCATCTTCAATACAAACCTACAAAATCCCGTCCACGACGTAATTAATATCGATATCGTACAAAAACTACCCAATTACGACGAAGTGCCTATGATATACTAACACGTGTCCTCTACCAATAAATATTTACGTTAATATTGTCAGAATGCCGGCAATCAGAAGAATAACCACCATTACAGCAATAATAGTCGGTGTCAAGTCTTCCTCTGTAAAATTATTTCAATATTTCCTCTTGATTATGAAATAACATATGAATGACGAACTTGCAATATAATTCTAATAACGTGAATTGGGCATTAATTTAGATTTTCCTAATTTTGTCACAGTAATTGTAAGGGTAGTCTTCTAATTCAAGTAGCTATTCAGATAAAGGATATTATGATTAAAAGAGCTTAACAAAAATGAGACATGTTCATAACTCGGTATGCAGACTTTCCGCTCCATACGTTCAAACCAACGAACTTTTTCGATCACATGACGGTTTGAGTCATGATCTTGTTTTTTATTCGCTTGGGAGTTGGTTGAAAATAATAATATAAAGATTCGTATCGATAGTAGATTAATAATAGGACATTTTTGACTAAAAATTAAAGTCATAACTCAAATCGTCTCATGTTGTCTTGTTGGATAAGTGTGAGGAGCGTGACACATATGTATATTTTTATGGCACAACACGCAGTTGTGAGAAATTTATGGCATGGTATCCCGGTACAAATGTACCAACAGTTATGATTTGGCAGCCTATCAAAATGCACGCAATAAAAATCACAGATTGACCCCAATAAAAAAAAATTTGACAAAAAATGTTTTCGAACATACTTGTTTGTTCACATCTTGGTCCTTGATAAAACGTAGTACATGAGCATTTAGGATCACCAACTCCATCTGAAGCAGTACAAGTTCCACCGTTCAAGCAGTAGTCGTCTCCGTTGTATTGGCATTGTGGTTCACAGCTGTAACATTAAAAATATATATATTTATATTGTTATCATCGCACTCAAGCAGTGATAAATTAATTTAAGTTTCGCAATTTCTGTCATAACGAAGCAATAGGCTAATTTCTGACATACACAAAAACAAATATTGATTCCCTCCGCTCTCCTAATTTGGAAAAAATGGTATATGGTTTATAATCCATATTCAGATGACCCCATCCAAAGAGTGCATAAGGAGTAGGTTTTTTTGAGAGAAATTCTTGCATAAGGTCGATCAAATACCATTAATATTTATTATAACCAGGGTGAAACATGGATCTTTGATTCATGGTGGATATTGAGCACCCTGAAAGATCTGTAATACAGGTAATATTTAAAATGATAACAAATAAACTATAGTTAGCTATTCTCGAACAATAATTTTAACAAGATATATTCTTGAGACCAACCTTGTTCCTGGATCTGTTAAATTCTTGTCTCTAAATCCAGCTTCACATTCACAGGAATATCCAGGATCTTGGTTTGAACATACAGAATTTACATGGCATGTTGTGTACAGCGTCGTATTTTGACATTCGTTAAAATCTGAAGAAAAAATACAATTTTGTATTAAATTTTGATGCTGGAAATACACAGATCTACAGTCATAGATAACCTAATTAATGTAGAATTGAGGACTGCATTTGATTGAGTTGATTTCACATAATTACAGTTGAGGCATGCAATAATGCTTTTTTTAACTAACAAATAGTCTTTCCATAGAGAGAGAGTTAGGTGATAGAAAATATTGCAATCCCGACAAAGTAGCATTATATCACATCCTGAATGACAACTTTTGCTAATTTTATTCACAACCAACGGAAAATGCAACGGTTATGCAACAGAAAACATTGTTGCATTATGCTACATTCGAAATGGCCACTTTTGATCATGTAATGAAAGAAAACTGTTAGCCTATTCATGTAGTGGAGTAGGTTAAAATTACTTGTTGAGAACCCCTGATGTTAAATATTCACATATTTTCAAGTGGGGTATTGTATATAATATTTTGGGGCCATTCAATCCCTATCCTACAAGTCTTGTCTGTCATGATATAGGTATTCATACTAATGTACCTGAAACTGCCGAAGAATCAACAGTAAAAGCTCCGAGAACTGGTGCTGTGCCACTGGCAATAACTGCATTGACATTATCATTCAAGGTTGTGGAATTAGGAGAGTTAGGAGGTATATCAATTGTGCCATCGGCAATAACACTGCCAGATGAAAATCTCAAGTTCACACTAAACACCACAACATTGAATTCTCCAAACAATCCGAAAATCTAAAAATGAATGATAAAAACAAAAATTTTAAGATGAATGCTACATTTTTTCATTTTCATAAATGATATTTCTTTAAAACAATTTTTTGTCTGTTATTTTTTCAAACGATGATTTCACACGATTTCGTGGTATCATATTATTTAAACAAATGAATGAAGTTTTTTTTCCTAAATTCATCAAGTATTTGAATCTTTCCACAACAGTCATTGACCAATTTCATATTTGCATAAAATTATAATTACAAAAACGGTATCTTGAATTGTCCCTAAAATTTCCAAGTATTTGCACCTAATTAGTCCCTAGTCCCACAGAAACCAAATCATTAGCACAAATTTGCACTAAAATGGTAAATTATTTTATAAGAAAATAGGATTTTGGACAATAGTAACAGTTGAAATTTACAGTCATGTTGAATGAGTTGATTTGAAAATTAAATTTTTAAATTATAAACATTAAATTGTCAAATTATAAAGATTCTATCAAATTCTCTTATATAGCATATTCAGTAATGCGTTATCTCATTCAAACATCTATCTTTACATTCACATTTGTAGCAGCTCCTTCTAGTTTTATTTCACTGAACAAGCAAGAAGCAACAACTAATTGATGACATGTAACTTTAGGTTTTGGAATAAAAACCTCACCAATCGATAAACAAGACCAACTGTTTGTTGGTACACAGCACTGTTGACATCTCTCATTTCTTCTACGAAGGTAATTGATAAGACACGGATTCCAAACCCAACACGTTGTCTTCCTGTGAAACAAAAATTGTGAGGTATTCTTATGGTTTCTCTTACTCTAGGGACAAGTAAGAGTATAATGAAAGAACTGTTCTAAAATAAATGTAAATGTGTTTTCCTAATAGTTAATATTGCACATTGCAGTATCGTTCATGACTTTTTCTAAATAATATTTCCATATTGTCGACTGTTTCAGTAGACAGCAGTTGATGCAATATTTGAAAGCTATGGTTCAGAAAATCGCTGATCAATTATGGCTTAACCCACCATCTATGCATCTGAATGAAATAACTTGCCAATAATCCCGTACCCGACATGAACTGGGAGGTCCGAAACAAATAAGTGGTTCGCCATATGGTTAAGCTGTTTTAGCTTCTTTCCTTTCTAACAGAATGAATATGTGAATCCCATGCTATGATCGATGTCTAGGGCCATAGTACGCATTCAATGGAAAACAAACAATCTTACAAAAAAAAGAAGAAATTTTCTTGCTGACCGAACTCTGAATTTATATTTAAAATAAAAATGAAATTTCTGTTAAAATTGAACATATTGGAAGCGAAAATGATTGAATATAAAAAACATATAATAATTAATTTATATGTACTTCTGCATTGTCCTTCATAGGATACTTCATCAAACCCACAGCTCACTGTAGGGAAGGTAGGCGTTTCACCTGAATATAAAATTGAGATTTACTTGTTAATCCAAGTCCGGAGAAATTTTTCATTTATGAATCATTATTTAGATATAAATTTATTTTAATACCATGTTGTTTAGGAGGAGAACCTACTCGAAAAAAATAGATACCGGTATCTGAAATTAAAGTTCATTTTGTCAAACTTTCTTCTCAGCCATCTTAATTTTATCACAATTTAGCAGCGTAAAATATATCTTGTTATTGCTGTTTGTATTTTGACTCAATTCAACTGTGCTTACTTTTTTACCATTTAATTTCGTCAGAACGAAGTATAGTCGTTCTATAGTTCCTATAGAATCTAACTTCATGACAAAAGCTATAGCAGGCCTCATCACAAGTTCAAATTTGTGACAAACCAACTAAACATGGACATTTGACAGGTGTTCATAAATTAAGAAAACATACTTGCAAAGTACTTACCAAAGGCAGTTACCAGCGAATTTAAAAAACAGTCTGGCATTAATATTAATTTTAAACTAATCATAATGTAATTTCAATTAGTGAAGTATTTGTACAGAAATTGTTAATTGTTGAAAAACTTAGTAAAGCTACCCTGAATTATTATTGTTACATGCAACTACCAGTGACGGCTATTAGAGTAATTAATGTAAAACTTATAATTGTCAAAGTAAAATAAATAAATTTTTGATGTCAATAAATAATTAGGAAATGTTGTTTCTTCACATAAAAAGCATTGCCTATCACCAGGTACTTTCAAAACCTATGAACTTATTATTTTGAAAAATTATATTTTTAAATGAGAAATATATATATACTAGATTGCGTCATGTTATACATAGAAATTTGATTAATATAATTGTAAATTTATACAAATTGTATCTCGTAGTGCAGAATAGATGATATAAACATGGCATAGAATTGTTTGATATTTTCAATGAGGTCTGACAAGCAGATGTTGAATGCTAAAAAATGACAAAAAATTTTGAATGAAACTATTTTGAATTATTTCAAATAGTCAAGAATTTACTAAATCAAACATGGCAAATTATGTATCACGCTTTTGATTGGTTTTGGACATCCTTGAAACATTCCTCCGAGTTCTTTATTTGAATATACCAGTAATTAAAAATTCAGTTTATGAAATTTAATCTGCTTTACTCAAGGAATTGCAATTTATTTGATATATCTATCTTGATTTGTTACCATGTTAGGTTAGTCATGTCACAATTTATGAATTTCGTGTTCATGAGATTGAAATTCTTTTTTTGGTAAATATGCTCATCAGAAAGCATTTTTCAAATTGAGAGTCAATTCACAGATGCATACAAACCACAGCTTCAACATGTTGTTGAAGTGCAATTTGTGTATGTTTTACAGTTGGGAGTAGATTGGTTCTAAGCAGTGAAAAATGTTTTTAGTCTTTATAGAGAATTCAACATGGGAGTCCAATGACTTCACAAATTTGTGTATTTAGATTATAGATTACACATCTCACAAAGCTAACAAACATGCTTATTAAATATTGAAAGACCTTCTAAATTAACTTTGAAAACCAACAGATAAAATTTGGCCATTACCTTCGTGCTCACCATTGAAATACATACAGCAATAATTAGTAATAAGCATGCAATATTAGATATGATAGACACACATTTTTTCTACATCTGGTACTATTTACCATTACCTGCACTAGTTGGACTATCCGTGCTGGTAAAAGTTGTTGCTGCAAGTGTGCTAGTGCTAATTGATGCAGTTGGTATAGTTGTTATAGGAGTAGCATTAGTTTGTTCAACAAAAATATTGGTTGTTGTCAAAGATGCAGATGTGTCTGTGGTATTTTCTGCCAATGCAGCAGTAGTGGGTAAAGCAGCAGCAGTACTTGCTTCTGCTGTTGTTTGTATAATCGTGGAAGTGGTACTTTCTGCCAATGCAGCAGTAGTGGGTAAAGCAGCAGCAGTACTTGCTTTTGCTGTTGTTTGTACAATCGTGGAAGTGGTACTTTCTGCCAATGTAGTGGTGGTAGTGGTACTTTCTGTCAATGCAGTGGTAGTAGGCAAGGTTGCAGCAGTGGTTGTTGTTGCAGTTGTTGATGCAGTTGTTGCTGCAGTGCTCGAGCTACTGGTGCTACTAGAGATTATCTCTGCAATTACAGTGCTACTAGATGCACTAGTTACATCAGGTGCTTTGATCGTACTTGTTGTTGTGGCAATAGGTTCTGTCGTGGTTTCAATTGCAGTGGTTGTTTCTGGTTGGACAACAGCAACTGTTGTTCTAACCTCTGCAGTGCTACTTAGTGTGGTTGTGGTGATGGCTACAGTGGTTTCTAAAGCATAAGAATTAATACCCTATTGAATTTATATAATGAAATATTTGATTCAATTATCGAACATATCTCAAATTTATGATGCCCCTAAGAAAGAATAATGTGCTCACAACTAGATTTGATTCTAAGTGAGAAGGTGGACTATATATTGTGATTGTGATATGACTACATGCCACAAATTTCTACCAGTTTGAAACCATTATTCCATGTATAGAAAGATTCCAATGAATTCCAATTTCCAATGAAGATTCCAATGAAATGACATCACATTGCAATTCACATATATACGAAAAACACTCGCTATCACACATAAACCCTAATCTACCAAGCACAACACAACAAACCTATCTTTAAAAATGAATCACAAAAACACTGTATTCTGTCAAAAATGCCACTGAATAACTAAGCGCAAACAATAAAAGCATACCTGCTGCAGTGCTAGTAACAGTACTCTCGCTAACAGCGGTACTTTCAGTAAAGCTCAAAACTTGAGTTGTTTCAGCTGCTGTTGTATCTGCTGCAGTGGTAGCATCAGCGATGGTGGTTATTGGTGTTGTCGTAGCCATAGTCGTCGTGGTTGGTGATTCAGATGTTGTCATTTCAGTAGTTGGGGCCACTGTTGCTGTAGTAACTGGCACTGAAACTAAAAATAATATATGTGGTATCATGAAACATAAATACATAAACAGATGCCACTTGTTAGAGAAAGAGAAGAAAATATTTTGTCTATCTTACTCACACACTATTAAAGAGTTTGTAATATTTATAAGTCGTTTTCAATTCGATAAGCTTAAGAAACTTACGATAAATTACTTCGTAAACAAAAAGAAAACTAGAAAAAGAAATAAAAAAAGGTTATTCACCACTCCATATTAATACTTTTGTAACAGCCAAATTGAATACCAAATTAGTAAACAGGAATAAACAGTAAAGAAAAATATTTAGTAAAATCTTTTGACTGATACAATGAACAGAATGGCAGTTCTACTGAGTCATGCAACTAGGAAAATCTATACAACACGTCCATCCTATTGTCTACTTCAGGACAGTTGCCGCATTTATTGTGTATTACCATACCTATAGATTCGTATTGGTAATAAAATAAAGTTTCTTGAATTGCAAATCTTGTATTTAAATAAAATTACATATGAACAATGAAAGATATCACAGGTACATTACCTGTCATATTGATTCCAGTACTTCTCAAAGTTTGATGAACGGAGTAGATAGTAACTGTTGTGCTTACACCAGGAGTAATTGCAGTAATAAGAGCCTCTGGTTTACCAGTATTATCTGTAATTTTGAAAATTCTGCAAGTTATATTATTGAATGTAACAGAATAACGTATTTGAATATTGGGATGTGATGTGTTAAACTGATTTTGGTGGACGGGCGCGCACTCGTACTTTCAATTTTGCCTTAATTTATGCTCGTCTTCAAGATATTTCTGCATTTTGTTTGTCCATTTGTTGTTGTTTTGTTTTATACCAGAACGGCCAGAATAAAATTGATTGATTGATATTAGTCGTTGCAAGAAATGTTGCATGTATTGGGTCTTGAATCTAGTATATATGAAAACCTATACTAAAAGAGTAATTGCAGTAATAAGAGCCTCTGGTTTACCAGTATTATCTGTAATTTTGAAAATTCTGCAAGTTATATTATTGAATGTAACAGAATAACGTATTTGAATATTGGGATGTGATGTGTTAAACTGATTTTGGTGGACGGGCGCGCACTCGTACTTTCAATTTTGCCTTAATTTATGCTCGTCTTCAAGATATTTCTGCATTTTGTTTGTCCATTTGTTGTTGTTTTGTTTTATACCAGAACGGCCAGAATAAAATTGATTGATTGATATTAGTCGTTGCAAGAAATGTTGCATGTATTGGGTCTTGAATCTAGTATATATGAAAACCTATACTAAAACATTAGCAGGAAAACACATCTTAAAGATGATTCCCTCATACCGATTTCTATGATTGCAGTATCTGGTTTTACAGTTCCCGAATAATTATCAGGTATGGTTGATGGAGCATCCCATTCTATTGCAACAGATCCATAGGGTAGGTCAGCAACTGCTCTCTCTCGAATCTTGGTAGGCGGACTAGGTCCTATATAAATTCAAACATGTAAATTAATATTGGCAATATGTCGGAAATTGTAACATAGTAACAGCAATTAACTTTTAATTAGAAAAAAAATGAACTAAAATTTTCGCCTACATAGGAAACATAATTTTAAAAAGCTGTCTTGATATTATATAAAAGTTCTACATACTTGTCCATTGATAAACTCCATTGCTCTTTTTACTTTCTTGAGTGTTGTGTGTGCATGTCAGTTCAATCAAGTATTGGGTCATTGAGAGTAACGGAGTTACTGTTGTCTGTTTATTTAGAGAATTTAGAGTATTGGATGTGACATAGTTGCAAAGTTGGGCAGGATAGCATCGTTTTCATGATGAATTATTTTATAATATGAGTGTAGATGACTAGCCATCCCTAAGACTAATTATCTCCCTATGTAACTGTAAATCAATTTAGATATTCAATTCATATTCTCAGATGTACAATGGTATAATAATTGATATTTCATTTCCTGTCAATTTGAAAATTCACAAATTCTCAAAATATCATAACATGGACGTTATAAATAAAGTAAAGTGTTGGTTTTCTGGGCAGATCTTGTATGAAGCCACAGAAGTTTTAACAATCTTCATACATTGACAAAGGATGCTTATCATACATAATTAGTAAATATTCATCAACAGGTACCATACAACTAAGGGTCACCATCAATGAGTTTTTCAGCACCAGAGTGAGATAATAAATACTTATCTTGACTGCTATTAAGTCTTTATGATAGCTGACAAAAAATTGAAAACAATATACCGAGTTCAAAAAACTCACAGAAGACTGGGTTGCAGATACGGACATAGTTCCTGTGGTTCCATTGCCGGTGTAATATATCTTGATATCCGTACAGTAGCCAATGGTAGGTTTAACCCAAGAAATCTAAGAAGAACACAGTGTTAATGTATTCATGGTGTTATGAACCAGAATAAATTTATGAATATGTAACAATAGACAGAAATAAAGAAAATGATCATATTTATGAATTGTAAAATAATACATCTTATTTATTTTTGTATTATACATTTTAAAAATAAGTTAAAATTTTTATTTTTGAAGAGTGGAAAGCCCACAAGATGACTTAATCATATAGCGAGCCACTGCCTCTCGTTCGCTTACCAGTCCATGGTAGGTAAGGAATCAGATGCGTGAACTAACCAGCAGTTATGTGGACTACGTACGGTACTTGACTGTATTGAAAAGGGCCAGCAATCCTCTCGCACATAATTCCCATGAGATTTAAATATGTGAACCCACACAGGGTAATCATAGGTGCAATGGAAAGCGTATTCCTAACACTTAGCACAATGTGCTACTTGACGCCCCAGAGGTGTTTATGGGGTATCCAAAAAATTGAATCATAATAAGAAAGTTGATGGTAAAAGTAACTTACTGCAATGCTATTATCTGTAACAGTTACATCTGACAATGTGACATTGTTGAGAGTTGGTGTCAATATAAGAGTTTTTGTTGTAAATTCAGCCGACTTGGGTTCGCTCTCCACTCCATTGTAAATAGCCAAGAATGTGACTGAATAGGAGATAATTTTTGTTTTAAATATTCGAATAAATTATACTTGGATAAAATTGAAAATTCACTCACTTGTATAAGTAGTATCAAAATCTAATCCAGTGAAGTTTTGCATTGTGTTGTTTTTGAGGAAGGTATAGAGCATCGGAGTTCCAGAGCCATCTTTTTTAGAAATGGTTACTCTAAAAAAGAATGGATATGCTTATACTAAAACTGGATTTAACATCTTTATTCTGCTATTGCATGAAAATTCTGTGTGAAAACCTTTTATGCATATGAAATTTCTTTGAACTCTTTTGCTTCTATGTTCTGTATTAATTAACCTACTTTTTATACGAGAGGGATTCAATTATTGGTAAAATTGCAATCTTAATGATTGTCATAGCCTATAACCATTTTAAGTATTGACACCCACATCTTCATCTTTAGCGCTTCACAACACTTCTCTTTAGCACTTGTTTTTCAATCTTTTCAGTGCCATGGACTCTTTTATCATTTGTTGACCCCTAACAGTTATGTTATGTACTCTACTATTATGTATCTTATCAAAACCTCTTATCAAAGGGAGGGACTCAGTCTTAAGTGTGATGCCTCAAGAGCAATCCAAACCCCTGCATAATTTAAATTTATTATCATTTTGTTTTCACCTATTGCACGTAAAGCTCATGGATCCAAAAAATCTTTCAGTGGTCCATTCAGGGCCATTAAATCAATGGTAACCAAGAATATATATGAATGGTGGATTTAATTGCATTCCTTAAAATATCATGTACCACTTGCTCAACACTTTGCTACATTTGCCACACTTTTTCCACTTGTACCACACAAGTTCCACTTGTCCCATTTGTTTATCCCCTTAACAGTGCGTGTTAATTCAGTTGGTATGGTTCAGATGTTTCACCACAGTACATTCCACATTCCTACAAGACACTACAAGATAGTCCAGAGCAAACTTTCCAAAATTTCAAATAATTTTCAAAGAAATGAACAATATAAAATTCCAAATCAGAATATTCTTTTTACGTCAATGAATGCAAAAAAACTTTTAAAGAACCTTATGGTATCTGCTCGTGGTGGTTCTGTCCAGGTCATGTACATACTGTTGTGTCCAATGTTGGCATCAGCAATTGCATTTAATCTTGGTGATACAACAACTGTAAAAAATTGAAAATGATCATTGAATTTATTTCATAACATGAGAATAGTGTCAGTTTAGTATTTATAACTTTTAGGCTTTAAATGCCTATGTACAAATATGAAACAATTATTATGTTACAAAATTTTATTTACAAACAAAGATTTCAGTTCATAAAAGGCAAATTTTACAGTAAAAATACAAAGTCAGATCATCTGAACAACAACCATTCCAATTGTATCATTTTTGTTTTAATATAAATAAGTAAAACAACTTGAAACATTCTGTTACTCTCTATAAATATCTTTTTTGATACAAGAACACATGAAACACTATTAGAATTGAGAAGAACAGCAGTGAAAAATCAAAACAAAAACTGGAGTATTTGTATTACCGACGCAGGTGGTGACAGTTACATCTGATATTCCTGATACATCTGCATAATATTGTTCACAAGAGCAGTTATAGGAACCAGCGAGTTCAGTACATATTGAATTGGAGCCACATTTATGTGTCGTTGTACATTCTGGTATGTCTTCGCAGTGTGTTATGTTGACAGCTTGGAAACCTGTTAAATGTAGTTGATTATTAAAATTGTCTTTCTAAAAATATCCTTATTATGTTGGTTACTGGTAAGTTTCAATGTAAAGCAAAAGCCAGAATATAACAATTTTCGAATGTAATAATTTTCATGGTACTTCAAAAACATTATTTAATCTGCTCTGAAAATGTGATGAAAACTAATTTTTGTTGTGAATGTTGGGAATGTGTGGACTAATTGAAGATTACTAATTCAGAATCATATTTTATAGCTATCCGGAGACAAAGTTATTTTTGTAATACCGGTATTTTCGATAAATTTTATTTTTGTTGCCTCAGTTATCAGTAGTTTATTTTTCTGCCATATTGAAAATACATGCGCACACACACAATTTAAAATTTAATATGGGGTAAAATAGCATTTTGGGTAAAGGAAGGCATTCAAAAAGCATCATAAATTTACAAAGTAGAGGGGCGAGATTTTTTCAACTCCTAAATATTATATTATATATCCTTGCATGCATAAGTAGAAATTAGACACTATGTACCAGAATTGCAGGCACAATTGGCTTGATCTGAGCTGTTTCTATAGCAGACTGAGTTGACACAATCCAATGTATTCCCTTCAATACAAGATGCTGTAGCACTGCATGCCCCATCTACCTCAGAGAATCCATCATAACATGAACAATTGAAATTACCTAAATTAAATCAATGCAAATTTGAATACAATTTATATTATGAATATGTATCAGTTGTTTGAATTTGCATGTGTTAAAATGGTGAAAATGGTGAAAAGAATATCTTTTCCTAATTAGCACTAAAGGTTTTGACTAAAGATATTCTAAACGCTCATTCATTTTGGACCCTTGGTATAGTATTATTTTTTGAAACATTGATTTCTCAAGAAGCACACCTTCTAATCCTTTTCATTATGGTTTTCTATATAACCTAAATCTCCAAATTAACTCTTGCATATAGAAGTGTAAATTGTTGCAGTAAATTATGGTGATAACTATATTCATATGTATGTTTATATCACTAGGTTGAAAAAAGTATTGGAATGGTTTCTGACAATGCTAGGTTCCATTCTCATAAATATTTGTGTTTTTAGCATAGTATTAATAATAGTACAATAGTTCAACTTATAAACATCAAAATTGAGTTACCATCTGTGTTTGTGCAGTTCTGTTGACAATTATCTGGATTTATACATTCATCAAAATCAACGCATGACTTTCCATCTGAGTCGAGAACAAAGCCAGAGTTGCATGTACACACATAGCTTCCTGTAAGTAAAAATGAGTACTGTGAAAAAGAGAAATATGAATCTAATAGATTTCATTTTTAAAACTGATCATACAAGATTACCGGTAAATTACATCTAAAATAAGCAAGTATCCATTATAGAAGTAATGGAAGAAAGCGCATAAATTACTTACTGCTTAAAAACTTTCTGGCTAAATTATATTCATAAATTATAAATCATAGAATACCTATTTACATTTTAGCAGCTTTTAAAATTTTGTATGTTAATCACAGAATCCCAGCTTACCAATATTGTTCTGACAAGTTGTATTACAAGGACCTTTGCCACCATTAGAAGAGCATTCATCAACATCATCACATTTGTTAGTAACTGTGTTGTAGACATAACCTTGATTGTTGCAGAAACATCTGTTGTTCGATTGGAATAGAAAAAAATTGTGTGTCATGATTTCTAGACACCGTTTTACCACTTATGTAGAGAATTACTTCAGACTGCCAGGTTGAAACTCATTTGATCTGAATGCACTCGTACTGAGTAGCATACAAGCCACACATATCATGATCACTGGTACTTGCATAATTAATTTTTATGTTTAAAAATACACAAATATTTTCCTATATCTATATTTACAAATTCCAAACGAAACATTATAAGGTGCTTCACTTGAAAGCAGGGTAAGAGTTGAACTACATTTTGGATTGGATTGGATTTACATATTTATCCCGGAGGAGAGGAAAGCCGATAAGACGGTTTAACCATATGGCGAACCACGGCCTCTCTCCGGTCATCATTCCATGTCAGGTATTGGATTAGTGAGTTATTTGTTTTTTGAAAGCATGGACTTGAAATGGGAGCATTCTGTTTTGGTATTACAAGTAAGATTTTTACAACTTTCCTTGCGTTAAACTAAGGTTTAATGTTTGGCTGACTTTCACATATTCTCTAAAAACATAGATTACCGCAAGTAGTAATGAACAAATAAAAAGAAGATACTGGAAACTGAAAGATAAAAAGCTTCTCAGTGTTCCATAGTTAATATAAGTAGGGTTCATAGAATAAAAATGATTAATATAAATCGAACAATAATCACTGAAACACACTGGTAGCTGCCAGGAGGAACATTGATACAAGCACTATCCGCTGCACAATTGTCTGTTCCCAGAGTACATTCATCGATGTCAGCACATGTTCCAGTGTCATTGGAATATCCCGGAGCACAATTACACCTGAATAAATTGAACGCATTTCAAGTTCTGTTTTTAATTCTGAAAATCTTTTTAAAAATTTATATATATCATTTCACACAATAAAAGTCAAGCCATGTATTTTGCAGAGCAATGTTTTTTCTGACTCACTGAGTAAGATTATCGGAAATACAAAAATCGCAACAAGTTTATCTTGTGTAGAAATAGAATTATCGCGACCAACAATAAGAAATCAAGGCCGCATAACCTCAAATTTAAGCACATATCACTTACAGAATTTTGTTCAAAGCAAGTCTATAATCAAGGGGATAACGAAATCTAAAGTTTTCATTTTATAATGCAGGTAATTTATGAAAACCATCTCTGAGGAGCAATATAAAGGCAAAAACCAGCTCATTCTTATATATCTGAACATTTATTTCAGTTCCTGTTAGAATGGGGTAGTATCTACATTACTACATATGAAGGAGTCGTGAGAATGGCACATAAGTAGTCAATATTCAAGATAGCACATACCTGAATGATCCGTAAGTGTTTTCACATAATTCAGTGGCTGAATTACAATCATGAAGTCCCAAATTGCACTCGTCCTTATCCAAACATTCTCCAGATGAATTTGTGAAGCTTGTTTTGCATTGGCACCTACGAATTAGGGTAATTAATCAAGGTATCGTTAATAATTGCATTAGTTAAAAGCAATAAATGCTACATTGAATAATCTACAAAACTATGCAATAATAATTATACACAATTATTATACAAAAAGTTGCATTGCTTTTTAAATTTTTTTTATGACAATTTTTTAGGATTGCCATTACAGTAGCATTATTCCTATTTATTTAGCACTTCCTGAAATCGACCATAGGAAAACCTTTAAAAGAGCGAAATTTGTTATAGAATAATGAGCATCGGGTCCATGTCAAATAAGGAATAAAAAAAGTAATAGCTTGTAGGAGACTTTTTCATTCTTTACCATGCAAAATTTGGAAATGTATTGAATCCAGTAGTTAAAGACAGAAGTGACTTTTGTCCTGAGCTAAACAACAATACAGCAATGCCATTCACAGTACAAATGCCCATAAAAATTGCCACAGTCTATCCAGTACCAATTAATATTTCAGTACTGGGTTTACAACATAAAAATATGTGATAGTGGTATTTTGAGAAGTTATTTGACAACCAAAACATATGAACAAAAAAAACAAGATATACATTAAAATAGTTTGTTCACTTTTATTATAAATGTGCTAATTAAATTGTTTAGGATCATTCTGTAAATTGCAAATTTCAAGTTGTAATACAAGATGTTGTAATTACTTGAAAGATCCCTCATTATTGACACAGTCTTGATTTGTTGTGTTGCATGTGTGAGTACCAGTGGTACACTCATTAATGTCGGAACATCCTATAGCAGGATTACCATTATATCCATCTTTGCAAATGCAGCTAAAATGGAAATGATTCAAATAAACTAAATTTTTAAACAGAACTGTTCATAATAAACAATGCCAACAATTTTCTGAACAGTGTATGTTATTCAACTCTGAATTGAGCTCTGTATAAGCAGCTGATTATACATAAACAGCTATTATGTTTCATACGTGGGTAGGAATTTCCTTTTTTAAAATGTATCAAAAGTAGGACAATGCATACTGTGTTTTTTTAATTTGCAATTTGCAACATATATTGGCTAACCTGTAGTAGAGCGGTATATTCAGGGTCTCAATATTAAGGTGGCAATTAGGCACAAAATAAAAATTGAGCTAGAAAAATATGAAGATATAGTGCAAAACAGATTTTATTTTCTATGGTACCATAACTTCCTTCCACTTCCCAAAATACTGTGTCAGCATATTGTAGTTAAAAATGTAAAACAGATATACATAGGAATCTGAAGAATCCAATTTTTCTACTATAGAAGAATGAGGTCTAGGATATGAGGATAATTTTTTCATATCATTTTACTTCATATATAAATATACATCGTCATATAAACATATATAATATATATCACTTATTATGCGTTTATTCATATCTAGTCCTATAACTTCTTTAAGCAAGTTATATAGCCTTTGAAATGTTGTCCTATTTCAACTATGTACAAATGATATTCTTTGATAGTGTTTGAATTCAGAATACAATCCTAACCTGTAACTTCCAATTGTGTTGTTACATATTGTATTGGTTGCAGTACACTTTCCACTTGTATCACATTCATTAATATCATCACATGTTATGCTATCTGTTGCATTTAGTACATATCCTGGATCACACGAACATACTACTCCTGTACCAACACTGGTACATTTACCTTTGCATTGATTCAAAGTTTCGTTCTTGCAGAAATCTGTGATATGTGTGAGAATTATTGAATAGCAAATTGTAAGACAACAGCATTGTAAATTCACCCATGTTACCAATAAATTGCATTCAAGGGAAATAAAAGTTTCACACTTTCAATCGATGTAGACATATTTAAATCTAAACTTAGAGATGATAAATGACTCGTTTGAAAGTGTTTTTCCTTTGGCGAAGGGTAGCGTTCATGAAATTTAATTTTTGACTTATTTTACAAGAAAATGGCGATAAATGACCAGAGAATCGTAAATTTCTCAACAATCTATGCGTTTTTTCACTGCTGCCATGGAAATATCAATTCCGACTTTGGGTAAAACGTATAATAACGCACAGATCTTTCCAAGTGTTTGAACGCTACAGCTTGATACACAGATTGACAGATATACAGATTAACTGAGAATAGGGGTCTACTAAAGCGAAGATCCAATAACCATAAAAATAGGATATCAGGGTTAAAATGTTGGACTTAATTTTATTGGCATATCAGTTTGCTCATTTCTAATTCAATCCTATGCCAACTAATTCATCAATGGTGTAATAAAAATTAGTAGATAAGAATGGAACAAGCCCAGTGCAGTCCCCAATAAATATGCTAGTGGTTATGTGAGTATTATGATATTAGTGAAAGCGATGAAATACCCAACCTGTATTGAAGCAAGTATTATCGAGAAGAGTTTGTCCTTCTTCACATGTAATGTTGCATGTATAACCGATCTCTGGTGCTTTAGCATCATTACAAGGTGCATCACCACACGGATTTGTAACACATTCATCTTTGTCTGCTTCACAGGATTCTCCTGTGTATGCTGCAGTGCAGTTGCAACCGAAAACCTAAAATACAATTGTATAAACCTCTATCTATATGCTGAAGATGAAACCCAAAGCATGAACCCTATTTATTGCATTCAGAACCACCAAGTTGCATTCCCTGTTAATCTACTACGGTAGGAATGTGGTGATCCATGGTTGGTTCGAGGACAACTCGTAATTTAATGTCTCCTTTAATGATTGAGAGTGATCTCATTCCATAGTAATTTATTAAATCAAATATTATTGAAACAAATTGACTCAAACGATAAACGTAAACAGGTCAAACAATGTTTTGTTCAGGAATGCAACTGAGTGCCTAGTATAATTGGCATTACATTGATAATAGAAAGCAGTTACTTTTAAGATGTGATGAAATGCAAAAAAGATAAGAAAATAGTACCATTATGAATTAGTATATACAATTATGGAACTAACTGCTTAATCTGATTTGAAAACTGTACATGAAGCCAGACTTATAGATTCAGGAAAGTTTACTCCTGATTTCGAATCCAAACTCAGAGCCATTCACAAAACAACTCCAGTTCTGACTCCGGATTGAAGCAAGTTTTGACTCAGATTCAAAGCTTAAACTCCAAGAATATCTGATTTTGTAAATAAAAACTCTGTATATAAGTATATTAGAATTCTTTTATTTTCCGTTAAGAATGCTTTTTAAGACTCTGACTCGTCCAGCCTGAGACTGTGAGTCACTCCTTTAGTAAGCTCAGCTTTAACTTTATAGGAAAATAAAAGAAAAACCTAAAGTTCAACAAAATATTTTACCTGGAAATTATTATCATCGATAGGTGGTGACGTAGATGTATAGCTACAAGTTGCTTCGTTTTGGCAGTCACATATTTTAACTGTTACACCCTTTTTTTTGAAAGCCCTATTGCATCAGTTGCAACAAATATAACAGCGTAACTGGTTTTATCTTTTGGTGTCCATGTGAATAACCCAGCTAGAGAAAAAAAAAAGTTGAAGAATAATATTCTATACTACCACTAAAGCTTTATACTCCTGCCCAAATCCAAAATCTGAATAATCTATGAAACTGAATCGAATATTTAAATAATTCTGGAAAATGATGTATTTCTATGGGTAAGTAATTTACGGCCTCTGTATTGTGAGAAAAGATAGATTCTGTGTAGTATGCCCATACACAGGTACAACCAGAATTTTCAAAACATGGACTGGTATCAAAATTATTATTATACAACAGCTCCTGAATCAGTTGTATGCCATTTTATCAACTTTAATAGTCTTTGAAAGATTATAAAAAAAGGGAGTTTTGACTCCTAAAACAATCCTGGCTGCACTAATGTACCCATGTTTGACTTTCTTCAGTTCGTCGGCCACATGGCTTTAGAAGTTTCAGATATTCAGTCTTCTACATGGATTTACTATCTTTGGTATGTCTGCCAGGGTTTCTATGACAAACTTAATACATAATATTTCACAAGCATACATGGCAAAAGAAAACTGATACATACATAGATGTTTTATATATCCCTGGTTGAACAGATGGTATAAATACACTCCATCCATGCACAAACAGTAAATTCGTTTTCTTTAAGATTTTGTTTAAATTACATTATAAAAACTTACTTGAAGAGTTAATTGCTGCTTCTGGCACTGTAGAAATTGATCCATCAAGGGTGTATGTAACATCAGTTGTATCAGTCGCAATTAGTTGAAGTGAAAATGGTATTCCGACCTGAACTTCAATTTCTGTTACTGTTGTAGACCATGTTGGTGGAAGATTGTCTAAAAACAAAAACATTTAGTTAACTCAGATGTATGTAAATGGCATGGTATTATGATGAATTAAAAAATATTGAACAATTTGACTATCACATGTGAAAACCGATTTCGGGACTGTCTCCATTTTTTGTCTCTCTAAGATAAATTAATTGCAAAATGGATTCTGCATAACAAATAAAAAAATGTTAACAAGCTTGATGGGCACAATTTAAATACTAAATGCCAAAATACTAATACTACTAGTGGAATAAATAAGAATACTACTAGTCAAAAGTTAGCTAACCCAACCCATTGAATTTGAAATACATTCTTTTGTATATGCATTTAATGTCCCTTACTTAGTGCTTGTTCATCTTCTCCAAGTAATTCCTCAGTTTTCTTAATTTGTTCTACTACAGATATGTCTTTAGTGATGAGATAGGTTCTTAGACAAACCTGACTATAGGTGACATTGTCTGAATTCTGAATGAGAGAATAAATGAAAGTTGATTTTTATGGATAGGCTTTTTGTAGATACCGGTATATTATAAGGGCCAGCACTGGCACAAATTATGGCACTAGCTAAATGATAAAAGAGACAAATGTATAGTCATGAAAGAGAAAAAAATATCAAAATCAGCTGCAAAAACACGAATCAGAATAATGGATAAAAGAGGATATATGTATATACAAAACCAAGTACAAGTTAATGGAGCTTTTTGTCATCATCGCAGCTACACTTTTGGTATGAAAATGGTAAAATAAAAAATCAGGTGAAAAACATTTACAATTCAATGCCTGTAACAAGGATGTACAAGAAAACAAATTTTTGATAAACAGATCTTACTATACATAATGTTCTGCATATAGCCAGTTGCTCCTCAGTGGCTTCTTCAAGTAATGTGGGAAGAGACTTTGATATGAAAGAAGTATTTCTCATACTGGCCCACGATTCACCTTCTCCATAGGTGAACAAGGTCTCATCCAATGTAGTAATCCCTGTTGTACAAAAAATATTAAAATTGGGCAAAGCATATTTTATATAATGAGAAAAGGATATAATTTGCAGATGGCGTTATTTGCAATTCATTTCCCTTTTTCAATGGTCATGGGTTTGAATCTAATAGGGAGTGCAAGTATATGCAAAAGTATCTTCAGATTTCCCATCATGCAAAGCCTGGCAGTGTGGCGCATCGTTCTAAGGGTTAAGGAATACGCTCGACACTGCACTGATTACCCTGCATGGGTTTGCAGGTTCTCATATGGGGATTGTTATGTGCAAGAGGATTGCTGGGCTACACGCCGCCATAGGAAAAAGTATTGGGTACAGAAAACCATGCTAGACATGTAACAGACCAAATGTAAACAATGTTATCCACACGAAAAATGATATCTTCACCAAATGTGCAAAACTTTGACTAACAAAATTCCATAATTAACAATTACAAATACACTTCAAAAATTGTTGAGAAACTAAATACTCACAAGATTGTCCAAAATCAAAAACTTTTTCTTCTAAGATTGTGCCTGAATTCATGAATTCATTCATTCTGATTTCTCTTGTATTAGAAGGTGAAGCAAAAGGAACAAATTTTAGATCATCCAAAATGAGGCTTGATCCATTACGAAGTTCAAAATCGTTGGTTGCATTTCCATCGTAAAATCCTTGAAAATAGAAAATTTAATAATAGCTTGTCTTGGATAATTTTTGACGATGTGTGTTACTATTTTAACTTAAACATACTCGAATATGGAATATAAAAAGTATACATCTCATTGATTTGTTTTTAGAAACTATCACTTTCAATACCCAAAAATGATGAATTTTCATATAAAACCAGTCTCTATTCTTCTTAAACTTGAAAATCGACAATATTGAATACAAATAATCCTGTACAAATTTGAATACTGGTATTCTTTTCCTGAGCATTTTTGCTCTGAACAAAAATCAGTTCACACATTGATAGGTTTAGGAATATTTAAATCCTCGTCATTTGGTATAGACCAGTGGTTCCCATAAGATGCGCCGCAGTGCACTAATGCGCTTTGGCGATTTGCTAAATGCACCACAAAATTTACAGAATTGTGTTAAACATAATTTAATATATAATCGAATATTTCACATATTGTATTTATTATAAATTTTTCATCGTATGTTGCTGTGTATATGAATCAATACATTCATTTTACCTTTCTAAGTCGTTTATTTTCTGTTGTGTCTCTCTATTGTTACATAACAATAGAGGTAGACGCTACCTCTGCAATTTCGCAATCTGCAGTTTATTTATCCTCTAAATCGTGTTCAGCGAACATGAGTGATTTTTTTATCATTTCAAAGGAAAATCAGGCAGAGATGAGAAAGAAGAGTTGAATTTTAAAAGGCATAAAGTACATACTAGCGATCACAAAATTGAGTTTTATTTCAAGGCAGCAATTTTTTTTCATGTAAGTGCGCTGTGAGTTTTTTCCCTGATAACTTTGTGCCGCACGAACAAAAAGTTTGGGAACCACGCGAATAGACAATCAAATTTACTATTTACTACACCTATGATAATGTGGTGCATGGGCTTCTCATATCCAATTTTTGTAAACTTTGACTACAACATAGTTTGGCCCAAATATAGGAAGTCCATAAATTCCCTTTACAATTTCAATTTTGTTATGAAGTCAGTTCTCAGTATATTTCAATCAAGTTTGTTGTTTTTACTAGTAATTGTTTAAGTATTTTTACTTCATTTACTATATCTGCAAAGGTTAAAAAAATATATAGTATCAATAAATTCCCTTCGCAATTTCAATTTAAAACAATTTTAAGACCTTATGGACTAGATAATATACTAGATAATATTGCCATTTCTTATATCCAGTGTCTCAATACTCTAAATAAACTAACCATACAAGCCTTTGAGTTGCCCCTTCTGTGAGGATGGTATGCTAAGAACATTTGTGAGAATCCTTGTATCAGGAATCACTGTTAATGTGAGTTTATTTGAATATATGATATTCAACCCATCCCGATTTACAATCGTTTTTATTTCAACTCCAGTGTATGACAAGGTTCCTCCTGGTAAAATATAACAAAATATGAATGGTGACATAAATATACATAAAAAAGCAAATAAAATATGCGATTTAATAAAAATTAAAACAATAATGAAGAACGGACAAAATGAATCTCTTTTATACTCATTATTTGCCACTCTTGACCTATAATTCTTTAGATTGCACATTAAACATGTCACCAATTTCTGATGGTGATAATTATATGCAAAGGATGGGCCTTGTAGTCACTGGTCGGTTATGGCTTCCTCCAAAATGAATACAAGCATCTCTAACAATAAACTGGTCGACTATTCACACTGGACAATAGGTTGTAGTTTGAAGTATAATTGAGCCAATCTATCAGGTTTTCTCTTTTCCCGAGTTGAATATGAAAACACGATCTCTATCTTAAGAATTCCCTTCACCCAATTAATTTTAAATCGCATTTTTTCATCAGATCAGCCCATTTCTATTTGAGAATATAGAGTGTTTACCACTTGTCAGTGATGTCTTCTCTGTGTCAGAGAGTCTTGTTCCATTAACCTTCACTGTCATATTTTGTATGTCTGAATCGCTTCCATTTTTCACCAGTTTTATTTCAATTTTCGGTGATCCTATGGATAGAAATAAATATTAAATTTTTTGTTGACAAAGTAAAATAAATCTGGTAAATTAAGATCAATTTGAAGGGATGGAAACATAGTAAATGTTTTACCAAGAGATGGACTCTGTGTTGCAATCACATTCAGATAGGTTCCATCAACAAGATTTCCAGCCCCATCAGTAGATTGAATAAGTCTGCCCTGAAATTGAATAAGCAAGATTACATTTTCGAGATCTAATTTAATAAATTAGTAGACTTTATTCTTTAAAAGCCACATAATATAAATGCTTAATATTCATACTTGTACTATGATGTCCGGCCCAGTTACAAATATATATTCGCCAAGCCCAGAGAATGGATAGCTGTTGCCATCAACAGTGCCCAAAGTTGGGTCTCCCACTGTTTTCGCTGTAAAATATAGATGAAAAGTAATGTAAAGTAAACTGGATATAAGTTGGTTATTTTTTCTGAAATTTATGCCATAATTCAATTAAACTCTCGAGAATATAGTTTTTTTCATGAAGAATAAGAACAGGAATTAGTATTACGTCTAAAAATGGAAAATGAACATGCGTTAATACAATTTGACTTTGAATGTTACCACAGACATTTCTAGATTTGCCAAAGCTGTAATTGCTCACCTATACTATTATCATCTGTTACCGATCCCTCAAGTGTTGTGCTTGGACGTTTAGCCTTATATAAACTACATAAATCTGCTTCTTCACAGCAGATTTGCCTTGGGCGGACGTCTTCCACTGTATGGAAATGAAAAAAAAATTTATTATTCAGAAAGACATTAATATTTTGTGTGAAATGCTTGTAAACTTATAATTTAACATTTTGGTTTGTCATTTTAGAATTTGGGTTTTGTTTTACATGATACTAACAGTCCTTACTCCAATTATAACTCCTGAAATTCAAGCAATTGTGTAGAAGATAGGATTTTTTATGAAAAGTATATTACAAAAAGTCAAAAAATTCCAAGTTAGTGTTAATTTGTGAATGATTGTCACACAATTTCTAACTTTGTTAATGCATTTGGACTTTATTATCTTGACTTTTTTGAGATTAAAGATCAAAGGCACAGTACCACATGGAGAATGATATATTGGATAGGGTGTGCTTAAGTGTGTCGAACTTTTCAGTGTGTCAAGGTTTTTAAAACCCTTGATAAGAATATTGAATAAGAATTGTTTAAAAAGTTATTAATGCAATATAGATTAAGAATACAAATGGTTCAAATGACTCGCAATAAGGTATGATTAAAATAAATAAAAATAACACACCTAAATGATTAATAGCCAATTCTTCATCTGTGGGATCAGTAATCAAATATCTAACAACCTGGCCACCACGTAAAGACGGAACTCTATTGTATCCTCCTTCGAGTAAAGACTGAAATTATATAATAAATTTGTTATTTAATTCAGTCATAAGGCTCCATGTGTTAATTGTCTTTTTAATATATTTCTGGCCAATTGTGTTTTCCTAGATGGTTGAGCATGATCAATGATATCATCAGTTACAGCTGAATGATCATGACCACTGACCAGCGTACTTCGATCATGTGTACTTCGATTCATTCACAAGCATATGAATAATAAATATGGGGGTTAATATCTAGAAATGCTGAAAGTATGTGTTGGAAATATAAATAAATTTCTTCGAAAAACCTCATGTCTGTATATCCCAACATCTACGATGTATAAAAAAAAATATAATGTCCCAGTTGATTTAATTATTTGCAACTTTTCATCAGCATGCATACTAGTTTATTTTTTACAAATTTACCCCAGGAAATTGAGCATAACAGCAAATCTGTCCAGATCCGTCCGAAGCCGCTTTTTGTGGTCTTACGCATAATTCACCTGAAAACAGAAACAAGTTAATAATCCAGCAAAAAAACATTTTATGCAGTGGTATATAGTATTAACAATATATTTTTGAATCTGGGAATTCATGCCTCAAGTTGAACTTGAGTAAAACAATTCGTGATTACAGAAACTTATATTAGCTTATTTCCCTTATCATATTGAAGTATTTGATATGTTTCTAGTATATTATTCATGATGATTTGATAAATCTATCTGCATATAAATCGGAAATACAACTTTGAAAGTCTTCCATGTTGAGTCTGTATTCTTTTTATTGGTAATATATCAACTTTAAAGTGAGATCAGTTGATCTTGTTTTGAACATAATTTAAATATAAAATACTCACAAACCTGCAAAATTGTTCATTTCTGCAAGCACAGAATTGTTAACAGTACCACTCAATTTAATTTCATTTTGCCTGAAGTATCTGTTTTTATGATGTGGTAAATAAGTCCATGATAAATCATATATAACTTGAAGTATAGTTGGAGGACAGATCTGACAAAAGTATAAGAAAAAAGGCTCAGTATTTACAATACATTTAGAACATGTTGATATAAAAAATTCAAATCTGTACAAAAATCTTCGGAGCTAATAAATCATAAATGCCAAAGTTTCATATCTATATACGCTTATTAACATTATTTTGAATATAAAACGACATATAAACAGACAAGACTGCGGCTGAAATTTATAGGTCATGCATTGGTACTGGTACTTAGCTGAGCACCCAATTTGCTGGATAAGTCTGATGAAGGCGACCGATGTGATGAAATAAAAAAGTGTTTTCTTTAATTACAATGAACAGCAAAATTGAGAGTAAATAATTAGGTCGCCTAAAGCTCAGAGGAAATAAAAGAAAAGTATAGTAAAAGATTGAAATACTCACTCGACTACTTTCTAATTCTGGTTGTCTGTTAAACCAATCTTTACAATATTTGACTACATTAATTTCTGTGTCATCTGATTCAACATCAAGTCTGTAGGCAAATCGAGCAACTTTTCCTGAAAAGAAGTCATAGAATGATTATGAATCATGATTATTGAACATTTTAATCCCCTCAATTATTCTTAATTGAAAGTCTGCAAAGAGGCAAGATATTTGGTCACATAATGTACAACACATTTTCATGGGTCTTCGTAAATTGTTAAATTTAACTCGGCTCGGAACAAGGCTTCACAACACTGGAATCTTTCCATTTTCTGCATTGCTTTCCCGATTTGTTTACACCCTGGGTGAGGTGGGGGGAAGGGGATTTGAACCCAATATTTTGACCTGCAATGTCATCAGAGTTTGGGGGGCTAATTTTCTCCATCTGGAAATCAATCATTCCTAAGTCGAATGAAAGTTTATTTAAAATCCTGATGCAAAGATACAGAGCCTTGCCCCAGATATAATTCTTCTTTTGTGGCATACCTGTATTATTAGCTTGGTCAGGTCTTCGTGGGTTTGGTATGTCTTGTTTGAAAGCATAACCATCAGTTGAAGCAAATCCAATCATTGGTTCTGAATCTGTGAGCCGTTGGCCATGTTGGGCATCCATTGATTCAATTTGATAGTTGAATAATGAATACGTTTTTGAACCATCCGTGACAAGAACAAGTTGGAACGTGTCATCCTACATGTCATCCAAGCGCAACAAAAAATCACAGTTAATAAGGAACTGTATAAAATATTGCTAGAACATGTGAATTTGAATGTAAAATGGCAAAATATATCAAGGTGTTTGAATAAAATTAAGGTGTATAAAAATGCAAACAGTTGTGGTCCAAAAACAAAGCAAAATAGCTTCTCAAATGAGACAAGTCGTCCATGTCACAAAAAGGAAAATGAAGGAGAGATAATGAGAAGTAGGAAAGAAGATGAGGAGTGTAAATGAAAAAAGAAACATCTCCGCTTCTTATCATTCCTTTTTTAGATGAATTGGCGAGATTTCTGATATTTATTCAAACTATTTAAGTGCAATAATATGGGTAACATATTCTTTTATTCAGTGATAGCGACATTAAAACATCAAATTGGTGTAAAACTCATTAGAAAATTGGATATGGAGTACAATCAACTATAACAAAATCAAGAAAATGTATATGATGACTATAATGCAGAGGATGTACTTCTAAATCTGCTTGTTTATTGTGAAGAATGATGGATAGTGGATTCAATATTAAATGTTTGATGCTTGTGAATGTAACGTCTAAGTACAATAAGTTCACACACAGGTGAAAACTATTTATATATTAAGGTAAAATCAAATATGAGCAAAATTTCAATTTGGTTTTCAATGCATGAAATGAACTGCCAACAGCTTAACCCATACTCCAGGTTGCAAGCCACTTTACCATTTATTATTTGATTTCCCAATAAAGAAAATACACCGAGGCAAATAATCCTGTTAAGATACATCCTCAAATGCTTAAGATATATCAATGGCTTAACTATGCAAAATTTATTTAAAGAAATGACAAAATATAAATAATGAATAAATAATGAATGTGTTATGTTTTGTGCGAATTTTTTCATAATGAGTATGAAATGTGCTATCTACAATGTAAATAAGATTGTGAGGGCTATAGGACAATAACACACTACATGTGAACCACCTACCAAATTCTTTTGAGATATATTCTTGAGCTGCACATGAAAAGTTTAATGTTACTTCTTATTAACGTAATAAGGGATTGCCAACTGGTGTAAGTAATATATCAAGATAACTTTGCTGCTTATTTGCACCAGATATCTCTCGAATGATAACCTTTTAGACCCCGATCATCAATAACATTTCACATCCATGCATCTGCTTCTGGATAATTATCTGGCTAAAATGCTAGGCTAAATCCTATTGTTTACAATTTTCGACTATGTACATAATAGCCAAGAATATGATAGAACAATATTACACATGAAGGAATGGTAATACAAAAAAATCCTTGAAATACAAAGTATACATTAAATCTAATATGTTTTTTTTACAAAGCTTCTTTCTTGTATATTACACCCTAGATGAGGTGGAGCGCATGGGATTCAAACTTGAAAGGAGTAGCCTGCGATGACAATACATTTAAGATCAACGATTTCACCATAAGCCCATTGTGCCACCCGCTTATTTTTGGCAAGTTTCTATCTACAAATGCGCCATACACGAATCAGAAAAATTATAACAGTTACTTTTACCTCTTCTGTGGCTTGTGGAAACACACCGACCCTTGCCACCATTCTTCCCCATGTAACAACTAGAACCTCAGCTGCGTCGAAATCTTTAGTTGTGTTTCCAGGAAAGTATTCTTTGACGAGATCTGTGACTTTGTTCAGTGTCACCGAATCCACATTCAATCCTTTAAAATGAATTACAAAGCACAACTGTAAAAAACCAAATTTTTTCAAAAATATTATTGCTAACATTTTCAATCGATTCCAGTGTTTCCATACAGATTAAAATTATTGAGGAATCTACCAAATTAATCAACTTACATTTAAAAAATACAATCCCCATTTCTGTTGGATATTTTAACATCATGTACAAAATAGAAAGGCAATAATAAATATCATAGATGCCATTGATTCACTTTATTGAAACTTTTTACATAGAACAATTCCAATTTTCCTTTTTCTTGAGGTTTATGAAAATTGAAGAACTGTAATATCCTACCGGAATTCCAAGTGTACTGTTCAACATAAAGTTGAGATTCAAGAGATCTTGGATCATAATCAGCTAAGAAAGGTGCGATTAGAACATGATCTATGCCGTTTCCATTTGGTAATGCGCTGAAATTTCCTCCATTCATATTTAATGTGTAAATCCTTTCATCTTGTACTAAACCTCTTTCAAGAACGATAGCGCCATTGCTCATTACATAGTATCTATGAAAAATAGTTGTTTTAGTCATTTCAACTATATATTATATTGTATTATGTGTTGTTTACAATATTTTTATATGTTTGTTATCTGTTATGATTCATAATCTACTGTAATTGACTATTTAAGGCTTGATACCTGCCTGACCCAAGATTTCAATCATGTACAAGACTTGAAGAATCAATCGCAAATCATTAATGATTTTTGTTGGCGTGAAGGTGGCTGTGCTAATAACTTGTACAGTATTGAATTTTATAAAATACTAGTTTGCTCAATTTAAACTAGATCGCAGCAAATTTGTATAGTTCAATCAAGACGAATAAAGAACTTTTCAATTTCAATGCCACAATTCACCAGAATAAAATATTTCTATTTGTCTTGTTAAAAGTATATGACTCATAGTATCAAAGTATATCATACCTTGTATATCCTTTATCTTGAAATCTCATATCAGTATCAAACATTCCTCTGTATAAAACAATATCAGTTGAACGCTCAGGGTTTACTTCTGAGAAGATGAGACTGTCTTCGTATGGTAGAAGGGTGATTTCTGGAAAAATGAAAAATATTAATAAAGACTTTGATACTTGCATTGTGAATGAAAAATGAAAAATATTAATAAATACTTTGATACTTGCATTGTGAATATTCATTATTGCTGGTATATGTTTTTTTATCATATTGTTTTGGAACAATAATATTATGTGTAAGATTTAGAAGCATCATAAAGGGATGAGATTCAGTAACATAAACAAAATTTTTGCACTATATCACCTACTATAAGCCATTGTTTCATTGCCATGATAAAACCCAGATTTTGAACACAGTTTCTTCGCTTATGGATATTTAGATTAGTTCCAAACTAGACTCGATTAGAAAAGGCAGTTAGAGTTAGACATTGGGAACATTATTTTCCATGATGAACAAACTCTATTCAAACTATCTCATCTAGATGACAAAGAACATGTTGGAATAGAAATACACACCCATAAGGGTGTAATAAATAAACAGAAACTAAAAAACTATTCTAAACAGATTGATAGCTGCTTGTCTACAGATTAGATGAACATGAAGAAAAATTGAAAAAAACACACACCGTAACAAACAGAGCCATCTTGTGGTTCATTCAAGTCATCTGGATATCTGTATCCTTCGGCACAATCGCATTGATAAAATGGACTGAAATTTGTACATTCTTGACCTTCATTGGGGCAGAATGCGTCATCGGCACACTCATCAATGTCCTTTTAATATTAATGAATTAATTCGTTAATTCAGATATTCTTTTTTGAAATGGCATCTTAGTAGACAAAACCGTAAAGCAAAATCCTCACCACACATGTCATTGTTCCTGTGTATCCTGTGTAACATGAGCATGTATATCCCCCTTCAGACAAATCATCACAAATTCCCATTCCACAGTCCACTTCAGAATCAGAGCAAGAGAATGCTAAAAATAATAATAAGACTTTTAATAATTCTGAAATAATATCGATATATGCAAAACGAATTTCCAAGATATTGTATGTTTTCTATGTTCAAGAATTACACAATACAGGTTAAATTTTTTGAGATTTGCTCTTTGTGTGGTTTATATTTCAAGACAAATTTGGTCTATGCTGATATTAGGACAAACAAAAAACATATACAAAAAAAAGTAATAACTTCATTGCAATTTATTGACATGCCTAATCCCAGATCACATATGGTATGTTGTCATATTAATATATGAATAACAAAATGAATACATGAACAAGATTGGGTAGCTGTTATCTTTATACACCTATGACAACCTATTCTGATAAAGTAGATGTCTAAGCCGCATCTTAATACCCATGAAATATCAATAAACCACATCTAGTTTTAATAAGCATGACATTGTCTAACATTTTTTTTCTCAAATTGAAGATAATTACCTGTTTCACACCGGTCTCCTTTAAATCCATAATCACATTCACATGATATCATGTCATCATTGTTATAAGTGCAATTTCCATGACCATTACATGTGTTTTCATCGCACACTTCCGGTACACAGCATTTACTAGAACAGAAAATAGAAAACTTACTACCAAGCTGAAAGAAAAATAAGAGTAGTCTGACTTCATCAACTATGTGATGCATATATCAGGTTTGACAGTGCCGAGATTCTGTACAGCTAAGGGCCACTTAGAAATAAAGAATGGCTATGTGGAAACACTAGTTTTATCAGTATTTCTTATTTTGCAAAATATTACATACCACATGTGAGAGATTTGGAACATGAAATTGACTGATCATATTCTGAACCCCAAAAAAACCTAATAATTCAAATATAACACCATCCTGAGTAGAAATAAACTATTTTATCCAAATTATCGATCATTGTAAGAGTATCTCTTCAACATGAGTATAACCTATAGTTTAATCCCACACTCACGAGTTGTCAATAAGTATTTGTTTGCTGAAGGAATTTTTTTGAACCATATCTAACCACAATGTTGAAACCCCACCTAACTGTTACCCTAACAACACTGTCAATTTTGAAGTCTTGTGTAACCACTATTTACTAACATCTCTGTAAAACGTTTAGCACATCATTGGTGATTTGTAATTCTTCAAACAGTACTCTTCCCCACTCTAAGTTGAGTGTGTGGAACCTTGCTATGATCAGACTTACATAAATAGTTAAAACACAACATAGAAATGCAACTCTTCACATTGTGCAAAATCTTAAAACATATCCAACATATTTTTTATATAACTTACGGTGACCAAGAAGATGTTGTGTATCCTGGATTGCAGAAGCAATTTTGTGACCTATCAGACGAATCAACATTACATCCCTAAAGACAAATGAAATATTGAGTTTCATACTTTGATAAATGTTTTCAGTTTAAGAAATACTCCTTAACCAACAAAATAAAAAAAAACTCACATGTTCACATCCATTATCTGATGAACAAGTCCATGGTTTCGCACAGAAATTCCATGCAAGATTGATGTATCCCTTATCACAACGACAGTTATCACCATCATTATGACAAGTAGATTCAGCAGGGCACCAATCGAAACTACATGGTTCAAGAGCTGAAAAATAGCAAAATTTTCTACATTGAATAGATTATAATAACTACTATTTATGACATTACAATATCATAATGCATTTCTTTGAAACTCCATGAAATGAAATTTTCTCGTTTTGTGTAATAAAAATGACATAACAATATAACAAGTTTTCGATTTTCATTTTGTATGTCACTGTCAGTGTTGACTTGACTTGCTTTTCTACGAGCCATTATTCCACTTTGAGCAAACATATTTATAGATGTATCTTTTTAAATTGATTCAGACATGCAAATATTTCATGAATATAAACAAAGAATTATTGTGAATTCTGTTATTTGTGTCTGGTTCTGCATGTTGATTCAATGTATATTTCAGATTGTAGTAGCATGTTAGCAAATTACTAGTGTCTTGTAGCTCTAACTACAAGTTGATCGCTAAAACAGAGGCATCCTCTCGATGAAAGTGAAAAGAACAAAGAATTGTATTAAAACTTCGATATATGTAGCCACACTATTGATTAACATAAATATTTGCAAGAGACGCTATAAGTGGCAGCGTATGAGAACAAAAATTAGTACAAATTAAAAATAATAATTCTCACGTGTGCAGGTATATCCATCATCTTCCAGTTGAAATTGGTCATCACATATACATTCGTAGCCACCCCTGGTGTTGACACATCCATGTGTGCAAGGCGTTGTTCCATGAACGCATTCATCAAAATCTATAAAAAATGAATTACCAGTACATATAAATGTTTACCTATGATACAACAAAATTGTATCTCTATTTGAGTTGTAAATTTGACATTTTGAATCACCTATTTCACTTTGACTTACACTTGACTTTATCTTGGTTTATCTAAACCAAATTCTAGTCAGTTCATTTAAGGGTTTTGAATTGAGTAAATATCTGTAACATTATTTTACCATGTGGCAATTACAGAATAAATATCAATCTTAAGGTTATTATATTATGATATCTTAATACAGATATCTGTTACTTATGCTTCCTATAGTATAAATAAACTTATACACTGATATAATGTTTCTAAGTTGATAATATTGATATAACTTTACCGCAGTCAGATCCTGGTCTTTCATTACCACCAAGGTCAGTATATCCGCACATACATGAACAACTATATCCATTAAGTTCATTTTTACAAATTGAAAAATTTCCACATTCATAAATTCCAGTTTTACATTCATCAATATCTGCGAACAGGAATTAGAATATGATTTAATTATGAAAATAGCAGCGAAATACATAAAACCTGCTCGCAAAAAACAAAATTTGTTATGGTCAACATAATAAGATTGAACGAATGGTATTTCAGGGCAACTAGCACAGTCTTTCTGGATTAAATAACCCCATAATTAGGTTTAATTCATAGAAGCTGCCAGATGAGTACAAATAAAAGATGCATTGATCACAAGATGCAATAAAACAAAAAAATTTGACATTTTAAATGTCTAAAAACATTGAATCGCAAATGAAAAAACAATGCAAAACAAACAATTAATTACATTCCTGAACAAATTTTATTCCTTTTTTCTTTTTTTGAATTTCAAAACTATCAGATACACCTAGCAACAAGCATAGCTTTAACGCAGCATGTGGGGTTTATTGTTTACCCTTCGAATTATGAATGTAACCTTTATTCTGCTTTCAGTTGTTAGATGCGGGAAAAAACTAATAATGAAACATCGAAACAGGTTACAAGAACCAAATATTTGAATCTTCAAACAAGTATTCTTAGCATTTTTTTTTCATGTTCCCTGGGAATATTTTCGATTTTGCACATAATATAATCATAGGCATGCAATGCACGGGTTTTCGTTTCCGAACTACAAAAATGGAACAATTTACATGTTAATTAATACACCATCAAGCAGAGTGAGTGCACTTGGATAAAAGTTACAAAATAAACCTTCTTATAGAAAATAAAGCATTTCATCCACGAATCAAATATTTTTAGTTAATGTTTAGCTTGTTATCATCCCTTGAGTAACCGATATGGCAGCATACTTCCTAAACTAATATTGGTTATTACCGGTAATTAATATTTATGGTAAGTAAGGCTAACAGTAGAACAATATACAAATATAAAATTGAATTGTTGCTATTTAAAACTAGGCTTCAAGGTTAAACGTGTTGATGCCAGCATTTTTGTGAAAACTGCACAGCAATTTTATATGTTCTATTTTCTGTATGATTGACTTCATGTCAGGGATAACACTGCTAATGGGTATATAATCTATTTTACCCTTTCCTGCAAAATAAAAGCTGAAACTTTAGAATATCTCACTCACAGATTATAATCTTCTTCTTCTAAATAAAACTTCTTTTATTTTAGCTTATTATGTCAAGATAAAAAAACGAAAAATCAGCAATATCATGCTTCGCGAAACAAATGAGGTTATAATTAGCTATTGATGCGGCCTTATCAAATGTAACATTAGATAAATAGCTTCTACGCTCCAGCCTTCAGATGATAAAAACTTTGAAACCTTTGCAGAATCCATCCATCATTTCTTGGCCGTTTCCGCAAACACACTCATATGATCCATTTGTGTCATGACATGTTGAGTTGACAACACATGAAATATTTCCTACATTGCATTCGTCTATGTTCTGGCAACCACTGGAAGTCTTTTCATATCCAGTATGACATTTACATATATGGCTATTACCATCAATAATGCATTCCTCATCAAATTTGCATGGCTCACTGGGGTAGCAAGGCGTGATTTTTAAACACTCTGTGCCGGTGTACCCTTTATCGCATGTGCAGTTGTAGGAAGTCGTGTTTGCATAGCATGTTGAGAATTTTGGGCATGATACATTTTTACAAAGATCGATGTAAGTGCATGTTATACCATTTCCACTGAAACCTTCTTTGCATGTACAATTAAATCCTCCAAATGTATTATAACATGTTGCATTTCCGTCACAATTGAAAGCAAAAACTTGAATTTCAGATCCATTATATGTTGCATAGCATGAGCTACCACATTCAGTGTGATTGGTTTCAATGTTAGCCCGAGAGACGCCATTAACTCCAAATGATTCGGTAGTTTTATCAGAGCACTCATTGTAATCTGTACACCATGTGATCCCATCACCAAACACACCATCCGGACATTGGCATGATTCTTGCACATTACATAAGGCCTTGTCATGACATTTATAAATTCCACAGGGCGTAACATCTTCACAAAGTCACAAAGTAACTCATTTATAATGAAATCATTGATAAAACATTATACGATACTAAGCAAAAAACGTAGTGCTAACCTGTGCAAACTCCATCAGCCAATTCGGTTCCTACTGCACATTCACATTCATGAGATCCATGTGTGTTTTTACATGCCTGATTTTCTCCGCCACAACTGTGGTTGCCAGATTCACATTCATCAATATCTTTGAGTTAAATTATAAATACATTGTAATGAAGCAATCGCGAATTGTGGTGATAAATCATAAATTGACATCCTACAGAAGATGGATATATCTACTCCAAAATGTATCAAAACTCAAGTAAAGATCACAAATGAGATCATTAAACTTCATCAAAGCCAAGTGCCAACAATGGGGGCAGAAGTAAACAAGTTTCTGATAACTGCATAGCATTAATGACCTGACTGTGTGAAAAAATTACTAATTTAGTGCAATTTTTAAAGCATACCTGTGCATTCTCCATCCACAGATTCAAATCCGACTTTGCAAACACACTTGTATGATCCTTCCATATTCTTGCATTCTTCAATAGTTCCATTACATGTATGATTGCCAGTGTTACACTCGTCGATATCTTGATATTACAAAAAAACTTATTCAAATTCTAATATGAGTTCAACTACGGTTAGCATATAAACCAATCCAACCTTTGCAAATTCCATCTATCAGTTCTCGCCCATCCTTGCATACGCATTCATAGGATCCTTCAGTATTCTTACATTTTTGGTTAGTTTCATTGCAAGTATTGTTGCCCGTTTCGCACTCATCGATGTCTTACATAAAAAAATTTAAGATAAACTTAGTTATGCATAAAACAATCATATATTTTTGAATATATTTAGTTATTAAAATTGAGTCGACAAATGAAACTGAACTTAGATCGTTATGTTATATGAGCTACACAGTGCGGAAAATTTGAATATGATACAAGAATTGGATATCCTGTGATAAGATGCCGTAATTTATTTTGAATTCTGCCATGGTACAAAAAATTACAAACACTGGACAGAAATTTAGAAAAGTTGTCAAAAATGAGATTTAAAACATGGGATAAAAGCAGTACATGGACATTGGGAAACCAATACGATCTAATCAAGTTTAAAGCTCGAAGTTTAAAACTAAGTTGAAGGTTGAAGTTTAATAATACACAAAAAAGAGCGTAAAAACATGATGAGATAGACACTCTCTAATCGGTAATTATAATTTAACAGATATAAACATATGCAATGTTTTGATTACCATATGCAACAAATATATACCAAAATTTAAACTCAAATTTATTTGAACCAAAGTAAGAATACAAACTTACCGACACATGTGATGCTCTCGAAACCACAGATATCAGCAGTTTGGTTCACACTTTGTAGCCTGGCTCACATGTCTGCAAGATTGAAGATTATAGAAAGGTTTCAAACAGTTATATTTAACTGTTAACTGATGAGTCGGTTCGTATTAGTTAATTCACTTAGGCTAGATGTATCTAAGTGACCAAAAACTGATGACATGACTAGGTTCGCCCTTTCTCCGATCAAATGAAAAAAAAACGAGAAAGAATAAATAGGAGAGAATTTCTCTCGTTTTCATTGTCAATCAATGGTAAAAATTAAAATACTGACCATGGGACACAAAATGTTAAAAAGTATAAAACTGGCAAGCTTTTTTTCCATTTTGGATATAATAGCTTATCCAGGTTGAATGACATTTTACGAACTCTATTTCATACTATCCTGTCATAAATGGCACCAAAATTAATAACTTTGAAATTTTTAACAAAAATATGTTGAAACAAATATAAATTAACATACAGTGTTACTTCTTCTTGGAGGTGGCGGAGGTGTGATGTATGGTGGTGGTGGTGGTGGAGGCACAACAGTCTTGTTTCCCATTGGTGGTGGTGGCGGTGGTGGAAGCAAAGGTGGAGGAGGACTAATACTAATTGTGGTAAATGGAGGAGGTGGTGGTGGTATGAGCGCAGGTGGTGGAGGGAACGGTTTTTGTAAGTCACTGACCAAAAACAAAGGTGGTGGGATGAGTGGTGGGGGTGGCCGGATAATCGTCTTGTCCGAAACAAGGAAGAATGGCGGTGGTGGTAGCATTGGCGGAGGAGGATAGAATTCTGAAATAAACATGATTAATTAGTGTTAAGGGGATAAAAAATGCATTATACTATTTTTCAAATTGAATATTGATGCAGGCAATAAAGTATCAATGGTGCATATATAAAAATTGTGGTCGTATGGTCTTTAAGGTCAGATTTATGTATTTGCTGTAAAAAACTGTACTGTAATGAATTTCATATATGTTTCATATTCTATGAAGCATTAAAAAACAATTAGAAATAAATCATGCAATTATGAAAATAGATCAATAACACTCAAAACCATATTAATACCAAAGCACGATCATCACACAAAGCATAGTTTAAAAGTATAATGGTTGTGTGTCATTTGTTTTATTTTACCATTGTCTATAGGCTTACAGAAACTTATATATATGACATATCCACTGAATGGGAAAATGGTTAACCAGTGATAAGTATAAAAAAAACTGCTTCTTATGTTGCTGTAGTGGGTAAAATACACTCAATATAGTATATCTCATAATCAACTTGATTGTTACAAGTAACTAACTTGATTTTTTAAACTGAAAAACCTTTAAACTATTCTAATGACAATTTGTATTAAAATATTAGACTTCGACTTAGATTCCATTTCATCCGGTACCATACATTACCTTCTTCTTTCACATTCATATTGAATGGAGGAGGTGGAGGTGGAAACAATGGTGGTAATGGTGGAGTGGAATCAACTAAAATCAAAGTCAATGCTAACAGGGTTAGTTGAATTAAAAATGCAGAAAATTAATTAGGTTATTATTTTTTTAATTTTATAAAAATTTGAATAGAGTTTGTTTGGTTAGAATAATATACCGAGTTATACATGCAAGATCATCAGACACAAAGATATATAATTTTATAATCAGTTAATTCTGATAAAAATGTAATTAAAGTAAGTAACATTGAAAACAAATTATTAAAATTACAGTGTACATATTAGAGATCCCATTTGTGAGATGTAAAATGGATTCAACAAACATATCTATGGTTTGTAATAAAACAGAAAAAACATAATAACGATAACTTGTAAAGCTGTAGAAATTTTTTATTTCCAAACTATTTGTGTAAGAAATAGGATGGGATAATTTTGAACAAAATTGTGCACACTTATCTATGTTATGCATTAATTAAAATAAAAGTCAGAAGTCTACAATCTCATCATTACCAAAAATAAGTGAAGTATGTTACAAACTCCATACTTAACAGATAATTATGATCTAAATTTTAATGTTGTTTAAATATTTATTGTTAAAAACAGATAATCATCACAATTTTTAGTCTACTTGACGCGGCGGTGTGGCTCATCATGCTAAGCGTTAGGAATACGCTCGCCACACCGCACCTCTAATTACCCTACATGGGTTCGCAGGTTCAAATCCCATGCGGGATGGTTATGTGCTAGAGGATTGCTGGACTCCTCGCCGCCATAGGGTGGTTCACATACCGCTGGTCGGTTACGGCTTCCTCCACCATCAAGACCATGCTTCCGAAAACAAGTAACTAACTGATCCCATACCCGACATGGAATGGTAACCAGACGAGAGGTCGTGGTTCGCCATATGGTTGTGCCAGCTTATAGGTTTTCCTCTCCCCCGGGATAAATATGTAAACCTTATCCTATACTTATAATTATTACCTTTGCTGTCCAAGCCAAATGGTGGCGGAGGTGGTAACATAGGAGGTGGTGGATATGCTAAAATCAATGTTATTATTCACACAGATTAATAAAAAAATCAAACAATTAAATTTAGGCATTAAATTAAACATGCTCAAAACCTCTCATAAGAATATTAGCTCATGGAAATCATGTACAATTTGGGAAAGTTTAGAAGTGGATTGACAGCATTTTACATAATTTGTCATTCAGATCAACCATGACTGCAGTTAAATTGAAGTGTTGTTCATATATGACACAATATGACTGAAAAGAAAGTACTTATAAATTCTTTTTCTCAAAGGCCAATTTTAACTTTAGTAGTTACTTGATCTAAATTTGAATGTTGTTCAAATATTTATGATTGAAAACAGGTAAGCATCACAATTTTTAGTCTATTTATAATTATTACCTTTGCTGTCCAAACCAAATGGTGGCGGAGGTGGTGGGAACATAGGTGGTGGTGGGTATGCTAAAATCAATGTTAATATTCACACAGATTAATAAAAATTCAAACAAATTAGGTATTTATTTAAACATGCTCAAAAACTCTCATAAAAATATTAGCTCATGGATATCATGTACAATTCGGGCAAGCTTGGAAGTGGATTGACAGCATTTTGCATAATTTGCCATTCATATCAACCATGACTGCAGTTAAATTGAAGTGTAGTTCATACATAACACAATATGACTGAAAAGAAAGTACTTATAGATTCTTTTTTTAATAAATTAAGGAAAGCTAACGAGAATTTTAACTTTAGTAGTTACTTGATCTAAATTTGAATGTTGTTTAAATATTTATGATTGAAAACAAGTAAGCATCACAATTTTTAGTCTATTCATAATTATTACCTTTGCTGTCCAAACCAAATGGTGGCGGAGGTGGTGGGAACATAGGAGGTGGAGGATATGCTAAAATCAATGTTATTATTCACACAGATTAATAAAAATTCAAACAAATTAGATATTTATTTGAACATGCTCAAAAACTCTCATAAAAATATTAACTCATGGAAATTATTTTAAATATTGGCATTTGCATTTCATTTTGCTATTTGAATAAACCATGACTGCAGTCAAATTGAGGTGTAGTTCCTATACGCAAACTCCAGTTTTAATTGTAGTAATTGCTTGGGTTATAACTGATTATTGAATATGAAAAATTGTGATCATAACTTAGCTACAGAGTTAAATCAAAACTGATTGACAAAATATTTTTCTACAATGTCTCACTGATTATACTCAATAATTAATGTTTTTTTAATAATGTTCATCCGCTATTAGTTTAGCAAATTTAATAGATTTGGTAGATTATGATAATGACTAACTTGGTTAAATAACGCGATAATTTGTGAATAAATTCTTGTAAACTATTGGTTTCAGATTACCTTCTCTCTCGTCCAAACCGAACAGGTGGTGGTGGAGGTGGTGGGAACATCGGTGGTGGATAGAATTCTTAAATTAACATATTCAAACACATAACACATTAAATTCATAGCATCAGGCATGCTAGGCATATCCAAGTCCAAATATTACATCTGAAGTACCTCAAATCCTATGTATGCATTATTCTCTAAAGGGTTGTTATTAGGGCTGGGCATTTTGAATCGAATATTCAGATCTAATTGAATAGTAAATTAAATTAAAGTAAATTAAATGTTGTTTTGTATTGTTATTCATCGTTCAGGTGGATCCTTTTTTTAAGCTATTTTATAAAATGCAATTCTGGCATAGGGACTCTTTTCTTTTTGAGTGAGTTATTGAAGAAATATGTTATCGATTGTGTGTGAACAGTCTGAGTGATGGTTTCGATGTTTTCAGTAATTTATGTGTCTGGATGATTCATTACAGTAAAAAAGTTACATATATTTACATCGAATTACATCTTCCAAGTATTCAAGATTTGATTACATTCAAACAAAAATATTGGAACTTTGTAATTCCAATGCACATTATGTAAGAAATTAGAGTTTTTTAGAATTACGTAATCTGTTTTGAAATTACCAGGTGAGTATATTTACATAATGGCAGAAGAACTTGTTGTTCTGAACTTGTTTCATTTATCACAATTTGTATGATTAAACTAGAAATTCTATCAAATTATCTGAAGATATTAGTTAAATTATATTGGTTATAATAACAGATTGGAAATCGCACAGGCAATGTTAGTGTCACATTAAAACAAGTTACACACAAATTTTGCAATGAATTCGTAAAAGTAACATAAAATAAATCCTCCCTGAATAAGTACAAACAACAAACCTTGTTCCGAATTTTCCAAACCGAAAAACGGTGGTGGGAACATAGGAGGAGGAGGAGGTCGCAATCCTGAAAACATTGAGTATCTCATGTTAATGTCAGATCAAAAATCATATTGCAATCAATGATGTGTTTGAGTATGTTATGGCAAAACACTGCTAAAATCGGAGTTCAAACACTAACTTAGTAGAAGGACTCTTAGTAATCATGAAATTACAGTTTCTACAGTTCAGTAGTTTCCAAACTGATTCAAGGGTAAATTTTCCTTTTTTACTTAGAGCTGTAGCGACATAGTGCTTTTTATGATGCTCCTATACCAGCAGGCTATTTTTGTCTGCCAGCATGAAAACTTCAGGTTGTTTAGTGATGTATGAACGCTGGAAACATGAATCAATCAACAAGCGTGTGTGTGGAGAAGTCATAACTATTATTGTTTATAATTGATACGAAACTGGAAGGGAATGAATTTTGGAAACTTTCTATCATGAAAAAAATACCCGCCGCAATTTACCTGAATTTAGTTTCTCAAAGTCAAAGAATGGTGGTGGAGGGAACATTGGTGGTGGAGCAATGAAACCTGAACCAAATATTTCACTTGTTAAGATATGTTGACATCATAGTTAATATTCTTAAGCAAATATATTTGAACAGTAAAACTGTCTCTTGCTGGTGTCTCATCCAAACTCGTTAGCGAGTTTGAATTTTTGAAGAATTTATATTTGTATTCATGTAGATCCATTCCAAATAAGCTGTAATTAATTATTCCTGTAAATAAATTGTTTCTTTGGTTGGTCTGTCAGAATCTTCAGCCTAGCCCATTCCGAGCAAATTAGTCACGTTTGTACTCCCGTATAATGAGAGTGAAAAGAAATCATAGATTATGTATTTTGAAAGGTGTGAGAGATTAATTACAAACTTGTTAAACATGTTTATAACCAAATTAATGAAACACACGGTTATCAAAATGCAACCCCAAATGCACATGCAGAATGAATTGTTATTGAATTGTCCTGATTTTGTGAGATTGATAACGTTACATTGATTTTTGTACTCTTCTCACAATGTAAGCGTAACAAAAATACATTGTTTTTGTAATATCAAACCTAAATATAGTTAATACTATTCTAATTGAAACATACTAGACAAAAAAACTACTAAATACCTTCTACAAAATCATCCAAACCAAGCGGTGGTGGTGGAGGGAACATTGGTGGTGGGTAAAACGAAGCTAAAGTGATCAAATGTGAAAGTTATAAAATAAATGATACTATATTGTAGAATCTACCTGACAAAACTAATTTATTCCTACTTTGTGCTATAAATTTATTAATATGCAATAAATACACGTTTTTGACTTGACCTCAGTGAAATTTCGAGTACAAGTTCACTATTTTGAGTACGAGTACTATTTATAGGTTAGCTAACAATTGGTAATTTAATACATCAAAAAGTATGATTGGAATGAAACATTGAGGATCCTCATATTTTAATTCAGACCTATTGGATTAAACTTGGTTAAGATTGATGAAGAAAACACACAATTGTCATTCATAAAATAGTCAAATTGAACAGTAACAGTAACATGCAATAAATAGATTTAATGTTGAAAGTGACAGTCCAACATAAATTTTCTGAGACAGCATATAATTCAAATGAAGTTGTTATTTAACCTTTTTTTATATAATAGTATATGATTTCTGTTTTTGTCCAATTGTTGCGCCCAATTTTTTTTATGAATAAAACAAGATTAGATAGAGTTATACCTCCGATACCACCCTGAAAACAAAATGGTGGTGGAGGTGGAAACATCAGTGGAGGAGATATTGTCACTAAAAATTAGATTTCGTTAAATTTTCACAAGCATCACAAAACGCAGCATGCAAAAAAATTAAACAAAATCTAAATCAATAATAATATGACTCATTTGACAACACCATAGCTTTATTCGTGAAAAGTTTTGATGATAGATTGCACTAAGTGATGGTATTAGATAGTTTAAGAAAAAAAACTTGAATATCTCGACTCTCGAATTCTGAAGAATTAATTGAAGGTAGAGATATTAGTGTAGGAGATATTTTTGCTAAAATTGAGTTGAATAAATAAGAATGCATTACAAAAGTAAACACTCCTCTTTATGGCTAAAAGTTGTCTTTCTAATTGAATTTGTTTTCAGAATTTGCTATTTCCAAAGAAATTTCAACCATATTTACTTCAATGAATAAAATAAGATACCTCTGACGATATCCAAGCCAAATGGTGGTGGAGGTGGGAACATTGGTGGTGGTGATATTGTTGCTAGAATTAAAATTAGAATCAAATCACAAACACAACATGCAAGTTCAGTAGAGTAACTTTCAGAAAGATGCAAAATTTAAATTATTGCCACAAAATTACATGAAAATCGGTAAAATGTGATGATTACTCATAAAATATTTTCTAGTTAGTTTACAATAGTTTACAAAATTGGTGGCAGAGATATTGTCGCTAAATTTAAGTTTAAGTGAGTAAAATACAGGTACATTATAATATACACCATGCAAAAAATAACTAGGCTATTTGTAAAACCAATAAAAACAACTTCCGGGCTTTTTTTTTTTTGAAAATTTAGAAAAGCTATGCTGAAGATATGGAGTAGTAGAAATATATTATATTATCTATCTTATTTCTATAGTGAAAAAAGTCTTCAATATTACCGAAATATCAAAAAGTGTATTAAAAAAGATACCTCCTTTGTTATCCAAACCAAATGGTGGTGGAGGTGGGAACATTGGTGGTGGTGATATTGTTGCTAGAATTAAAATTAAAGTTAAATCATGAACACACCATGCAGGTTCAGTAGAGTAACTTTCAACAAGATGCAAAAACTTGGTAAAATATATTGGTTACTCATAAAATATTTCCTAGTGTGTTTACAATAGTTCTTCTCAATAAATATGACAGCTAAAAGCTTTATCGAGAACATTTTTATGAAAGAAAAGCTGGTTGCAGGACATTTTTAGTTTCAAATAAATACCTCCAGCATCATTCTGTAGACTCGTGTAGAGTAAATAGTGGTGGATGTGGAAACATTGGGGGCGGATATTTTGTAACCAAATTTAAGTAAATAAATATGCATACATTATAAAACACACTAAGCGAAAGTTAACTAGGCTATTTATAAAACCAATAAAAAAAACTTCAGAATAGTTTTTTTATTTTAATTTGAAAAATTTAGAAAAGCCATATTGACAATATAGAGTAAAGGAAATAAATTATAATATCCATCTCATTTATGGATCTGGTTACTATATTAAAAAGAGTCCTCAATGTTATCGGAAGATCAGAAAGTGCAGTAATTTTTTATCCAATCCAAATGGTGGTGGAGGTGGGAACATTGGTGGTGGGGATATTGTTGCTTGAAGTAAAATTAGAATTACATCACAAGCAATATGATACATGCTAAATCAAAATCAAAATGGAAACATGTTAAATCAGTTGAAACAGTGAACCTCACAGTGGTATGAGTTGCTTGTGAACAGTTAATCAATTAAATGAATTTTAGTTCAAGAGAATGTATATTGTTCATTCTCAGTCCAAAGGAATAAATGTAAAAATAAACATTTGCACAATATACCTCCGTTGTCGTCCATACCGAATGGTGGCGGAGGTGGTAAAAATGGTGGTGGCGAAATTGTCACTAAAATTAAAATTAGGTTAAAGACACCAAACAAAACATGCAAATCAATTGAATTGTAAACATTCATTAGTGTAATATTTTGTGCATATAAACTATGACCTCCTAGATCTAATTCTAACAAATGAGCTCTAACTAGTATCAATTTGTCCTAAATAGAATCAATGTTGATGCTATGTCAAATCTGTGAAAATTTTCTCTGGATAATTATGGCTAGTAGTTGCGAAATATTGAGGATTTAGGATAATTCGAAGTGGTCTATCTTCGTAGATTTGTTATATACTTCGTCTACTCTAGAGTCCATAGGCCAACCAAATTTATTGACCTATACCAAATAATATTTGAAGACAAAAAAAATATATCAAAGGAATACCTCCAACGTCATCCAAACCAAATGGTGGTGGAGGAGGAACCATTGGTGGTGGTGATATTGTTGCTAAAATCAAAATTGTATCAATTCACCAAAAATTGAGCAAAGATTCCAGTTATTCTATATTTTTGTGTTATAAGTTATAGGGTATTTCGTAATATTCAAGTTGTCATACTTTGAAACATTGTTGTTTATATCACACAGAACAATGCTGAAATATTGTTAATAAAGCATAACATCTGCCTTGGTTGGGAATACACACTGCCAATCCAACACATGTAGTAGCTAGGAAAGGTAAGTAACAAACACCCATAATTATAGACATACAAAACCTCATATTTGCCCAAGAATGACAAATCATGGATAAAAAGACAGCTTACATGAAACAATATATTAATTGACAAAGCACAAAATTAGTACAAGATCGAAGACCAAATTACATAAATCTTGTACTATACTCTACCTAGATCTTCATCATCGAAAATTGGTGGCATTGGTGGCATTGGTGGTGGAGGTAGAATAAAACCTAAAAACAATTATCCAGTCATAAAAATAGTTATTTCCTATGATTTGCTTTCTAGTAAAAAATTAATTCTATTTGGTAAATTTTTCTATCTAAATCTACCGATAATCTCTGTAGTACTATGATAAATTAGAAGCGAATTATGTATTCTCAAGTTAAGTGACAATATTCAAGTACTGAACTTCAGAGATTGCTGTGTAGTAAGTGGCGGATTATGCCCCTTTGTCCCCCAAGTACTGAAGACTTTGGTGCCCCCTTATGTAAAATTTAATTATAAAAACAATGAACCACATAAGTGTATTATCCATTAGAAATAATCACAACCATTAGTAAATAAAACAACTTTTACGATCATTTTTAGGTTTTTCACCTGGTATATTATATATAACCGATATACATATATCGGCAAACACGCAATATCGGGCCGATATATCAGTTGAGCTCTAATCCCGAGGATGTGTGACAATAAAGATTCATGCCTCCAGTCTCAACGTGAATCGAAATACCAAACAATACCAATACAAGTCACAACTAAAATTTGAAATTTTACCGGTACCTAGTATATCTCAGGGTGGTTCAAGGTTGCTAGGTTGAAGGACCGCAAAAACTTTTGAGGAGGTCTCGCGGGCCGCAAGTCGGAGAAAACCCAAAAGTGATCGAAATATCGCGAAATTACATAACAACGTCTGATTATAAAATATATGTTCACAATAGAATAATTTTATTGTAAATTGTACAAACTTAAATTCAAATTGCTAACACAACGCCAACTTATCACTGCAATCTGGAGAAAAAGTCACGCTCGGGACTCATGAAAAAATTACCTTTAAGGAATGATTGTAAAGGAAAGGTGGATAGAATTAGTGGACAAACATTGGTAACGAAAGTGAAAAAGAAATCAGATAAGAAAATGAATAAAAAAATTATACGAAATTGTCTATCTTCATCATCATCTAGCGGTGGTGGTGGTGGCGGTAGTAATGGTACTGCGATTACATAAAATAATGATAGTACAGTGCAATTACAGCTTCTTAATTTTTAAATAATTAAATAGCTAATCGTGTTGATTGGATATAATTAACCGAAATTATTTACTACTTGGTCTACTACAGCTACTACGTAACTAGTTTATCGCACAAAAATAAGAAAAGTTACTAAACAAATATCGGTAATTGTTTATGTAGGTACATCAGTCAATCAGAAAAATTTCAGAAGGTTGACCATATGTTTTTGATCCCATGTCAATGATATATTGAAAAATAAATCAACAAAAGCCGTGATTAAAAAACAACCAATCGGTGTCTTCACCAAGGTATTACATAAATTCCCCAAATTTATTACGTCCGACAGTTCTACAGCAATTTCTCGTTAGTCTAAATCTATATACAAACAAACCAAGAAATCACTACTTGAATTAAAACCAATTATACTGCATTGAAACAAGTTTCAATGATATGAATACAATTCAATATACTTTAATGTGTGTTTTCAATAAAGGATCAAAAAGAACAGATTTTCTACCTGTGTCGTCCTCGTACAATGGAGGGGGTGGAGGTGGTGTTGGTGGTGGCCAATACTATTGTGACTAAATAGAATTGAATGGTTGATTATGATCATTGGCTTTATTGTATTGTATTGTACTCAAATTGCGTCTAGAAAAGCAATTAAAACAACTTGGATTTTTAGTTTAGATATTGTAATAGCGTAACTAAATAATTAAAATGCAGGTATAACAATTAAATCATCTACAATTACAGAATACACAAATACTACCAAATTCGTTTCAGCAATTATACTACATAAAACTAAAATCACGTCAAGCGAAATGTTAATTATCGTTCAAGGATATTACCATGACTCACTACATTTTTCACAATAGTAATATATTTTCTCTACCGTACAAAGTATTAACGTTTTATAGAAAAAAATGTTTACCATTGGTGGTTGGTGGTAGTAGGTGTTGGTGTTGTGTTCGGCATTGGTGTGGTGACTTCTAAACAGAAATAAGTCGCAATAAATTAAGGAAAAAAATAATTGTTTCCTGTGAGTATTAACGTAACTTTTGTAAATTCCAATCTGATGAACAAATATTTGCAAATTGCAAAACGACCTTAGCCCTAAGATTTGATTTGAGACGATTACTTTCTGAATACTCGTATTTGTCTCAGTAGGGTGTATGTTGTGTGTAGTTCACTTTACAACAAAATTCTGCCTGATGTGGGAACGAGTAATTCCAACAATCGTTTTTAACAAACAAGAAGTACGTTATTCCAAGCGTTATATTTTTGGACACGTTTAGTGACATTTTGTGTTATTTGTCTTGTTGTTCTTTGACACTTTTTGGACACCTAGTGGAAATATTAAAAAACCGCTTTTCTCTTTGATTACTTGACCAATTGCTTGAAAATTTTAGTGGTTGAAGCTGAAATTTTCTTCAGAAGGCTATTACTTTTTATTTATTTCAAAATATTTCTGTTAGCTCCGTGAGATTGGTTTTTGTTTGCTATGACGTAACTGAACGTTCTGCCGACATCGGACGCCATTTTGTGTCCGATTGTACTGCTTCGCTTGGTGTGAATATATTTGTAGACTGTGATCTGACGGTACGGTAAACCGTACTGTACTGCGAACAGACGTGTCCATATATTTGGGCGTAGCTCTCTTGTTACTTAGTTGATCACCAAGCGTGATTTCGGAATAAAAACTTGTTGTTTGTAAGCTGATATGTTTATTGGAGCTGGGCGTTCATGATAACCCAAATCCAATTATTAGTTTATTTTACTCGATTTAAAGATAATATAACAGACTTACTCGCTTATACGGAATACGTTAACGTTACACGTAAAACGCAGTACCATGTAAAGAGGGATATGATTCCATACATATTGCCCGTGTTACGGATCACTACCATTGTTAAAACCGCTGTTGCCACAACACTACCGGTTACCAAGGTAAATTTTCAAGGCTGAATGGATTTCTACAATCTCACAACAATAAATTGTCACGCGATCAAGATTTATATCCATAAAGTTTTACGTCGTCGAATTTGATTTTTGTTCATGTTTTCTTGAGGCGGTATAAGCACTATAAGGCAAACACATTTATACAACATATATATGTTTTCATACTGTACGGATATGACAATTCAAATAGTTATTGAGACGTCATATTCATTCTTACTTCAAATTACTATTGAATCGCTGAACCAATCTCTCAATAGTGATAAATCGGTATTTGGATTGGGTAGGGTGGTGTGCATATGGCAGCATAGTTCATATTTTAAGGTCAATTTTCTTTATATGTTCTATTGGCCTTATCGTGACGTTTATTCACAATTGACAAAAACTGCGACGATAAAATGTGCATCATTATATACAAACCTATTTCAGTACAATTGTTGATGCCATCTCCCTCATATCCTTCATTACATCTACATTCACGAGTAACTGGCATTGTTTCCAGGAATATGCATGTGGCAATTTCGTGACATTGATCCGAACATGTAGGAATATCCACTAAACATAATAAAGAATACAATGATCAAATTATCTCAAACAAATGAGGGGCCAATGAACGATGCATATTGTTAAAAACTTAGTGAAACCTCTTTCCTCTGGCATTACTGTGATTATTTAGTTGAATTACTCATTTTTGATACGAAAACAGAGGTAATCAAGCTGCAATAGACTTACATTCGCATTTGTTGTTATTCCGAACGTATCCATCAACACAGATGCATTGAGCAGATCCGTAAGTGTTATCACACTTTTCATTTTCGTCGCAGGAATGCACTGGTTCGGTCTCGCACTCATTTATGTCAGTGCAATTTACTCCATCTCCAGTGAAACCATTCACACATTGGCACTGGAAGGAACCAGGCGTATTCGAACAATTTGCTCTCGTGTGGCAATTCGATGTCTCAAACATACATTCGTCAATGTCAATACAACTTGAATTGTAAGGCGGTCCCGTGTAGCCTTCCCGACATTGACAAGTGTAACCGTTTGTAACGTTCAAACATGTTGCGTCTACACTGCAATCATTAGTGATGTCATTGCTACATGGATTACCATCACAGGTTGCGTCAGCTGGACAATTGCATTCAAAAGAACCATCGGTGTCTTTACACGTTGCTGGAGCAACACAAGGGTTGTTGTCACATTCATTTACATTATCGCATTGTCCGCTTGTCTGGTTGAAAGTGTAACCATTGTCACAGCGACAAATATACGAACCGGTTGTATCAATGCAAGTAGAATGTGACGGACAAGGTGAATCTATTTTGCACTCGTCGACATTGGAGCATTGACTAATTGCATCACCACTGTATCCCTCATCACATTGACATTGGTAAGTTCCGAGGGCGTTTTCACAATAAGAATTATCGGGAGCGCAAGGAAACGTTTCAGCAGAACACTCGTCGATATCTATCAACATGATAATGATTATAATTTATGAAAAAAGAACTCATTTCCAGCGATTAAAATTGGCTTCAGGTGAGAAGAAAAAGTTGAAAAATAACCATTGCCACGGTTGACGACTTGACACCTTGGTTTATAAGTTTAGTGTTAATATTTGGAATTTAATCTTGTATTAAAACTGTCCACATTTTCAAAGTCAAATTAGGTCGACCAATTTTTTATAGTTTAAGATTAAGCTAGATAAAGTTCGAAAATTTGATTCGTAAAATTAGAAGACTATAGAATAATGCTTCACCTGTGCAATTTCGGCCTGGATTTTCTAGATCATTTTCAATAAATCCTTGTTTACAAGCACAACTGTAAGTTGCATCTACGTTAACACAGTTTGATATTGTAGTGTTGCAATCATGTCCGCCATTTTGATCGGCACATTCGTCATGATCTATTATACAAATATCCACTTTGACGAACTAGAGTGACATATAATCACGGTATAAAACTATTATAAACATGCATACATATCCGCAGATCAGTTTTTAATAAGTGAATACCACACGTCTTCCTGGACAAAATTTGATTGGTAAATAATTTTTTTTTAAATTAAACAAAGAATTTTAAGACAAGCTTTAAACAGCGATATTTCGGAGAATATATTCTGAATGAAGTACATGACCGTAGCACATGATACTTTCTTTATTATATAATCCTAAAATCATATGCCATATCACAAATTTGCAGGAGCACGCAGCTGAAAGAACAATTTTTTCTATGGTCTAAAACGCTACTCAGATGTTAATAGCCTGAACAACTTCTCACACTGGTATTTCCTTCATTTTCAGCGTCTTATATTCTCGCAGGTTATAAATAACCGTGTTTGATTGTCGGGTGCTTGAACACCCGCCAATGAAAAATGATTAAACCGGATTAGATGAAATAAAATCAAGTTACAAACCTGTGCATGAGTCAGGACCCAATCCGTTACCATGCCATCCAGACTTGCATACACAAACAAACGTTCCTTCTTCATTTTTACAATCTGCATTTTCGTCGCATGGTTTATTGTCGCACTCATTTATATCTTCACATGGATCACCTTGTCAAATATTTGTAATGATTGAAAAAAAATAATAGAAGGTCTTTGATGGAGTTCTTTGAGTCACGGAATCACGCTATTCGAACAGATGACTTTCGGCTTAAGTTTCCACTATCTTGATTGAGATTCTACTTATGATGGACACAATGAACTTGAGTATACTACGAATCAATAATTCAAATCATTGAATAACCCATTTGAACTTGCCTCTACGGAAATATAATTCTATAGTCTTGACTAGGTCAATAAATTATTATGTTAGACCCAACTTAATGGGTGTTCCTTGACATTTTAACTGAAACTTTCGTTAAATTTTCATAGTTTTCCACTAGTACTTAGAGACAGACTCAGCTTGCAAGGACTCGATAAATATGAATTGGCACTATGTTTGAGGCAGTTCAAGTTACCAGGTTAAAACATAGTTCAGAAGTTCAGAAATGCATTGTACAATGTGATACGAAGATGGAAGAATATGATTTTTCTCTATTCCTTTTTATACCATATTAAATTTGTAAATGCCATTCAATTACAGCAATTGAACGACGAAAAAAATCTAGTTTACCCGCATATCCATTCAGACATTTACAAGTGTATGATCCTTCGTTGTTTTCGCAGTAACTTTCCGAATTGCAAAGGGCAGTGTCCGAGTCGTCTTCATTTTTACATTCGTCGATATCTATAATAAAACATCATTGGCCATACAATAAGAATGCGCGTTTCACAGTTGATTGTTTGGTTTGGAACAGAATCAAAGGTCATCGAGTTTTGAACATTTTATATGAATATAAAAAATATTAATAGCCCTATTTTACAAATACTGTGTCTATCAAGCATGTTATCTGAAAATCCATTGTTTTTCGCGTGTTTTAGAAAAAATATGAAATTTTTTTTTTTTTAAATAAAAAGTTTATCATATAAATGTTTTCTCCTATCATTGTTCTTTTCTTGTCCGAAAAATTCTGGCTTTGGTCATTACAGAATCAAATTTGTGTGATGCAAAACCTTTGAACCAACTTCAAAATTTCACAATGCAATATTATTACAAAGAACCAATAACAATACCTGTGCATCCACTTCCGGCTTTCTGTCCGTCCCCTTTATATCCGTCCTTACATGCGCATGTAAATGAACCTGCAATGTTGGAACAATTTGCATCAGCGTGGCAAGGATTTGAGTCACATTCATCTATGTCGATACATGTAGATCCGTTAATATAGAACCCATCATAACAATCGCAAACGTACGATCCGATGGTATTTCTACAATTTCCGTAACCACACGAGATCGAATCAAGCTCACATTCAACAATATCTGAAACGATAAAATAAACTAATTCAGGCGGCATAAATGATACTGTGTAGAGAAATTCATAAACAGTGCAGACAATACAAGTACATACGTATATAATAATGAATGTTATGGTCTTATCTTAATCGGTTTCTTTACGAATCAATTAAAACTAGTCTTTAATGTAATTCTCTCTGCTGGTCAACCAATTTAAACTAATCCTTTATGTAATTCTGCCTCTTGGTCAACCGATTTTTGAACGAAGTTCAGTTAACTTTGTCTATTAGAAAGGTAATGGTAAATTTGGAAATTAGCATTCAATAATAAAGCTTCGCAAGGCTGTGTGTCTTTAGAATCTCTGTAATTTTTGTTAAGAAACAAGACTTTACAGAAGCCATGTTACACTTGGTACACGGGTACGAATATTAGAATCCGTTATATAGTTTACTTAATCATATTGCTCACCACAAGACTACCATTCGGTGTTTCTATTTTGATTACATTATTCGGACCCCAATCCTGAAGTATGCACATCAAGTAGTGTACCAAGTTAGGGTTCAGGTTGTGCGACGTCTTGGTGCGCATACTTCAGGAGTACCCATTATTCTATCACAATTACAACAATACTTCTAACTCTTGCTAAGGTTGGTAAAATGTCATAACAGCTGTACAAATTAAGATGATACTGCGATAATACCTGCGCAGTTTTGACCAGGATTTGAAGGATCCTCATCCGTGAAACCATCCTTACATTGGCATTCAAAACTACCAAAGGTATTATTGCAAGTCGAAAAATCTGGATTGCAATCATGCCCGCTTGTTGTATTAAAATTATAATCGCATTCGTTGGTATCTAGAAAACAAAATTGAATTAGATTTACATTTTTTACATTTGCAAAGTGTTTTCTTACTATTCATACTACATTTCGAGTAATATACAATTACCATTTCGAGTATTATACAATTGAAAACCCAATGTTGTTATTTAATTACCTGTAATGTTGTATTGCGGGCAACCATCGGTAAAATTTTTGCACAACAGTTGATATAACGCATCAAAATATGCCTTGCAAACTTCGGGAGACGCGGATGGCAAGTCAAAATCAATGAATTCGTCCCTTCATCTTCGTCTTCTGCAAATGTAAAAACGTGAATCTTTATTATCACAAAATTTCATTTTATTTTGTTTTTTAGTATATTTGGATTAAATGATGAACTTCAGTGAGGAAAACTTGTTCGAAGTTCATATTTTTTGTAGTATGTATTTTCTCCAGCCTGTGTGGTAAATGCAGTAATATAGATCTATACAACTAGTTATATTATATAGTCATTTGTATCATGATTGCCTCATGTCTGCTGATTGCTGAACATTAAGCTCAGTTTGATTGCTTCAGATCGTTAGCTCTGCCAATGTTGATATAGTAGGTGGAGAAAATCGGGTCGTCTCCTCACCCAAGGTGTGAATAATTAGGATGGCAACGTCAACCCGAATGTATTCCATCTTTTCCAAAAAATAGTAGTTTTTCACATATCTGTGGCTTTTTTCTGGGCATGCAAAAAACACGCCGATTCTGGCCATATATTTTTGCAAACGTACAAGTTGTTTACTCCAGTTAAAAATGCCACAAACATTCATGTTCATTACAAAAATCCAATAGCAAATCGTCGCGTACTCCCTTATAACGTACGAAATGAACGACTTAAATTTTGTTATGTACCTTCAATTTCTATTGACGATATATTGTACTGGGGTTGTGATCCCAAGATCCATTTGCTATAACTTCATTCATTTGGATAAGAATTTCACTTGTCGGAGTGGTAACGGAATCATCGATCTTCAATTGTGCCGTCATAATTATACTCCCTTCAGTGAACACAGCATTCACCAGTTGGTAAAGCTTGATTCCGATCGCCGCTAATACTTCTGTCATCTAAAATATAAATTAGTATGATATTTGAATTGTCTTTATTTCAGGAATCAGAGTATACACATTATTGAGTTCGTGAATGTTCATGCCAGCAAAATTCAACGGTCAAAATGCAGTTGATCAACTATGTATGTATAAATGGAAATCTCCAGTTCGGAAATCCAACTTTCACTATTACAAACGTCGGCTGTTTACGTCGTTTTCGTAAAAAGCGGGTGATCCCGTCAGAAATAGTCAAAATATATGAAATATAATATCGCCAACGCGGGGGAATTCCCATAACTACTGGTCTAATATGTACGTCCACCTGTGGCAATTAAATGGTTTGCGATTCAGACACCGCGCTCCGTCGTTTAACTGACTAGTTTATGTTAAAGACTTCTTCGTTTATCCAGATAATATAAAAATCCTTAGGAAACAATTGTTTGCTCTTGAAAGTTTTATGAATTGGCAAATATATACTTACCGTAGAAGTTAGTGATTGTTTTGTATCAGCATATGCATTACTTGTTGTGTTAGCCAAATCAACGGAGAACACCAAGTTGACGAAAGTTCCTCTGAAACGAATTGTTCTCGCTCCTGCAAATAACGTATTGCAATTATACGATTATATATATATTTATATATATATATGTATACTGATAATAAGAAGTTTAGAAATCGGACCTTTGCATGTTCCAAACTCTTGATCGCAGGCTTGGTTGTCATCGCATGTTACTGTTTCGCAATCAGGAATGGCTAAATCGAAATTAGAGTGTGTTAGCTTCGTCATATATATCGTTATATAGATATACCTAGTATAACACAACGATTCTCAAACCTTGCACCTCTAAAATATACCCCTCGAATTGTTCAGCTTACCTATAACATATTATTATTATCGTTAATATACAGTATTATTGATCAATTTAGTCAATTTACCGAGTTTCCAATGTAACAAAACATGTTAAATTTACTAATATTTTCTAGTTTCAACCACTTTACCAATTCTTCCAATTTATTGAATTTGACCGATGCTTGACCGATTCCAAGTAAAAAATAAACGATATCTAGCAAACTATTAGCGGCATGGTTGGGTGTTTAAGTGTTTTCTAGTTAGTCACCATACATACCTGTGCATGTCTTCCCGTCTCCTAAGAAACCTTCTTTGCATGCGCATGAATACGACCCATCGCCATCGGTGCATGTTGCGTCAGCGTGACACGGGTTACCTTACGTGAAATAATTACATAAGTTTTATTTGTTACGGTTTTCTTTACCTATATACATAATTTCTGAGAATCTTATTCTGATTAATAATCCGCATTCACGAGGTATCATGGAAAATTTGTTAACTAAACCCATCAAGAATTGAAAAGATAACTACTGAAAATGAATGCATTTAACATTCTGGAGTGAAGGCTAAAGTGGAAATAACCGAATTTGCAAAACAGTATCTTTTGATTGGATCACTAGAAATATGTTTTAAACAAAATTCTTGCTTGTCAAACATAACTCAAATCTGTCGAGCCTATCCAGGAGTCATTCCCGAACACCTAATTCTGAACCAGACGAAAAGAAAGTAGTTCGCTATCTGATTTACCATCTCGGGCTCAATAAGAAGGTCAATTTCAAATTTTGTTGCCTCACCTGTTGCGCATTCATCTATATTCTCACAAGGTATGCCAGAATATCCGTTCTCGCATTTACATTCCATCGAACCTGGGATATTGCTACAATTCCCATGTACACAATCGAACCCATCAGCACACTCGTCAATATCTGAAAAGGCGTGAGTTTTGATGATTTAGGAAAAAATAAATTTGGTTATGAAATAATTTGGTTCAATATTCTATAGAATTCATAAATAAATTGATTTTTGGTACTTCTTATAGTACGTATTGTCATACACGCCAAGTGATATTCTTTCGTCTATAGAAGCATATCATGCAAAAAGATGACGACCGAGTTATGTTCGAAAATCGGTGATGCTATGATGTGGGCTCAGGTATGACTTCGACATCTTTTTTATGGCATTTCAGATTATTCATTTATTATTAGCTCATTTGATCTACTAATTTAGAGGATTGAAAATTAAATAGTTGTAAATAAATAAATATTTCTTTATTTACCATCACAGTCATTTCCAGTGTAACCAATGTCGCACACGCATGTAAAACTTCCAGCTGAATCCTGACATTTGGTATCTCCAGTACACGGATTATTATCGCATTCGTTTATATCTTCACACGGTTCGCCACCATACCTGCGGGTTTAGGTAAATACACACATGCATATGTCTACATTGTCATTATATATATGGGTTAAAATTGTGCCTCAATATTTTTTACAAGGCCTTGGACTTATTTAAATATGGTTTAAACTGATATATAATTTTAATATTTCACAATTGGTTTTATGCATTCATTTTTGTTCTACGGCTTACCCTTTTTCACAAGTGCAGTTGTATCCACCTACGAAATTGTTACAAGTTCCTTTCACCCCACAATTGGCTGCACCGTCACTCGCGCATTCGTCGATATCTGTAAATAATAATTTTAATGAAGTGAATACTTCTCAGTATTCAATAATTGGGATGTCAGATTGACTTGGCGATTACGTGGAACCGAACGTCACCTTCAGTTTGTTTCAAGAGGGCGTGTCCTATATAACAGACGAATAACTAACTCTAAGCAATACAAGACTCTTTGGGGCAAACGAGTCGTCAACACCAAGTGCATGCTTCAGGTATAGGATAACCGCTCTGTGGATCCGCCACTATCTGTCAATATTAACGGAATAGAAAACAAACTGTTCAATTGCAATCAAGATTCAAGATTACCTTCACAAACGAGCTTTGTAGAATCCAATTTATATCCCGACTCGCAGTCACATCTAGCCGATCCATAAGTGTTAACGCACTTGAAATTCGTTCCACAGGTTTTCGGTGGGGTTGCAGTACATTCATTGATATCTGTGCACGTAAAACCATTTCCGATGAAATTCGACTGACAAACACAGGAGTAGCTACCGTTACTGTTAATGCAATCAGCTCGAGAATGACAGGTTGATAATCCCGAGATACATTCGTCAATGTCGGTGCATACGGATCCTCGTGGATTTCCTGTGTATCCATCAGGACACGAGCATGTGTATCTAAATAAAAGAAGCAATAAAATACGCGTTCAAAGCGAACTGCCAGTCCGGGCTATGATAGAAAGCATCTAGAAAATATACCAGAATATCTATCCATTTCGTGTCATGTTTTTGTCACTTTGTTAACTAGAACTTCTTATAAGTAATAGCTTAACGATACTTCGAGTGATGTGATCACATAAACGTGATTGAAGCGATTTCTCAGTTTTCATTTTGATCAATACAGCAAAAATAAACTGAAATAAAAAAGAAAGTAAACCAAATACCCATTAGTAACATTTGTGCATACTGCATTCACACTACAGTCTGTAGTACCGGAACATGCTTCCGAAGAGCACGTCTGTTCATCCGGACATCTGCAGATGAAGGTACCCACATCGTCTTCGCACACTGCTGGAAGAGTGCATGGCGAATCATCGCACTCGTTGATGTTCTCACAGGTGTTAGTCGTGGTGTTGTAACCGTATCCTGGGGCACAGTTACAGCTGTCAAATCAGAATCAGAGTCATTATGAAAGCTAGTGTTTATTCGTCATTTGTATAACTAGATAAAGCTCTTCATTGACCTAGAAATAAATATATAAAGCACGCCTGCTGGACAACGTATGACCTGCCCATGTGTCGCATGTGTCCCACGAAAGCTTTTTACTTATATATTTACTTAAACATACAAAAATGTGTGCGATCAATCATAATGATAATAAGTTAATTTTAGATAAATTCATATATATATATATATATAAAAGCCCAAAATCACTGAATCGAACAACATCCAAGTTTCCTACAGTTCCAAGTTTTCCTAGTATAAATTATCCAAGTACTCTTACATCCGGCGTATGATTGAGTCACTAGGATTCTTTGTGGCATCACAATATCTCGTAAGGGACAAATGTATGGGAGCGCACGTGATAGTAACGTTTGGTTCCAGCATTTTGAAACTAAACAATGACCGAAAAAAATTGAGAACGGACAAATGAATAAAATTGACGAATTGATATTTATTTGATTGTAGCCGAAAAGTCAAAACTATTCTGACTTGCACGACGCAAAGTGGCGCCAGTTTCACTAAACAAAAAGCAAAACAATTTCACAATCCCACCGCTGTTAGCAAATCAAATTTTCCGCTTGATCGACAGCACCTGTAAACGCTATCAACAAAAACAAACAGTGACCTGTACTCTCTGAATTTGCGGAACACTGTAAAAATGTCAACTTGTAATAATTGAGCCCAATTATGAGATTCTTAATTCTGCTAAAATGTACATATCTTATTTAGTGCTGGTCCTGTGGAATCGATCATGTGTTACACTGCATACAGTCCGGAAAAATATGACATGATATTTTTGTATATTTACTGTAATATTCATAACTTACGACCATGGAAATTGTATTTGTTTGTTGCGGCTCTTTCGTTCATTTAAGTTGTGCAGGCCCGATATTGAGTATATCCCATACATCCAGCATTATTATCGGCAGACTCTAGCATGCAGGGCATAAGATTTTGGAATAGGCTACAGCAGCGGTTCCCAAACTGTGGGTCGCGACCCACTGGTGGGTCGCAAAAGGAATCTAAGTGGGTCGTGAAAATATGTAGAAAGCTTTGACTAATTATACTGATTATTGGAATTGGTGGCGACTACGTACATCTTCAAAAAAAATATAAAAATTAAATTGAAATTCTAATCTGTGAAAGTTTCCTTTTTACGATCTTCTCAAAGGAGCAAAAATTTGCTACACAAAGAATGACCATGTGGCTTTTTTTACGCATAGCAGTTTTGTACACTGTACAGCACTTCTTACCGTTATACATTAAAAATAAAATTACATTGTAGAAAAGCACAAGATTTTTTAATAAACATTAAATAAAAACCGACATCTATTGTTTTTACGTTTATTTCCTATATAAAAATCAAGTGACAAATATCGTAATTGTAATATCACACAACCTTGAATAGTGGTGTGATCTCCACCTTACCTCAGGTTATTGAACCTTTCCTCTCCCACACATTTTAAATTTATTTTAAGGGCAGGGTTTAATTAAAATCATTTCAAAAATTCTAATTAGGTTTTATTTTCAGACCAGGTCTTATTTTCGAAAAAACACGGTAGTTTTGCGATGATTAGCCATTGCTGTGTTCTGTGTTATATCATAGAAATTGAATGGGTAGTGGGTCCCAACTCTAAAAAGTTTGGGAACCACTGGGCTACAGATTTGGTAATGAACTTGAGCACAATGGATAAGATATAAAAAATTCTTCCCGCTGAACTTTGCAGACTATTCAAAACAATGGATTGCCAATGCACAATGATCAAAATCCTTCCAAGATACCACGTCCCATTCTTTACAAAAGTAATGCATTTAACACCATTTTGACGTTCGACGGTACTTACACAAATGAACCAGCCGTGTTGGCGCAATTGGAATTCATCGGACAAGGATCTCCTGCACACTCATCCATGTCCACACACTCAACACTTGCATTTCCGGTATACCTGGAAAATAACAATTCAATTAATATCATGAACGGATGAATATGCTACATCAGTTGTCTTAAAACATTCCGAGAGTGAAATCAAGAAGCGTACCCTTCATTACATGCGCAAGAATAACTTCCAATCTGATTTGTACACGTCGAGTGATCAGGGGCACATAGTCCTGGCTGAGGTTCACATTCATCTATGTCTAAATAGAAAATTTAGGGTTAATTTATGTGGGTTGTGAGGGAATACAGATAGCAAAAAAACTAGACCAACCTGTACAGTTCTGTCCGGACTTTTCAGTATCATCGGGATACAAATCAGTGTATCCTGACAAGCAAACACAATGGAAAGATCCATGCGTGTTCACGCATTCCGAATATGATGGATTACAATCGTGGCCGTCATTCGCGTTGTGCAAAAAATCACATTCATTTTTATCTAAAACAGAATAAAATTTCATCGTTATATGTTGGACACTAAATCGACCTATGGATTGTTTTGTTAAATTGTTGTTAGTATTCGTATTGTTGCTGCTCCAATCGCTTACAATCGCTTTTCTCTTCAACTACTGGACTGGACTACTGGATTGCTTTGACAGTTTTAGTGATTTAAGATTGTTGTTGTCGCTAAAAGGCTATTGTCTATGAGATTCGTCTGTCACTTTTAAATTTTTTAAAATATTACTCCCGTAGTATGTGTACCAGTTAGGGTTGGACCATAATTTTTTTCCGATTTTATTTATTGTAGTTCTATTACGAGTTCGGGGAATGTCTGTGTTAGCCAAGTGAATATACCCCCTGCCCATAGACTTCCGTCGCTTTACACAACTTGATGTAATGTAGGCGAAAAAATTAGTTACCTCCATATTGGTATACACATACTTCTGGAGCGCCGGCATATCAGCGAAGTGGTGGTCAGACTACCGGTACTGTGAAAGATTTGATACTACTTCGATTTGGCCTTCATGACCATATATTTGAGCATTGCTCTCTTGCTATGTGCACGAAAGATACACCGCGACAACAAATGAGTAAAATAACTGAATAAGTTCACTGAAGTTCAGAAAAAAGAGACGAGTTATTTTTCAAACTTGGATTTAATCAATGGAAATGATTAACTTTTAAACCGAAACACACCTCAGTGAATGAGTCGCTACCGAACTCAGTAAATAAAGTTGTTACCATTCGTTATCTTGACATTTTCTTTCTTACAAACTAAATAAAGTTTTGGGCGAGGTGGATCACGAGTTGGAAACGTCATAATAAGATCCATTCAAGCGCAGTCGAGTGAATAGTGGCGAAATAACCCTACCCTAAAGTTCGTGGTAACAGTCAGGTTCAAACAAACAACAATTTTGAAAGAACTTAGATAGCGTTACTTCCGTCGTTTTTGCTCATCATAAAATGATTGGCGTGCGCCTTTGCTCACCTTGGCAGTGATTGGAAAATTGATAATATTATTGATTGAATATTATTTATATATACAAACAATTTAACCTGAAAATCAGATCATAATTGAATATATACATAATTAAACATATTAATAATTATATATACTATATATGTAAGTTTTCGGTTTTCATTTACGGAAAATCTTTCACAAAGTCCCATATTTATGCGTACTTTTGGCGAGTGCTTGAGCAAAGATTGATATCTACTACGAACCAAAACTTGCCATTAATATTACTACCATTAATAGCAAAGTATTATGGTTTATCAGTATTTTGTAAAAAGGACTTTTTCTGAGACAAGTTTTTTATTCTTCATTCTCAGTACGATATCTCGTTAGTATTTTTATGGTTATCCAGATGATATAACAGGATACAAAGGAACAATTGGAATTCATGGAACAGTCTACCTCATTATCTTATATTACACAATTTGAAATTCAAAGCGTGTTCTATACATAAAATTCACCGTGTTGGTAATGTGATTTAAATTACAATTTGCAAAAATAAATTTATATATATTAATCAACGGAATATTAACGTACCTTTTATTTCAATTTCTGAATCTGGGGGGCATTGGGCGTAGTTCTCTGGTTGTTGGCAAAAGTCTCTAATGAGATTTTCAAGGAAGACAGCACATGCGTCTGGATCCGGGAATCCAGTGCAGTCTATCGATAAAGCATTCTGTCCATATCCAATACCTAGGTCACACAAAATAAAAATATTTATTTCAACTGAATAATAAAAAAGTAACATAGTAAATAACAAGCACATAAATATGGCATATTTTGGGACTAACGCTCCGGAGTGTTAAATTATTTAAAAACAATTTACAATATCAGGAATGTTTTATTTTTGCTATAATTTACGACTGATAAACTAAGCGACCGCCATTTATACATTCACGGAATTGTTTTTGCAATGGCAGTCATCCTTTTAATTCGTATAAATGGTTAAATTATGTGTACATGTGAAGTCATAGCCTTCACATAGGACCCATTGCGTTGTATGGGTCATGACTATTGAACTCCGGAATTGATAAATTACTAACACGTATTAATTTGGGTACTCCCGTAGTATGTGTATCAGGTTAGGGTTATGCCATAATTTTATTCCGATTTTTCTTATTTTAGTTCTATTACCAGTTCGTGGACGGTGAGTCAATATATCCCCTACCCATAGGTTTCAGTCCTTTTACACAACTGGATGTAGAGTAGGCGAAGAACATTAGTTACCTCCATATTGGTACACATACTTCTGGAGCACCTTAATGTGTATTATAGGAAATGAGAAATCGATAAAACAGGCTTAATCAGTGTTGGGCTTCAGTAGGCTTGCACGAGTTTGGTCGAATGTACTGTTTAGAATTTAGATAATTAGCAAATCCGTTTTTTTTTTGTTTCTGGCGTTATAGAACAGCTAAAATGGGTAACGTATACATCGCAGCCGGCTACTACCATAAAACTTCTGCGTTTTGAAAGTTATGTATTAGATTCATGTAGAACGTGTCATGTGAATTATCGTATGCAATGACATACATTTGTATATATGACGTACAGTTGATCACAGAGCTCGGCACAGTTTTCAGAAACGAGGGAACCTGTTGTTAGCACTTTTCGATAAATACAAAAAGAACATCTTGTCAATATTCTAAATCCCATCCCATCGCCAATGTTCTACCGCTCATATATCAATGTAGGACTGATAAGATAGCTGATATCGTCTGAGACAGCGCATTTCGATAGGAAAACAGCCAAACGATTTTTTTTTGTAGTCGTAAGGTTTGTGTTTTGTGTCTCGTTTGAATATCACCTTTCACACATATAAGGAATATACGACAGAAGTTCAGTTTTAAGGATTTTTAATGCGGTGGTATTTTATAACCATCACATCAAAATTCATTGAAAAATGCATTTTATGAAACTTGCTCTCATAACCCCAGATTAAAGAAGGATAATACAATACGAGGCAAAATCATAAGCAAATAACGTATGAAATCTTAAACTACTCAATCTCCTTGTGCTTAATGATCAAGAGGTCTTAAAGTCATTATGATGCGGTTGTTTACTTTCGATTTACGTTTTATGTCATAATAGACGTTTATGAGAATGATTGGGTAAAAAGGTATTCAAGCATGAAATAAACAAACAGATCACAGCAATTCGCATTTTACAGTTAGTTTCGGTATTCAGCTAACTTAGTATTTAGTTTTCTATGAAAGACACTATACCTGAAGACACGGTACTATTTCAAGTTTGAATAAACAAGACTTCCTACAAATCGGTCCTTGGTTGGTAAATACAAAATTCAGAATTTTGAAAGATTGTAGGCAAATGATTGCGATTCATTTTGTCATATAAAAACATTTGTAATAACTTTATTACGGATGAGACCAATCTGTTTATCTGTCAAACGTTTATATTATTCCCCAAAACAAATTATTTTTTCTAAACAAATTTATTTAATCGTACCCAACGACGATTTGACAAAACATGGATGGGGGGAGGGGAAAGTCGATAGGACAGCTTAATCATATGGCGAACCGCGGCCTCTCGTCCGGTTAGTCGTCCATGTCGGGTATAGGATTAGTTAGCCGGTTATTTGTTTTCAGATGTATGGACTTAAGCTGGCTTATATCACAAAAATATTATGCATAAGCTTTTTCAGCTTCATCACAGCTAAGTTGATATCGAGTGTTTCAAATTTCGTTTCTGAATGCTCTATGGCTCTTTTTAAAAAACTTTGTGAGTATAAAATTGATAAGGTTGAAAAATGCGAAATTAATCTGTTATAGAGTCTAATGTTGTTGTTGTGTAAAATATTTTGAAGATGCTTATAAATCACTTATTCTTGATACCATGTATAATAATATACAAAAAACGAAAGACTTACCAAAAACCGTAACAAAAGTCAGCAAGAATGTTAAAAGTTGTTTTTCTTTTAATTTCGACATATTTTCTTCTGTGTGAGCTTTGTTATCTAATTCTCATAGTATGTATAAGCTTGGTCCACTTCAAGCTTTTCAAACGTACAGCTCACTATAAATTACTTATAAAATATCGACTCTTATAAAATCTGTTCTTTCTGGCGTGAGATATTTGTCAAATATACGAAAAATTTGACAAAACTATAATTCGTGTGCTTTTCTCACGCAAAATCGTGGACTGAATAGACTACCAAAGCAAAAATAACTCAATACCACGTCACGCCTTGCCTATCCCCTATGTTCCCAACGCACGTATGTTGAACAGTTAAAACGACCAACTGCATGTTTCAACTCTTACTCGAGGTTTCACGAGAAAAAACTCTTGCCTAGAAATAATATAAACAAATTTTTATCTTAATAAGATAAATAATATTGACAAAAACAGTAATCACAAACGCAAAAATACCGAAGGGAACGCCGTTACCCCCATTGTTTCGGCTATGCGCATGATTGAACGAGTGAAAAGAAACCCCCGTTTATACCAAATCTTAAAATAACGTCCGAAGGACTTCTACCCATGGAAAGTTAAAAGCATCTGTGTGGTTCTCGCGTGGTAGAGTCATCGCGGAGTCGTGAAAGAATACTGTTGACGAAAGCAAGTCCCCAACAAAGCGTGACGTAGTTATAGCATTGAGGTGATTCAACCGCACAATGGACAGGTATGAAGAAATAAATGTTTTCATACATTGACAAATATATAATAAAGAAAGATTGCATTATGATTGAAACGGAGTCTTCAATGAAATCCGGTATTAATTCAACTTCCGACTTTGCTGTTTACTTTTTAAATTTAATAACAGCAACTGATAAATAAATAATTTTTCATATATATGACAAGTAGAAAATGTATATAAAGTGAACATATTTAACGTGGTAGATGTGTAATTTCCCAATTTTCATGTCCGGTTCGGAGATGATAAGCAAGCAGTCTACTTTGTACGTGTGATTATAATCACAAATTGAAACAAAAAAAAAACGATTCAAGGATCTCATCCCATATGAAACATTGATTTACAGAAACAATTTAATCATAGCTGCACTTTGTTTTTATTAATATACTCATACAGTTTTCAGGTAGGCAGTTTATGAGCCAGCTCCTCCTGATCACTGAAATTCGAAAAGTTTCAATAAATATGTGTAAATATTTACTATTAGAATATAAATATGTTTTATTTTTACAAAATTCGTTCGCACTTTGAGAACGGTCGTAATTGCTACAATATTTAATTAATAAAGCGAAAAAGCCAAACCAGCAGGAAGTTTAGCAATCTCCCTGATGCGACGGTGTACAGAATATTGTATTCCAGTAGGCCACATCAAATCAATCAAATATGTACTCTCTAAAAAAGTAATCATAAATTTCTCGAGAAACTTGTGAGTTGTGATTTTTTTTCAACATTAGCGCCGCTTTTTATTTAATAAAATATTGTTACTTATAAAATGTCAGATTTTGGATACACCTGAAACGTATTATTTTTTTTATTTAAATTGTCTATATATACGTATGATCCACGTATCGCGTTGACATATTTGGGATAACGTTGATCAAATGTTGTATTATTTGACAGAATCATATAATTATCTTATGATTATTCTCGTCTGATATCAGTATATTTCTTTGTTCAAATGTCAACATTTACGTTTGTGGAAATCTCTGTATAATATATATTAAATTGAAAATGAAAATTAGGTCGCAAATAATGTATTTGAAGCAAAAACCTATGGAAAATTTATCGCTCGAGGTACGGGAAAATGATTCAGAGTACGTTTTGTTTATATAAATCTGAAATGTTCGAAAATAATAATAGCGAGCAATATATATTTGATTGAACTGATCGGACATTCCTTTACTATCCTCTCACGTTTCCCATAGAACTTTATGTCCAGGTACCTCCTCTCCACCTGGAAAGGAGCGCATTTTATGCAAATGTTTACGCCCTGTATTTAACAGTGCAAACTGTAAGTAAATAATAAAACTATATATACATAATCTATAGGCCACATTATGTTTTCGCACCAGCGATAATGCATTCGTTCCCTGTATTGCCTTTCTCGTTTCGACCAATTTGATGACGTATCGTTTCTGGTTTGCCGAGATGACTCTATAATATTGTGCTTTTTGTTCCACTTGGGATGTGACCGTAATCTTACTGCATTAGAATTAAGTGTGTACAATTTTACCTGTATTTGGAATTTGGATCGTGCATCTTTTCAATAATATACAACAATTCGATATTCAACATCGCGTGCTTATTATAATCGTCTGAGGGAATCCAGATTGGAGCCACATTCCACAACATGTGTTAATTTAAGAACGTGGGAATCGAACTTTGAATATTAGGGTGAACAGTCTTTATCCCTATGACTTGCATCGTTTCTCCCTATACCTGCGTAGTGGAATAAGTGAAAAAGGCTTACGTCGACAAACGTAGTTAATATTTTAATGACATGTGTTTCAGGTTTATGTTACATGCCCTGCTGAAGGGCCCACTGCCTATCTGCAATTTATGTATTTTTGGTTCTTGTGACTGCATAGCAGCGTTATCTAGTGGCTGGATGTTCTCAACAGTGTATAATACATATTCTTTCATTCTTAGGATGCCAGATTTTACCTATTTTCAAATAATTCATATTTTCTATGAAATTCTATTAGATGGCTATGCACATCTTTTAGAAATATCGACGAAGATTGTAACTTATTATGATAAAATCAAATGTCTATTCCCATGTACATTGGAGGAAGCGTTCACAAAATCAAAACATTGGTTTCCCTCATGCATGCCTTGATACTAATCGTTAACATGGCTCATTTACAGAAAATGCTCATATTTCAGACTCACCAGCAAGTCCTCGGAACAAAAACCGCATATTTACAGTATATTTTCAAAACAAAAATTAGTGTAATGAGATTACAATCGGTAATCAGAAGAAACGTTTAATAACGGCAAAATCAATATCGTTACTTATAATATATATATTCTTGGAATTGGCAATCAAAATTGAAATATATTATATCTTTATATTAATTCATATCTTCGATCCCACAAATCTAATCGGCTGTCCAATTTTTGATTCGATTGGATCACATGTTAAGTTAAATCTGTAAATTGTTCTTACAATAGAAAAAATGAAATTCAGTTATTTCATATCCAATTACGAATGAATTTCTCCCCCAACTATTTCAGCGATGTGATATCTTGCCTTGGATTGTTATAATGAGCAACGTCCACAAACATTGTGTGCATATGAAGTAAAATACTTGTTTCGTGCCCCATTGTTTATAGTACAAACAACAAAACACAGCGGGAAGACGATGAAAAATAATTTTAAATAAAATCAAAATGGTGTTAGGTTAGTATACATGTATAGTTAAATAGGTATAATATCACATATGCTATTGCTGAAAAATATAAAATTATTGGAATATATTTGACAGCAACGATGAACGTAAGATACATCACATTTTTGGGAGCTTCTTGTTTTGCCGGCAAAGACTTTGATTCTTTGGTGTTTGTTTTTTCTTCCAGTATTGGTTCCAGATTTCCAGTGTCAGAATTGGTTTTATTTTGCTTTATCGATCCGAAAAATGCCGACACAATTGTTCCCCACACCCAAAAGGTAAACGCTGCCATCACACCTTCCTGAGACGCATCACTTTCTTCTAGCGTCGGTTTTCGGTCCGGGTAGGGTCCCCAAAGCATTTCTTTTTTGCTGAAAATTTCGTTTTCATCATGTACTAGAAACGAATGACCACGTGTCAATCTTCTATCGTCACGACGAGAAGACGTCGAACTGAGATGTCTGTCATCGTCTGACATATCACAGCAAGCGTAAGTATGTTGTCGACGTAGAATCGTACCTTTACGGAGGTCTTCGCTAGGAGGCGCTACCGAAGTCACGGTAGACCAGGATCGTTTTGTTGATGGACGCGACAGAATGGAACTTCGACTAGATGGTGTTCGTATTAATTCAGCGCTAGTAGACGATTTTGTCAATCGTCTACCACCTCTATTTAGCATCATATGACGCATAATGAATTGTTTGTATGTTTTTTATACAGTATAAAGTTCTGCAAACAAAACTGCACAAATTCAAAATGACATAAAATATATATATATAATATTTACTACACTAAATAAAATTTACTCTACACAGGCGGTTGAATTGCGGCATTTTGATGCACATCAGAGCTGTTAACTCTTTAATTTACAGATGATAACACCATTCACAATCCCTCTTACCCCATGACTTATTAGACACAAAACATTTTAAACTGGTCTATAATGTCACTGTATATATGTGCAAGCTATTTCGCGAACTACAATGTTTTCTCCGATATATATTTATAAAGACAAGTAGACTGACTGCATTCAATTTTTCAGTAAATAGTTGACGTCAAAGATGATGTTTCAGTCTACGATACGCACTCCCCAAGCCAGCTTAGAAAACAAATCATTTGCTGAAAAGGGCGTAATTATGCGCTAACAAAACACATGCGAACGTGTAATCACAGTCTTACATCGATTTTGGGAATCCATATTGATTTTTCTTTCGAGAGATTTTAAACCTTGAAATCAGTGGCCAACTTTGAAATTGAAAACAAATTTGTGGGGAAAGCATTGCTCATAAACCATTCTTCCTAACAAAATACTAAAATTGACATTGTTTCATTTTGATAAAATGTACCAATGTTTAAGATAGACAAAAGTTATTTTGATAATAATAAAGATGAGACAAGCAAAACTTTATATATGAAATAGATAATCTGTATTTTCACATTTGTATTTTAAGCAAAAGCTATTGAGTAAGTACGTTTCAAGATTTGAGGCATTCTATAAAACGCACTAAAAAGTATACTATTGTTAAATTTTATTTATCTAGCAGTAACGTTTGGCTATGCCTAATTAGTGAGATGATTTATTTGAGATATGTAACAGAAGAAGCCGTGACAATATCTGACTTTTGGACCAGCCCTCGCTCGACGAATAGCATGCGAGAATATTTTTATACCAAATTTCCATATAAATTCCTACACAAAGTCATTCCCAAAGGGACGCACAATCCTTATCCTAATTTCAAAACAGGATAGGTCTGTTGGTAAACACGCTGTTGAAAATGCTGAAGATACAATCCTTCAATCAGATACAGAGTCACTAACTTTTTGTTAAACTGTCTTGCAAGCACATGCAACTTGCCAAGAAAATATTTTCTGACTAATCGAATGGTCGTCCCT